GTTCTTCTGTGTGAGCCGCCACCACAGCATGGCTACTGACAGATGAGTGGTGTAGTTCTGAGACTGGGAACTGAACTGCTGCCAAAGCAGTGAGAGCACTGAACTTTAACCTCTAGGCCATCAGGCCCAGCTCACTGGCAACCTGTTTTTTTTTTTTTTTTTTTTTTAATGAGGAAGATCAGCCCTGAGCTAACATCTGCTGCTAATCCTCCTCTTTTTGCTGAGGAAGATTGGCCCTGAGCTAATATTCGTGCCCATCTTCCTCTATTTTATATGTGGGACACCTGCCACAGCATGGCTTGATAAGTGGTGCATAGGTCTGCACCCAGGATCCAAACCAGCAAACCCTGGGCCGGCGAAGCAGAAGGCACAAACTTCACCAGTCTGCCACCAGGCTGGCCCCCACTGGCACTTGTTTTTGATGTTAAAATAACAAAGAGTTATAAACCCTAATTCATTTATGGATGAAGTAGGAAAATTCCAAGGAGTAGGGGAAGCGGACTATTCCAAACGCTATTAACATATCACTTCCAACACAACCATTTGTCTTCGTGAGGACTAGGGGGGCAGCTGGCTGTTCTCATACCAGGTCCACTCTGTCCATCCAAAGCAGCACATGTCGAACCAGGCGACAAGGACTCCAGCTTTCAAATGCTCATGTTTCAAGAGTGATTATGTCACTGGGAATTTTCAGACTGATCAACTTATAACACTATCACATAAAATACTGAATTCTTATTCATTCAGTTTTGCGTACTCCTTGAGTAGCTACCATGTTTCTGGCATTATGTTTGGTGTGTAGGATACAAAATAAATTCTTAATGTTTCAAAAGTAATGTAGCAGACCGCACAGCTTCTAGTCAGCTCTGTTACATTTTTGCCGAGTGACACTGGGGTAAGTTACTTAACCCCTCCCATTCTCAGTTTCCTCATCTGTAAAATGAGAAAAATAACAGCACTTCATTTATGAGTTGTTTTGAGGATTAAACGCAATAATATATATAAAGATATTACCATGTTTTATTTATAATAAGTCTGATAAGTAGCTGTCAGCCATTATTGCTGCTATAATTAAAAGTCTGGAGAATACAGAAGTATGGTTAGGGACGTTGGGAATGGCTTCTTAGAGATGTCCTGTAATTTGGGTCCTCATTGAGGAATAGGAGATGGCTATTCACTCAGTAAGCATTTCTTTTTCTTTTGGTGAGGAAGATTGGACCTGAGCTAACATCTGTTGCTATGAGCTAAGATCTGTAGCAAATCTTCCTCTTTTTTTTCTTTTTTTTGCTTGAGGAAGATTGTTGCTGGGCTAACATCTGTTCCAATCTGCCTCTTTGTTGTTGTTGTTTTTTTTTTGTATGTGGGACCCACCACTGCATGGCTTGATGAGCGGTGTGTAGGTCTGCACCTGGGATCCGAACCAGCGAATCCTGGGCCGCTGAAGCAGAGTGTGTGAACTTAACCACTACACCACCAGGCCAGCCCCACAACAAGCATTTCTTGAGCATGATATAGCTAATGGTGCAGGTACTGGGATCAGTGTGATAAAAGACATAGCTCCACAACCCCCGCCCCAGCCTCAAATTGCTCATGGGGAAGGGAGGGGTAGAGAAGCGAACCTGCAGTTACAGCACAGTGTGACAAACGCAGTGTCAGTGATATGCTGGAATGTTTTGGGAACTTGGAAGAGGGCCACCCAGCTTAGGGGGGTGAGTGTTAGTGGTGGGAGTGAGGTATTAAGAAATGACTTTCTGGGGGCCAGCCCGGTAGTGCAGCAGTTAAGTTTGCACGTTCCACTTCTCTGAGGCTCAGGGTTCGCCGGTTCAGATCCCGGGTGCAGACATGGCACCGTTTGGCACTCCATGCTGTGGTAGGCATCCCACATATAAAGTAGAGGAAGATGGGCATGGATGCTAGCTCAGGGCCAGTCTTCCTCAAAAAAAAAAAAAAAAAGGAAATGACTTTCTGGAAAGATGACATTTGAACTGTGCTGAGAGGAAAAGAACTAGTTAGGTGGAGTAGAGGTAAGGGCTTGCCAGAAGATGGAACAGCTTTTGAAAGACAAAGTGAGAACACATGGCATGTTTTAGGGACTCCAAAATCCAGGAGTATATGGAGCATGAGGAGGATGGGGCTAGAGAAGTAGGCAGGGTCACCTCACGAGACATCTTGGATGTCATGCTAAGAAATTGAAACATTATTCCGAGGGCTGTGGGTAGGATGAGTTAATTTTAGGAAGATCATCCTGGTAGCGATATGGGGTGTGTACCGGAATGGAGAGTGATTCGGGCAGGAGGTTCTTGCTGCTGTCTTACTAAGAAATGAGAAGAGTCTAAAACGAAGGTATTAGTGGGGGAAAGAGAGGAGGGGACACTAAGAGATCTAGAAAGTTTCACAGATTGATTTGAGGAGTGATTGTATGCGGGAATCAAAGAAGAGAGTGGGAAGTCTATTGGCTCCCAGGTTTTTTGACCTGGGCAATTGAGTGAGTGATGGCCATTCTCCTAAATAGGAAATACTTGGAATGAAGCACATGGCTGGGGAGTAATGACAATGGGGGAAGGGATGGGGAATGAGGATAATGAAGTTAAACTTGTAAAGATGGAGACTGAGAAAGATGCCCTGAGTGACATTCGAATGGAGACATCTGGTAGGCAGCTGGAGGAACAGGTTTGGAGCTCGAGAGAGATCTGGGCTGGAGATTTGTTACATTATTAGTGTATGAATGATAGTCGAATCTATAATTTTAAAGAAGTTACTCAGGGAAAATTTATAGAGTGAAAAGAATAGAGGTCTGAAGATACAGCTCCGGAAACATCAACAGGAACAGGTCAGGAAGAGGAAGAGAAGTCTTCCTCCAAAGACATGGAGAAGAAACAATTGCGGAAGTAGGGAAAAGAAAAAACGGGAAGAAGCTACATGATGAAAACAGACGATGACAGTGTTTTAAGAAGAGGAAACTCTCAACAGAATCAAGTAGGACAAGGACAAAAAAGGGCAATTTTGCAATTAGGGGAGCACTGCCCACCTTGGTGAGTCAGGAAAGTGGCGATGTGGGAAATATTCAGGCAGTGAAAATAACTAGTGCAAACACATTGTGGGAATAGAGAAGAGATCCATGGGGCTGAAAGGCAGGGTAGAGGAGGGGAATTCGGTTACGAGGTTCAATTCAAGGAGTTTTGACAAATGTGAAACCTGTGTAATCATCACCCTAATCAAGATAAAATATTTCCTTCACCTCAGAAAGTTCCCTTGTGCCCTGTTTTAGTCGATCTCCACTCCCTTACAGGCAACTACTCTTCCCATTTCTATCCAACGCATTACTTCTGTCTATTCTTGAATTTGATATAAATGGAATCATTCAGTATGTAAACTTTGTGTCTCTGGCTTCTTTTGTTCAAAATAATGTTTTTGAGATTTATCCACGTTATTGCATGGATTAGCAATTCATTCTCTTTTATTGCTGAATCACATTATTATATGAATAGATCACAACTGGTTTATCCATTCTTCTATTGATGGGCATTTGGGTTGTTATGAGCTTTTGATTATAACGACTAATGTTGCCAAAAACATTCTTGGACAAGCATTTTTTCTAGAATGAATTTTCACTTATTTTAGGCAAATATCTAGGAGCAGAACTGCCAAACCATAAAGTAGGTGTATTTTAACTTTATTAGAAACAGTTTTCCAAAGTGATTGTACCACTTACACAGCCCCCAGTAATGTAAGGGAGTTCCAATTTTTCCATATCCTTAGTCCTTGTCATCTGGTGTTTTCAGTCTTCTCAATTTTAGTCATTCTAATGAATGTGAAATAGTATCCCTTTGAAGGTTTAATTTGCATTTCTCTAATGACTAATGACATTGAACCTTTTCAGATGCTTATATTTGCATATCTTCACTTCTTAAGTGTCTGCTCAAGACTTGCCCATTTTTGTTTAATAGATATATGAAGAATATAGGTTGAGAAAAACTGATATTTATTGGCACATTACATGTTGAAGGCAGTTGATATTTAGTGACACATTCTAAATGGGCTTACAACAGAACCATTTATACATTCTGTCAGTGGAAAACTGAATGACTGAAATATGAGAAAAAATTTTACATATATGATGTCAGATAACTTTAAATCATATAAACCCAAAAAAGTAAAAATTAACTTTAAATTATATAAACATAATCTTAAATAATTTAACATTATACTTTATCCATTATGTTCACTACACATCAAGCTCTTTATGGGTGGGATTGTGTCTTCTCTACTGACTAAGGGAGAGATTTTTATGGTTAGAGGCAAAGGAAATTCATGGCACTGATTCATTTTGCCTGGCACTGAGCCAGGAACCAAACCAGTACGGTGCGTGCTAACCTGAGCTTTCCTGTTTCTGTATTTGGCAGTAGATGCTGCCAGAAATTCAGAAAATACAGACACATGGACTATTTCTGAGATTGCATGTGGCAGGACAAGCAGTGTGTGGCAAGATCTGCGCGCTAGAATCAGCTTGGACATTTGTCTACAAGCGCTAGTGGGGGCATGTTCTTTTCAGCCCTATTCCTCGTGTTTTTCTTATTTATTTTTTTATGCAGATGTCCAGAACACACTTCAGACCCACTGTGTCAGTCTCTTTGTGAGTGGGGCCAACCTGGGCCTTTTCGAAAATAAGTTTCTACGAGATTGTGAAGTACGCCTGCTACTTGTACCTCTGGCCCATGCTCACAGGCTCTCCTGACTAATTTAGGGCCCCAGGGCAGGCCAATCTCCAATCAGGAATAGATGGAGTTGGTGTAGGTACTACATTAACATTTAAGGAGGGCCTCCTTCCTTCTAAAAATCAGTAACGGACAGGGCGAGGGACATCAGGTTCCAGGTACAGCTGCTGGAATGGGGCCAAAGCACGCAGAACTGGGCGCTGGACCAGGCCGAGCGCCCCCTCCCAGCGGGCGCGCGACCGGGCCAGCCGCGCACGCGCACGCACTCGCGCACGCCGGCGCCTTCCTGTGGGCGCGTGGTGGCGGCGGCGCGCGCGCGACAAATGGAGTGGGTGCTCGCAGAAGCGCTGCTCTCGCAGAGCCGGGACCCCAGGGTCCTGCTCGGCGCGCTGTGCCGCGGGGAGGCGTCCGCGGAGCGCGTGGAGACGCTGCGCTTTCTTCTGCAGCGACTAGAGGATGAGGCAGCGCGCGGCGGGGACGCGGGCGCGCTCCCGGAGGCGGCGCGCGAGGTCGCCGCCGGGTACCTGGTGCCGCTGTTGCGGGGCCTGCGCGGGCGCCCCGCGGGCGGCTCCGAACCTGGCCCGCCGGGCCGCCAGCGCCGGCGCGTGCTGAGGGCGGCGGGCGCGGCCCTGCGCTCGTGCGCCCGCCTGGCCGGGGGCCCTCAGCTGGCTGCCGCGCTGGCGGAGGAGGCGCTGCGCGACCTGCTCGCCGTGTGGCCGGCGTCCGGCCTCGAGGGGGCCGTGGAGGTGCTGGCGGCCGTCGGGCCCTGCCTGCGGCCGTGTGAGGACGGGCCGCTGCTGCAGCGGGTAGCGGAGGCCGCCCTGGCCGTGGCGCTGGGTGGGCACGGGGACGGGGACGAGGCCGGGCCCGCCGAGGACGCGGCGGCGCTGGTGGCCGGGCGGCTGCTGCCGGCGCTGGGTCAGTGCGGCGGGGCGGCGCTGAGGGCCGTGTGGGGCGGGCTGGTGGCGCCCGGGATGCCCTCGGGGCCGGGTCGCGTCGGGCCGAAGCTGCTGGTGCTGAGCGCCCTGGCCGAGAAGCTGCTGCCCGAGCCCGGTGCGGACGGCGGCCCGGGCGCGCGCGAGGCGGGCCCGGACGCGCGGCGCTGCGGGCGCTTCTGGAGGACGGTGCAGGCGGGGCTGGGCCGCGCCGAGGATGCTCTGACGCGCAAGCGGGCGCGCTACCTGCTGCAGCGGGCGGTGGAGGTGTCGGCGGAGCTGGGGGCCGACTGCGCCTGCGCCTGCGCCCCCCAGGAAGGAAACGGTACTTGCCTCTTTGCCCCCCAGCGTGACCTTACTTGGCTTTCCGAAAGGGAGGGCTGCTTCCGAAAACCAGCTCCTGGGGTCGTCTCCGCGATCCGTACCCAGTTTGGTTCTTCCCCTGGTCCCCATAAAGCCTGAAAACCTTCTCGAGGGAGTGACACAAATCACCGCAGCTGAGAACAGTCTGCGTTTCCTAACCTTTCTGACCCGGGACGGGGTGAAATGCTGCATCCATGGGGTAATTTAGGAACATGCCTGAGCCCACGCAGGATTCTCCAGACCAAATGTGCACTCTGTCGTGTTAGGTCCATTCTAATAGAAAAGAAGAGTTAACTTCCATCAAATTAGAAGAAAAAATTATTTTCCTGTACTGACCAGTGAAGTGAGTCTTGAGTGTTAGAATTCTGTCATAGAACCCATCACGTTCTTTTGAAATTTCCCTTGGTAATTCTCTTAGGAGCAGAATTTTCTAATACTTGTTAAACAAATGGTCCTTAAGTTGAACTTTTGAGGATGTTTTTGCCATTGATTTGATAGCGTCAAATTTTAAATAATATATATATATTTTACATTTTGAGTTTGTGCTTCCTCCTACAGAACAAGAGTAGATGAAATAGCAAGGCCTTCCTTCAATTTGGTGTTACTATTGATTGGTGAAAGTACACTTCAGTCATCTTAAATTCATTTTTGAGCTATCAAAGTCCAAAATGGATTGATTCAAAATTATCTCAATAGGTAGAAAATTTTTACTCTCTCAACCGTGTCTGTCTCTTTATTACCGGGAAAGGATTTTTGTTTGGGTGAAGTTGTGAGTAGATGAGATTTTCGTATAACTTTAAAACATTACATAGTAAATATTTTTAACAGTTCACAATGGGTGATCATCCAATGAGAGTTTTCACTGGAGAACACTTTAAAAATTACTGAAGTTAAACTCATTTGTTTTAGGGTCAGTCATTCTGCAGAGTTTTAAAGATAAGCAATAGTCTTTCCATGGTTGCCCCCTCATTTCCTCCTTTTCAGAGAACAAACACTTTTACTTCTTTTAGGTGATTATTTTGATATTTACCCCTGTGTCTTGAAATAATCTAGTTATTACACAAAATCCATTGTCCTAGTTAGAATTTTGGTTAAATATGAGTTCAGTGTTTACAAAGTTATGACTATGAAAATACTGTTCACAGGTGATCAATGTAGTAAACTATGATTATTTTTTTCTTCCTGCCAGTTTTTCCTAGAATTATGTTATTTTAATATTTGTTTGGTTCTCTGTATACTTATCGCTAATTCAGTCCCAAATTCTGAGCTAGTTGTCTAAATATTTACTGTACGGAGTCAGATCATCAGGTATTTTGTAAATTTTCCTGAAGAAGTCTCTCCTGGGGTCCTTTTACAAGCTCAGCCTGGTGCAAAGCTAACATTCTTAGATCTGCCTTCACCATCATCCTGCAGGTTTCCTTCACCTGGGTCCTGCGTTGGAGCTCTTGTTTCCTGGAGTTCATATCTTCCTCTTTTTTGGTTTACTCACTTGTTTTGGTGTAGTACACTTTCTAATAGTTTCCTGAGATAAAGTTTTTTAAGATGCTGCGTGTCTGATGATTCCATCAAAGGATCCTTTATATCTGATATGTTTTTATTTCTATCGTTGCCATTTGACATTTTTTAATAATTTCCATCTCCTGAAAATCCCCATCTGTTCATACATGTTGTCTACCTTTTCCATTAGGTCCTTTAACATATTAATCATAGTTATGTACAAGTCTATACCTGGACCATCTCTAAGTTTGGTTTTGTTTTCTGTTTTATCTCTTGGCAGTGGGGTCATTTTTTCCAGTAGAGTCTAAAGTAAATATTTATGCCTAGAGATAGGCACTCCTCCTCTTCTGTTAGACTATTAGTGTTGGGGGTTAAGTGACTCTACAGTTGAGCTAGATTTGGATTTTGTGGTTGCTGTAGTTATTGGTTGTTGCTGCCTTATGTTTAGTGTGAAGCGTGGAGTACCTAAAGCTTTTTCTCAGTGTTGTAATTTTTCTCAAGCTGTTGATGCCAGTGCCACAGGGGGCTTCTTCCTCAGAAGAACATGCCGTTATCCTTCTCTCTGGGGTGGACTGCTGATGTTTTGACTTGGTGCCAGGCTTGAGACAGAGGTGGAGGGAGGAGGGGGCCTTTTTCATTTCTTCTACTCCACCCTCTGCTTAGGGCCCGTGTGCCTGACCCTCAGGATTCATTCAAGCTTTTTCCATCTCTTCTCTCTCTCCAGTGCCACATAACATCTGCCTCCTACTTAGGGAAGGATTTGGAGTTTTCTCACCCTCTCCTCTGGTGGCTGCATTTGCTTGTAGGTCTTGGGAGCTGGTTTCCTGCCCTCCCCCAGCAGCGGCAGACCTGCTTGGTATCAGGGAAGGGAACTGGTCATGAGAGGGGTTCCTCATGTCAGTGTGGGATGGGGGCAGCAGGTTTTCTGTCCATCCCCTAGAGGCAGCCACCTTTTGCTGGTATCAGGGTGGGGACAAGGGTACGGGTGTGGGAGGGTTTCCTCTAGCTGGGGGCAGACAGCTTTGGCCTCCTGTCAGAGAAGGGTCCAGGGTGTAGGCAGGCTTGGCAGTTGGTCACCACCTTGTACTCCTGTGGGGCATGGATGGGCTTCTCCAGTTAGTCCTACTGCCTTCTTGAACCTAGGTGGGCCCTCCAACCTAGGTGATCTCTGCCCTGCCCACAGTCTTTCTTGACAGCGCCTGGGGAGGCCTGAGGAAAAGATCTGGTGAGTGAGTGTGGACTCCCTTGGGGTTCCCTGGGTTACTAAGCTGTCAAACTGGCCCACACTTGCCCTTCAAAAACTTGTCAAGGGGCTGGCCCGGTGGTGCGGCAGTTAAGTGTGCACGTTCCGCTTCTCGGTGGCCCCGGGTTCGCTGGTTCGGATCCCGGGTGCGGACATGGCACCACTTGGCACGCCATGCTGCAGTAGGCGTCCTACATATAAAGTAGAGGAAGATGGGCATGGATGTTAGCTCAGGGCCAGGCTTCCTCAGCAAAAAAGTGGAGGACTGGCAGTAGTTAGCTCAGGGCTAATCTTCCTCAAAAAAAAACAAAAACAAACAAAAAACCTGTCAAAATTTCGTTGCTTTTTTTAACAGCTTTTTTGGTGACCACCTCTTCCTCCTGTGCTCGGCCAGTGCTGGAACAGTTTGTGTGTCCCATCTATTCTTGCAGAGGCTTTCTGCCCTTGGAATTCAGATCACCTGGTTGCATAGTGACCTTAGCCCAAAAAAGGTTAGAATTTTGTAGATTATCCAGCTTTTTCTCTTTGGTAGTATGGCAGTAATGTTTTCTTGTGGCTTTCTACACCCCAAGACGAAGCCGAGACCAAGCAGGTCTAAATGCCTTTATTTTGCCCTCATGTTTTTTTTTTTTAAAGGTGTGCTTTTTGGTGAGGAAGAGTGGCCCTGAGCTAATATCTGTTGCCGATCTTCTTTTTTTTCCTCCCCAAAGCCCCGGTACGTAGGTGTATGTCCTAGTTGTAAGTCATTCTAGTTCTTCTATGTGGGATGCTGCCACAGCATGGCTTGATGAGCAGTGTGTAGGTCTGTGTCCAGGATCCAAACCAGTGAACCCCTGGCCACCAAAGCCAAGTGATCAAACTTAACCGCTCAGCCATGGGCCTAGCACCCTGCCCTCACATTTGATGGATGGTTTGATTGGGGATTCTAGCTTGGGAAACATTTCCATTCAAAATTTTGAAGGCATCGAACTGTTGTCTTAGAAGCTAGAGCTTCCGTTGTTGCTGTTGAGAAGTCTGAAACCGTTCCGAGTTGTGTTTGTTTCTATGTGATCTGTTTCTTCATGAAGGTTTGTGGGGTCTGTGTCCTGAGCGTTCTGGAAGTTCACAGTTTTGGCACGGCTCTGTTTTCATCCTTGTGCTGGGCACTTGATGGACCTATTCAATCTGGAAATCATGTTCTTTGGTTCTGGGAACTTTTCTTGAATTCCTTTGGTTTCCTCCCTTCCTTTTTGCTTTCTGTTCTCTTTTAGGATATTGAACCTCCCGGACTGGTCATCAAAGCATCTTTTCTCTCCCATTTTCTACGACTTTGTGTTTTTGCTCTATTTCTTGAGTGATTTCCTCAACTGTTTTCCCAGTCCTTTCTTTGAGTTTCTTGTTTTTGCTATCAAATTTTTATTCTCATGAGATCTTTTTTGTTCTTGGAGTGTCCCCTTTTTAATAGTATCCTGTTCTTATATCATAACTGCACTATCTTTTCGTATCTCCCTTTGAGATATAAGTGAAAGTTTTTTTTTTTTCTTTTTTAGATTTTCTTCTTCCTGCCTAGTTTTGTTTTCTCCAAATTTCCTTTTCTGTTGTTGTTATTTTGGTCTTCATCTTTAATATAGAGGTTTCCCAGGTGTCTGGTGATCCTTAGACACCTGTTTATATTTGAGAATATGGAACCAAAAGTCAGGTTTAAAGCTCTGTGCTCGTCGACTGTGAACTTCACTGTAAGGTGATCTGGCCAAGCCATTTCATTGGGTAATCTCTGATGTAAGTATTTTCAGGTCTTTCCTTCTGGGCTGGCCAGATTCCACAGAGATCTTCCAATCTTCTGCTGGATAGTGAAGGCCTGGTCAGCGTTCTGAGATGTGAGGGGCTAAGATGGTGGTGGAGGCAGGGAGAAGGGGGTCTCAGCACCCAAGGTGCATACATGCTCACTTAATCCCCATTTTCATATGGTGCTCTCCCCTGACTTCAGCTGGATCCAACGCATCTCAGTCCAGAGACCCACTATTTTACCTTCTCCAGAGAGTACATTCCAGTCTTTCCTGTTCAGAGCCCAGGAAGGGGCATCTGGGGATCTGTTTCTTAAACACACTGAACAAATTCTCTTTAGCCTCACTTTTCCCCTCTGCTTACAGAAGTAACCTCTGCTGCCAGTTCCTGAGGTTGGGGGGACTTTGCAGTGTAAATCAAATTTTTTCTTGTGCCCCCTTACTAATATTCACTTTCTTGAGTCTGCTTGGTTTTCATCTGATTTTCAGATTCTAAATTTCATTGCTGCTGTCCACTCCCCAGTTTTCGCCATTCTTGTGGGCTTTTGCCTTTTAAAAAATCCTTTACAGATAGAGTAAGGTTCTTAGGGAGAGAAAGTCGAGTTTATATGTTCATATCTGTCATTCTTACCCAGAACTCCAAAGCAGTAATCTTAATTAAAAAAAAAAAAAATCCCCTTTGAGATTCTTGTTAGCCCAAGCCTCCTGTCCAGCTTTGATGCAGGGCGCCGTCCATTATTAGAGATTACAGCATTTGGTAATAGTGGCATAATTTAAGAACTACTATTGTTAACAAATTTATGAAATTTTCAAAAGGAAGTACTAATTTTCCATTTTAAACCATATCAGGCCCAAGTCTGTTTTGGTGGTCCGACAAGAAAAAAGATGAGCTTCTAAAGTTTTGGGAAAACTATATTTTAATTATGGAAACTCTAGAAGGAAATCAGGTAAGTGTTTTCATATTTTAACACATCCTACCTGCATGCAGTTTTTTTCCAAACGTTCCGTGAAAGCAATGCAAAAAGACCAACTTGGATATAGCATAAGAGAACACAAGTGTACTTTGTTTTCTGCCATAAATGCAATTTAAAATTGAATGTCAACTCAGGAAATTAAAGAATACCTTCAATTGACTTAAATTATCTTTCAAAGAATTTGTTCTTACTTGATTTTCCCTTCCCCATTTACTTCTAAAGTCTTAGTTTTTAGTTTCTCGCCGTTATGATTAATTTCTACAGAAATACGCACTTTTAGGAAAATTTTACTTAAAGCAATTCTGAGGTAAATTAAGTACATAGTTGCCCTTTAATTTTGTAGATTTTCTTGCCTTTTTTTAGTTTTTACATCTGTGCATACCTGGTCCTGAGAATGGACACTTGAAAAATCGTTTTCAGTTGACTTTGAATTTTTTTTTATAGAATGATGGAATTTTTAAGTTGAGAGGAATCTCTTAAGATTACCTAACCTAGTTCAGTTGTTCTCAAACTTGAGCATTCGTTAGAATCACCCAGGTTGCTCGTTAGAGTATAAATTGCTGGGTCTGGGCCCCACAGTTCCTGAGTGAGTAGGTCTGAGGTGGGGCCTGAGAATTCAGGTATTTTACAAGTTCCCAGGTGATGCTTAAGCTGCTGTTCTAGGACCACGCTAGGAGGACCCCTGGTGTATGGGATCCCGGTCTGTAAGCTGCAGACCACTAAGAGGCGGGCAGTCTGTGGAGTCATTGTGAGGTGTCAGTCCACATGTGCACCGAGTGCTGTTTGGGCACTGAAATAAAGAATTGCTCATATGTGTTAAATGTATGTCATGCAAGGATGAGGAGTAAATAAAAAGCATTTCTAAACTCAAATAAGCTTTTATGATTTTCCCTAATCAATAGATCCGTAAGACTTCCAGTATTTATTTAGAAACTCTGATTTGCCTATATTTGAAGGATATATAAATTAGACTCTGTAGCAGAGGTATCTGCAACGTAGTCTAAGTAGTGTGAAGAACATTGAACTCTGAACTGGCTCTCCGTCTGAATGTGTGACCTTGTACAACTTGAGTAACTAGAGAAAATATTTCAGTATTTTTTCCTCCTTGTAATATATTAGTATTATCAACTCTATCTACTTTCCAGGACGATTGAGGATTACGTGATGTAATTTATGATATTTACTATATAAATGTAACGTTACTATAACTGTATTCAAGGTTATGTTCATTAGCTTTGCCACACTCAGTCTTACATACCTGAATTTATATGATTTAAAAACTGGAAGAATCAGGCACCTTCTGCATATTTTTCATGAGTGGGGAACAGAAAGGTGACTGTTACATAAATAGATGAAAATTCCCTTGAGTTTTTAAAAGTGAATTTTAATTTCATAAGGTTTTTTGCTTTTGTTTTCAGATACATGTTATAAAGCCGGTTTTACCAAAGCTGAACAGTCTGTTTGAATGTGCAGTGTCAGAGGGAAACGGTAATGATTGCTTCTATTTTTTTAATGACATTTATAGGTTTATCCCCTTGATTTCATAACTAACTCTTGTTCATTGTAGAAAACTTGGAAAAACCATAAAAATATAAAGAAGAAAATATAAATCTGTTGCCAGCAAGAGAACAGCTGCTAATATTCCGGATACATACCTTCTAGATTGATTGTTCAAATGCATTTACCTATATCCTTAAAAACTCATTGAGAACATAATTTTAAATGGCTACAGAGTTTTCTATAATTCAGAGGTAGGGTTAATTTTCTAAGTTTTTGATTGTGGGACATTCCAAACTTCGACAGAAGAAGAGCGTGTATGACAAACCCCGTCAGTCAGCTTCAGCAGTGACCAGCTCGTGGCCAGCCTGTTTCTTATATCATACGCATCCACTCCCGCTGCCTCCCCACTAAATGATTTAGAAGCACATCCCTAGACAGCATATCCTTTCATCTGTAATTAGTTCAGGATAGAAATATCTCAAAAGATAAGGACTCTTTGGTAATGTTTTAATAATGGTGTAGTCTACATTTTTAGTAACAGCACGTTGGTGTGAATATATATTTTAACTGCTTTCCACTTTTATTCTCTTAATATATCTGTTTCATTGTTAAAGTTACTTGTTTTTGGGTTTCACTTGTTGTTCTGTGTCTTGGAAGAGACAATTCCAAGACATAGTTTTAAATATAGTTTTTAAGCCTTTAATCAGTACCATATTATGAGAGCTTTTTAAGAGAAATAAAATGGAACTGGAGCTTCCTAAAGTTGCTTTATGAAATTAAGTTTAGATCAATGAAACAGCTAAACACAGGCTAACAGTGTTTTGTATTCATATGAGTGATAAAATGCTGTATTATCATGCTTACGGATGAGAGGTAACCTAGGTAAATGGGTTTTAGTGCTTACTGCAGATAATTACAACTTTAATAGTTTGATCCCTTAGGATTTGAGCTGTGTTCAGCTGATTGCTCTGGTTTTCTGATACACTGGGATTTTTCACATACAGTAAGAATCTATAGTCCTACCTGGGGCTAGAATTTAATTGAATCCTGTTGTGACTTCACTTACGCATTTAGTCTTAAAATCATTCTCTTACTACCACATTTTGCCCACAGCTCTTGACAAACCAAATCAAATAGCAGTGACAGATTTCGAAAAATTACCATTGCCAAAGAACTGAACAAGCATGTTGGTATAAATTACAAATAATGGACCAATTTATTTATAGAATGCCGTGAGTTAACAATGCTGAATATATTTTTTTCTAATAGAATTAAAGGATATTTCAAAAGATTAAAAAATCTCTAAGGTACATATTTATTTCATTTATTGTTTTGTCACTCATTTGTATATTTACTTAATAGATATTTACTTAATGTCCAATATATTCTAAGCACTGGGAATGAAGTGGTGAGACACATGTACTGTTTTTCACTTGATTTTTGTCTGTATTCTGTGAAAAAATAGTTTTGACTATAAGTTCTATGAGGGCAACAAACAAGGGGCTGAAGTGGAGTAGACAGTGAGTGGCGCCATGCCTTAGAGAGGGTGGTCAGGCGAGGGCTTCTTGGGAGTGACAGCAGAGCTCAGGGCTGAGCAGTCAGCACCGTGTGCAGACGCCTGAGGTGGGCACACTCTGTGAGGTGGAGGACCAGGAGGACCAGTGTGGCACAGCGTAGTGGGTGTGGGAGGGTGGGTAAGGTCACAGTAGTTGTCAGGGTCGGTTCATACCTTGTTTGGATTTTATTCGAAGAGCTGTGAGAAGCCATTCAAGGGTTTTAAGCAGAGGAGTGACAGTTTCAGATTTCTGTATGAAAAATGGACTGAAGTAGCATCAGAAAAGAATTGGTTGAAATCACCCCCAATCTAAAGTTCCAACCTGTGTTCGTGGGGTAGTATTTAATTTTCGTACACTGTAGCAGCTATAATATTTGCTTGCAGTCTTTCTAAACGAAACTCTCTGAATATGGAATACTGAATACTGAAGTTGTTTTGGTTGTTCAGTAATTAAACACCCTTGGGTGTGATTAAAAACAAACTCACTATTTTTTTTGTGAGGAAGATTGGCCCTGAGCTAACATCTGTGCCAATCTTCCTCTGTTTTTTCGTATGTGGGGTGCTGCCACAGCATGGCTTGATGAGTGATGTGTAGGTCCATGCCTGGTAGCCAAACCTGTGAACCCTGGGCCACCAAAGTGGAGTGCACGAACTTAACCACTACACCACCAGGCCCCCAAAACAAACTCATTTTTGTAGTGTTATAATGACCTTAAGGTGTCTGGTGTATATGTATTTGTTTGTGAATATATAGTCTATATGTAGCAACCGTAATGTGAGAATCAAATGTCAGCATTACATGTTTATTTCCACAGGATGTTGGCTCTTTCACCCATCTTGGCATATGTGTATTTATAAAAGAATGTTTGAAAGTGAAAATAAAATCCTGACTAAAGAAGGTGTTATCCATTTTTTGGAGCTGTATGAAACAAAGGTTCTTCCATTTTCACCAGAACTTTCTGAGGTAAGGACAGCCTCTCTTTTCCCTTGCTCCCTTTGTCAAAAGATGAGAGGTAAAGGCATTTGTTGTATCGTGTGTGATCTTCAAAAAAAATACACTGGGACTCCATCATAATAGCAGTAACATTTTATAGATTTGGATACAATAGACCCTACTTCTCTAGACCTAGCTGTGGTATTTGGAAAAAGCTTCCTGTAACTGTAGTTTGTTGACAAGCTGCCTGCATCGCTACCATTATGAAAAAGTAGTTCTTGGATATCGGTATTCTAAATGATGTGAGTCAAGAGCGTGGAAACTGATGTAGAAGCTTGTTAGTGATGCTGTTTCCACAGCTGTGCGTCACTGAATTATTCCTGCTTGATTAGTGATGCTCCTCCCCTGGTTCTGAGTCAGTGAATTGTTACCTACTATATTAAGCAAGGTTGCCTTTTGAACTATATTTATTAGCATCTCTGTTTCCATTCGTCGTAAATCACACCAGGCAAAGAGATTGAGAATTATAGCAGTGATTTTAAGTTTTATATTGTGCCACGATCACTTAGGTGTAGTAATTCATCTCTCGTTTAGAGGTAACCTAAGTAAACTTCCCTAGTTGTCTGACTACGTACTATTTATTTTCTTTTTCTTTTCTTTCTTTTTTTTTTTTTTTGAGGAAGATTAGCCCTGAGCTAACATCTGCCAATCCTCCTCTTTTTGCTGAGGAAGATTGGCCCTGAGCTAACATTCGTGCCCATCTTCCTCTGCTTTATATGTGGGACACCTGCCACAGCATGGCCTGACAAGTGGTGCCATGTCTGCACCCGGTATCTGAACTGATGAACCCTGGGCCACTAAAGTGCAACGTGTGAACTTAATGGCTGAGCCACCGGGCTAGCCCTGTGCTATCTATTTTGATATGCATCATTTTTCTACATTCTCCTATCCTTCCTGCACTTCCTTTAAGCTTGCTTTTTTGACCACTGTCTATTTTTTGAAGATATATTTTTTACCCCTTTATCTTCCAGGCATAGGGACTTAAATTTTCTCTTGAGTGTATTTTTATTTTTCCTTTGTTACTAGCTTTATTTTTCACTCTGTGTTCCTTCTTTGGGTCCTTTCTTCCTTCTTGACCCAACATGAACTCTCTTCTTAGTATTCCACAAGTTTTTATCAGATGGGAAAATTCTATACTTATTTTGTCATTCTGGTGGAATTAAGGTACCCTCCAGGACTATCATAAATTAAGGTACAGCGTGAGAGATCACCTTTGCTTATGATAGCTCTGCTGCAGCCCTGTGTAGGATGTGCAGTTAGGCCAAGCTGACTTTTCAAAATTGCAGTTACAACTTAATATGAAATACTTCTTTTTTTTTTTTTAGTTTATTATTGGACCGTTAATGGATGCCCTTTCAGAGAGCTCTCTCTATAGCAGGTAAACAAATGTGTTATTTAGCAGCAATGCAGTAATATGTATTTGATGTATAAATTTAACATGTGTATGAAATATTACCAGGTTGTTTAATGAATTTGGTACATAATAGATGCTGCCTAATAGACATTCAACTTTTTCTTGCCGTGTAGTCCTTTCTGTGTTTGTTATTCTTCTTGCCTTTCTTGCCTTAGTTGTATCAAGAATTCCTTCTTTTTTCCTCTTCTTGTTTTCCTTCCTGCCTTGAACTCTCCCGTTCTTGGGCTTTAGAGAGTCTCTCTCACATAGCTTACTTTCTTCTTACTCCTGATTTCTGCCCTCTTGGAAATTGTAGTGACTTTGGCTAACCAACACTTTAAACTTTGTTTTCCTTTTTCTTTTGACTGTTAATTTTGACTGACAGAAAAGTTGTGAGAATAATACAAAGAATTCCTATTTACCTTTTGTCCACATTCCCCAAATGTTAATGTTTTACCACATTTGCTTAATCATTGTCTCCTTCCCTGTGTGTGTGTGTACATCTGTTTCTTAGCTCTGTCTGCTGAGCAGACTTACCAATCTGTACCTGTTTTAGTGTCTGTCCGTCCATCCATCCATCCATATTAAAAACCATGAGTTCACACCAGTACCTCCAGCTCCAGTCCTGTACCATGCGGTTCGTTCTGATTTTCCCCTTTCCATACCTGACGGGGCTGCCATTCTCCATAGCGCATTGCCTACTTGCAGCCTGTAACCTTTGAAAAAGTTGACAGTGAGAAGAGTGTCAGTATTGGGCCTTAGCCTCATTTTTTGGGAGCATTATCTGTACTCTTGAATTATATCTTCAAAAGTTTCCTCTCCTTATGAAATTGTCTTTCTAGTATTGATTAAATTTATGCTTGCAAGTCTTCTGTTTGGTATATCTCTAAGCAGAAAAAGAACCTCCCACCGCCAGTTTCTTTAAAATTTTTAAATTAGTCTGTGCAAAGTTTTATTACTATTTAGTCATGTTTAATCCAAAAGGGCATAGCGGTGCTTATTTGCCAATTATTTTAGTTTTCCAATAACTCATTACTATTGAGTAGTTTTCTGAAGCAATTAGACAGCTGGAGAGCAGTAAAACCAACTTGGTGCTTTCTAAAAGAGTTGACAAACACATTTATTATGACATGCCTTCAGTTTTCCAGCTCTCTAACGTGCTCAATTAACAGATAATGTTCCTGGCAGAAGCGTATAGCAGAAAAAAAGTGACTTTAGTAGATGTTAACAGTTAAATGCTCTTGGAAAAGTAATTTATTATGAATATATGTCTTCCTATGAATGTTATTTCTTTTATTTAATACCTAAAGATTTAAAACCATTGCATTATATGTTGGAAACAATGAAATATAATTTAAAACGATCGTTTATAGACTTTTTTTCATGATACTATTTAGCAAGATTCATGTATGTGTGTCACGGATAGTATCATAAAAAGGAAATCCAGGCCTCCTTCGTGTAGCACGATACTTACACATGTCTGTTTTTCTAGAAGATCCTGATTTTTGTAATCAGAAGGATCCTCAGAATTTTACTGAAGAAGAAAATGCAGGTTCAGAAAAACATGATGATCTTATTGTTTTGTTGTTGACAGACTTTTGGGCCGTTGTCCATTTAGTTTCAGTTTAATTATTTACAAGTAGATTTTAACTATTTTTCTCCCCTCTTTGTCTGTAGGTCCCCAGGCCAGCTGATAGGAAGTGGTTCTCCATTGGGATTGAAATTACAGAAGTTTTTAGTCACGTTTATTTCCCTTCTTCCAGAAGAAATAAAGAGTAGGTGTCAGTAAAGGGTTTATTTAAGAAATTTATTTGCTTAAAAAATTTTTTTATTTTTAGTATATTGGTTATAAGCACCATCCTATGACTATTATAATCAATATTATCAAAGTAGTTTCCTTTTTCCATGATGTGCAAGTTTTGTCAGAGTTATACAAATGTCCACTGTGATTAAGTACACACTTTTGCCTTTGTATATAACGTATTACCAGTATTGGCATGGGTAGCATGGAAACAGTTTTAGAATGTGTGCTATAGTTTGCCATCTTTTCTAATTATCTCTATTCACTTTCAGAAATTAATAAAAATGGGTTAAAAAAAGAAAACCTGGGTTTAGGAAAAAGTTGTAAACAGAATATCCATTGTGGCAAAGTTGTGCCTTTATAGATATTGACTTAGAAAGATAAAAAGAAAAATATACTTGCCTTATGTAAGACCTTGTGTCCTAAAAGTATCCACTTTTTCAGATTGGGTCTTTGTTTTTTTTCTCTTAAGTTGGTAAGCAAAGCACAAAACCAGTGTTGTTTGGTTTGCTGAGCAGCAGAAAGAACTACTCTACTTTCTAAGTCCTTTTTTTACTTATGTGACTTATAAAGTGAGCGTGGGTATAAAATATGTATTTTTTTCTTTTGCGTTTAATCTGCAAATAGGGTGAAATGATGACCAATGGCAATATTTATTCAAAAGTCAGGAAAGAAAGCAAAAAGATGGTCAGTGTATCATGACTTTAGATTTATAGAATATTGATTGTTTTGATTCCTTTAGAAAATTAGGGGGCTGGCCACCGTGGCGGAGTAGTTAAGTTCGCCTGCTCTGCTTCTGGGTGGCCTAGGGTTTCACTGGTTTGGATCCTGGGCATGGACGCGGCACTGCTCGTCAGGTTATGCTGAGGCAGCGTTCCACATGCCACAACTAGAAGGACCCACAACTAAAATATACAACTATGTACTGGGGGGACTTAGGGAGAAAAAAAAAAAAGATTGGCAACAGTTGTTAGCTCAGGTGCCAATCTTTAAAAAAAAAAGGAAATTAGTTAATGGAGACGATAACTGTCAGAGCTGTTCTTCAGTTTGGTAGAATTCTGAGTTTAAGCAGTGTGGGGATTGTTTGCCGACCATGTTGGCTGGTCCCAGTTGGTTGGCCCAGCAGTGTGAGTGAGATGTAGTGTAGCGCCCCCTACAGGTGAGTACCTGGTGTTTGTGGCCCAGGGCACGACACCTAGTAGACGCTTGTAAATGTGCTGAATAAATGTGAAATGGATGCTTGGCTGTTGCCATCTTCCTTGTGTCATGAGTGAGGTGTTAGGAGAAAGATGGGAACTTAATTAGAGCAACAGAAGAGAGGGCAGGTAAAATGTTTACTCAGTTTTTACTTAGTGGTTCTTTCAGTCAACAATTTCCAGTGAATATCTTAATGTATCTAGGTTTGTGCTAGGTGCTTTGGAAGATATAAAATACATTTAATACCCTTTCAGGGGCTTGCAAGGATTGCCTAAAAGTCATTCTACAGTTATAATCTGAGGAAACAGACATTTTCACTAACTGCATGATTTGAGGGTCCTTAAGAAATCCCATTAGCAGAGAAGGCAGAACAGAGCCCCATCTCTTTGAATCTCAAAATAGAAAAATAAGTTATAGTGGTTAGATCCAGAATAGATAAGAAATAGCCTACAAGAAAGATCTAATATTAATTTAAGCAGATACCAGAGGCCAGTTACCATCAGTATGTCTTATCCTGTTTTTCTTTAACATCTCCAACAGAAGAATGGCTTCTAAGAGTAAAAATTTACTTTTTGCCTTATCTTCTTTCTTTTTGATATAGCTTCCTGGTTATCAGAATCTCTAAAATGTAGTAGAATACTTATCTTACTAAATCGGAATTAAGTTGAAATAACGTTGATTTTTTTCAACAGCTTTGTTGAGATATAATTCACATACTGCAAAATTTATGCTTTTAAAGTGTTCATCATTGGTTCTTAGTATATTCATAAAGTTGTACAACCATCACCACTGTCTAATTCCAGAATATTTTCGTCATCCCAAAAGGAAACTCCATGCCCATTAGTAATCATTTCTCATTCTCCTTCCCACTAGCTCCTGTCAGCCACTAAGCTACTGTCTGTCTCTTTAGATTTGCCTATTTTAGACATTTCATGTAAATGGAATTTTATGTGGGCTTTTATTTTATATCTGGATTTTTTCACTTAGGATGGTGTTTTTAGGATTTGTCCATGTTGTGGCATGAATCAATATTTCAGTCCTTTTTATGGCTGAATAATATTTCACTGTATAGATATTTCACATTTTATTTATCCATTCTTCCATTGTAGACCTTTGGATTATTTCCACTTTTGACTGTTATGAATGATGCTGCTATGAATATTCACGTACAAGGTTTTGTGTGAACATATGCTTTTGGTTCTCTTGAGTACGCACCTAGGAGTGCAATTCTTGGCTCATATGGTAACTCTCTGTTTCACTTTTAGAGGAGCTACCCAACGGTTTTCCACACTGGCCACACCATTTTACATTCCCGCCATCAATGTATGAGGGTCCTGATTTCTTCCCATCCTTGTCAACACTTGTTATTGTCTGTCCTTTTGATTATAGCCATCTTAGTGGGTGTGAAGTTATATCTCATGGTTTTTGATTTGTGTCTCCCTACCTAATGACTAATGACATTGAGTATCTTTTCCTGTGCTTATTGGCAACAATGATATTTTAAAACTTTTTCTTTCAGGTAGTTTCCTATTGAGGTTTATTCAGAAGATGACAAGTAGACATTGGTGTGCCATCCCCATTTTGTTTCTGTCTAAGGCTTTGGCAAGTGTGCCAAGATGTAAAGCCCTGGGAATCGAAGGGCTTCTTGCTCTCAGGTAATTTACTCTGTGTGTGTTTGTGTGGTTATTTGCTACAGCTTTCCATCAGTAAATTTTGTTTTCCCTTCTGCTTTAATTTATAGTGAGTGGTTTTTGTTAACATTAGCATTAGGATTTTTGAGCTCTTAATTTTATATAAAAAATGTAAATTTTAAAAAGTGTATTATTCATATATTGAACTTACTTTCTTTTATGAATTAGTAATTTAAATATGTGCCATAATACATGCTATTGGATTTTGACCACTTTAAGGCCAATAAGTTTTTTTATTACATTGATATGTAGAAAATTAGAGATAAAATATCAAACAGTAATATTCATTATAAAGTAGTTCCAAAAAGATAAAATTCTTACTTTAAAATTATCTTCATTTATAGTCTTTTCATTTTTAAAAGAGATTTGTTTCATATTAAAATTGAGCTTTACTGGAGACCTTAATGGAGAATAATAACTTTGAAATTCTACTGACAGTGACTTCCTGCATTAGAAATTGTAGATACACATCAGCCTGTCAGTAATTGCAAATTAGCAGCATTGTCTTTGGGAACATGGAAATACATTTTTCATTTTTCGATGTCAGGGATGTCCTTCAGTGTACTATGATCACGCACCAGATTCTGTTGAGAGGGGCGGCTCAGTGCTACCTTCTTCAGACAGCAATGAATTTGGTAGATGTGGTAAGTTTATCTTTTTTACTCATGGTAGTTCAATTTGCAAGTCTATCTTAGTGAGTGGGTGTACAAAAAGGAGTCAACATAGCAGGTTAGTGATGTTGTCGTTAGAAAGCCCTGCTTAGAAGGTTAGCACTTGGCTGGCATCTGGGAACTTGGAGTTTGGGTGGGTTCCCACTGTCCTGACTACAGACTCACTGAGCCTGAAGTGTGTATAGAAACAGCGTGGTTTATGCTGAACGCCTGCTTTCCTCTGGGAGGTTGCAGTTTTGGTAGGTGCCCTGCAGAGGGTGGCTGTGTGACCAGCTCCCAAGAGAAAAACCCCAGCGTGCTGAGTCCCTAATGAGCTTCCCCGGTGGACAGCGCTTTGCATGCTGCTGGGGAACTGAGCGCATCCTGGGTGACTCCACTGGGAGGGCACTCTCGGAAGCTTTGCCTGGTTTCCTTTACTTTTTCCACACATCTCCAGTAAGCTGACATCAAGGAGTATATACTATCTTTATTCTGTGTTTTTTCCAGAGCCCCAGTAATGCTATTGCTGAGAACAGGGGTCAGCAAACTTTTTCTGTGAAGGCCGCATTACTATATATTTTAGGCTTTTTGAGTCATGTGGTCTCTGTCACAACTACTCAAAAGCAGCCATAGGCAGTTTATAAATAAATGGGCATGGCTGTGTTCAAATAAACTTGATTTACAAAACAAGCTGTGCGTGGTTTTGCCAACCCCTGGCCTAGAGCAAGATAATTCAAGAGGTACAACTTAAGGGAATGAAAAGACTCAGGTGCTTTTCTTAAGGCAGGGGTCATTTTTGTGGTGTTGAAAAGAAAGAATCACTTTTGGTTTAAGTAGTAAGTAATTTCTTATGGAATATTTTTGTCCTTCTTTTAGATTGTGACCAGCTTCTCTTTAAGATAGTAACCTTGATTTTAAGGAAAATAGGTTTATAAAATAATCATCATTTTATACAATATGTTGGTTGTTTGTAATCAATATCTTCATTTTAAAAGTTGAATAATATTTTCTTTTTAAAAAGTAGCTTTCCTTTTATCTAATTTCCTACTTTAAATAGTATACTAGATTGATTTTACAGTGATTTTATTTTATTCAGTTAAAAATTTTAAAATGAGTAATTTTTTGAAACTGCCCTGCCCCCCTCCCCCAGGAGAAAGTGTCACTTTCTGACATCTCAACTTTTCTCATGTCTCTGAGACAAGAGGAGTCCTTGGGACGAGGAACTTCATTGTGGACAGAGGTGAGATTGAAAATAATTTAATGATAAGATCTTTGAAAACTTTATAAAAAATTGTTTTCTACTTGAATTCATTACTAGTGATTTATGTAAAATATAGTGATTGCTTTGTTATCTATCAACATAGATTTTTTAAAATTGTGTTTGTGCTTTGAGTGCACCTAACTAATAATGCTGCTAAGATTCTCATGAAGAAGTGGGAGAGAGGAAATGTTTGGGATAGAGAGAGACCTATTTAGAAGAGAAGATACTGCTGGTGGGCAGATCTCGATTATGGATGAGATATATTAGGAATAATGATGTTAGACTCAAAAACAGTAACACAGTCCTCCTCTTTCTCTTTTTTCCTGTCACTTAACGGCACTTTCATCTACCCAATTGCCCATGCCTGACATTTCGATAATTTGTAATTCTTCCTGACTTTATGCATCTAATTCACCATAAAATCCTAAATGTCTTTCTTTTCTCCAGCCATTGCTCTAGTGGAGACCCTCTGCTAGTGCTCCTTCCACTGCGATGACTTCTTCCTTGTTGATACCTGTCTCTGAGCTCGCTGCCTCTGCCTCACCCCCACGTCAGGGCCTTAAAGTCCGATTATGGGCTAGCGATGCTGCTGTGCTCCGTGGGGCTCTTCCATGGTCCACTTCTCCTTTTTTGTTTTGTTTTAAACCGTGCAACTCAATTCATTCTACTGATTTTCACTCTTATCCATTATAAACTTGGTTGAATTCTAATCTGTGTCCTCTATAGGTTATATATTTTTTGAGGACGGAAACCCTTTTTCTTTTACTTTGCATTTCTCCAGTATCTAAGAGATCTCTGTGGCTAGGGATGTGATTATTTCTTTTAGAAGGCCATGCTGGCTATATATGCAAGAGAGAAATCAGACTGGCCTGTGTTAAAATAATTCAGGCATAAAATAATGAGAGCTTAGAGTAGAGTAATGGCAGAGGGAGTAAGAACGGGCACATTTGGGCCTCTCAAAATTAGATTTTCGTTTTATTTTCTTGATCGTAATGCATCTAATTATGTGGAATCTGAAAAATACAGAACCATATAAAGAAAATGAAAATCACCTGTAATGCCTACCGTCAAATCTGTACTTTTTGGTTTAATTTTTAATTTTTTGAATATATAGATGTTCTCACTCTTTCTCACTATATGTATGTATATTTAAAATCATACATTAATATATATGATGTTTCTAAACAAAATAAAGATCATAGTGTTTTGAATTTATTTTTCATCTTCATATACATTTGAGCATTTTAGCATGTTGCTAAATAATTCTCTAATATGTGATATTTAAAAATTCAGTTGATTAAATATTTTATAATTTGTTTAATCAGTTCCTTTTGTTGGACTTTTGTTTCAAATCTTATTTCATCTCTATGTACTGCTAAAATATAAGGACTTTAAAGAGTCTAAAAAGTAGGCCCTGGGGCTGCCCTGGTGGCATAGTGGTTAAAGTTGCGCTCTGTTTCATTGGCTCAGGGTTTGCAGGTTCAGATCCCGGGCATGGACCTAGCACTGCTTGTCAAGCCACGCTGTGGCAGCATCCCACATAAAGTAGATGAAGACTGACAAATGTTAGCTCAGCAAAAATCTTCCTCAAGCAAAGAGAGGAAGATTGGCAACAGATGTTAACTCAATGCCAATCTTCCTCACCAAAAAAAGGCCCTTATCACACCTAAGAATGTTAACAATAATTTCTTGATTTCAGATATTCGGTGTTTAAATTTCTCCAGATGTCCAGTAAATGTTTTTCTGCTTGTTCTTTGCATTTTGTTTGTTCAAATAGCTAGTTTTGTTCAAGTATCCAAATAAGGTCTGTTCATTGCATTGATATGTATAGTTTGTAAGTTATGGTTAATCCATCTGGAATTTATTTTGGTATATGGTATGAGCTGTGTGGTTTAAATGAAAACATGCATGTAAAAATGTTTCAGACTATGCATAGCCCATATCAAATGTAACTATCTACTCCTAGTCTTCTCTTTCTGCCTAGGTTTAATGAGCCAGACGTTTGTTTTATTGTTTACTTGTTTTTAAGGAGCCAGCCCTTATGTTTCTTTATTTGTTCCACTTAATTTTTCAGTTAATTCGTTAATATCTGTTTTCATCTCTTTTTTCTTTTACTTTCTTATGCTATGTTTTGCTTATCTCTTAAGGTCTTGGATTCATTTATTGAAAATTGTTGTACAGCTTCCACACACCAGGCTCTGTGCTAAGAGTTGGGAATACAATAGTCAGCAAAATAACCATGGCCGCTGTCCTCAGGATGCTTCTGTGGTCTGGTGGTTTGGAGTTGAACCCAAACTTTGATTCTTTTTGTTTGTTTAATAATAAAAGCACTTATATATATGTATATGTATCTTAGTGTAGATTTGGCTATATTCTACAGCTTTTGCTATGCAGTAATATTCTCCTTATTATTGTGTAAATCCCTATGTATGATGCTGAATCATATAAAATTGTTGATATTCAGTCATTTGTTAAGCTATAGAAATGGCAATTTCATATAGCTCAACATAAATAATTTTTTAAATTAATAGACTTTATGTTTTAGAGCAGTTTTATGTTTGTAGAACAATTGAACAGAAAGCACAGAGCTCATATATACCCCTCACCACACCCCTCCTCTCCCCACAGTTGCCCCTGTTATGAACATCTTGCATTAACTGTGTTACATTTGTTACAGTTGAAGAGCCAATATTCATACATTATTATTAACTAACGTCCATAGTTTACATTAGGGTTCACTCTTTGCCTTGTATGGTATATGGGCTTTGACAAATGTATAGTGACATGTATCCACCATTACAGTATTGTACAGAATAGTTTCACTGCCCTAAAAATCCCTGGGTTCCACGTATTCGTCTCTCTCTTCTCTTGCTCTTCCCAAACTCCTGGCAACCACGGATATTTTCACTGCCTCCATAGTTTTCCCTTTTCCAAAATGTCATATAGTTGGAATCATACAGTATGTGGCCTTTTCAGACTGGTTTCTTTCACTTAGTAATATGCATTTAAGGTTCCTCCATGTCTTTCATGGCTTGATAGCTCGTTTCTTTTTATCACTGAGTAACGTTCCATTGTCTAGATGTACCATTGTTTATCCATTCACCTGCTGAAGGACATCTTGGTTGCTTTTAAGTCCTGGCAATTATAAAGCTGCTATAAACATTCACATACAGGTTTTTATGTGGAAATAACTCTTCAACTCATTTTAGTAAATATCAAGGAGCACAGTTGCTAGGTTGTATGGTAAGAGTATGTTTAGTTTTTTAAGAAACTGCCAAATTGTCTTCCAAAGTGGTTGTACCATTTTGTGGTCCCACCAGCAATGAATGGAGTTCCTCTTGCTCCGCATGCTCTCCAGCCTTTGGTGTTGTCAGTGTTCCAGACTTTGGCCTTTGTCATAGGTGTGTAGTGGTATCTCATTGTTGTTTTAATTTGCATTTCCCTGATGACATATGATGTAAAGCATCTTTTCAGGTGCTTATTTGCCATCTGTATATCTTCTTTGGGGAGGTATCTGTAAAGACCTTTTGCCCGTCTTTTAATTTGATTGTTTATTTTCTTACTGTTAAGTTTTAAGAGTTCTTTGCTGGAATAATCAGTCCTTTATCAGATATCTTTTGCAAATATTTTCTTCCAGTCTGTGGCTTGTCTTTTCACTCTCTTGACAATGTCCAAATAGACTTTTGAGATTTGAATTTCAATGAGAAATTGAGGGAACTGTCTACCAGAGACTGCTAGTTAGAGTTAGGTCCCATTTTTATTCATAAGTCTGATATGAAATGTCTGATGGGAAAACATTTTGAATATTGTGACAGATTTGATAGAGGGAAAAAATCATATGAATTGCAGTTCATTTGTCAGTTGTTTGGTATAATAGGATTGTGGTTATGGAAATAAAGGATTTGGAAACCTCACTTATTTTGTAGTAATAATTAAGAAGTTTAGTTTGGCCAGTTTGAGAGGAATATAAAGAAAAAATATAAAATGTTGAAAGATAAATACTGGCCGACCTCACTATTAGGCAAATTGTGTATTTTAAGATTATCCGACTTGATAAAGACCTGTACAAACAACTCCCTTTAGTGTTATTGAACTGCTCATTCATTGGTACCTATGGGATGTCAGTTTTAGTCCTGACTCATTCATTCATTCATCATCCATTCATCAATTCTGTCTTTGGTCAAGCGATATATTATTATTTTGTTCCTTATATGTAATTTTGGATGATGTTAATGGATGTAAAAAATATTTTTGAAAAAATTCTTACTTTTTAGAAAGACTCACTTCATAATAACTTCATATTTAAATTTATGTATTGAATTTACACATTAAGAGATATATTGTAAAAACAATTTGAGAACATAGTTAGATTTCCAAACAAAATTTACAGTTGCATGTGATCAAAGATCAATTCTGTAAAAGTCTGTGGCTTTTAGTTTTGTAAATCTTCTATAAGATGTAGTGAAGAAGGACGAGGACAGTATTTCTCTTTTAAATTAATATATTTTAAAATGCATATATAATAGGAAATAAACTTGTGAGGAGGATAGGAACTTTAATTATAACCTATTTCAAATTATCTTCAAAATAAATATATCCTTGTTTTAGTATATGAAACTGGAATGAATTTTAACTTAAGATAGTAATTTGTTTTGCATAATGTTATTTTTCATAGAGATGTTCTTTAGAATACCTTATCAAAAATGTGCATTTTAGGGGCCAGCCCCATGGCTGAGTAGTTAAGTTCTCGAGCTCTGCTTTGGTGGCATCACTCATCAGGCCACGCTGAGGCGGCGTCCCACATGACACAACTGGAAGGACCCACAACTAAAATAATACAACTATGTACCCAGGGTATTTGGGGAGAAAAATCAAAAAAGAAAAGAAGATTGGCAACAATTGTTAGCTCGGGGGCCAATCTTTAAGAAGAAAAAAAAATGTGCATTTTATATTACCTACTTTAAAAATTCTTGCCTGTTAATGAAGTTTACAAATTCCTTGAGGGAGATTAGAAGACACTCATGTATACATACGTACATAGACACACGTAGACATATATGTATTACATACACATATTTTTTTCTGTCTGCGCTGTCTGTGGAACTCAGTCATGACAATAAATGTTTTATCACTTTGTTGTATTCAATCATTTAAATTCAGTTTATTGTGGAAGAAAGAATATTAGGTTAGAGAAATTAGAAACCCTTTGTTCAGTTAGGTTTTTAAAATAAAGTAATAACTACTTTCTTTTCTAGCTCTGTGATTGGTTGCGTGTTAATGAAGGCTGTTTTAGGCGACTCTCAACTTGTAGCTCCACTGGACTCAGTGAAACAGCCTCTTTAAATGCTTACGTCAGGAACCTCGTTCAAGAGTATGTTAAGTCGCCTGCTTGGGAAAGTAAGTCTGAAATCATTCTTATAGATTGATATAACCAAAATATTTTCAAAGAACTTTTGGCTAGTTTTTCAGATCAAGATATAGGTTTAACCAAATGTGTGCCTATTTGCTGTGAATGTGAATGATGTGAATAACGGAATGTAAAAATAGTGTTTCCTAATTTGTACTTTATCTGTTCCAGGACTTGAAATTTTAAACTATTTTACATGTTTTAAGAAACTCGCAAGTTGCCGGAGTAGGAATTAGACACATAAATTGATTATTCCACAGTTACTGAGTCTTTGTGGGCTGGATGTTGCAGGTGTGGTTTTGGAGCCTCTGTAGTGGAAATATTGATAAATAAATGTGTTTATCTTTTGTTTTCAAAGCATTGCATTTAGTGTGAACTGATTTTGAAAAGGAATTTTAGAGAAAAATTATATTTGTAAGGATGATTTTGTTAGTTTTTTCTTTTTACCAGATACTTAGCAAAGAGCAATTTTGCGCCTTCTTTGGGGAACTATGTAAGACTGCGTGAGGGAAGAACTATCAGCAGATTCATTAATTAGGATTCTTTTTACATTTCTAATGCTTCCTCTTCATTACAGGCATTAGTGATAATTTGGGTAAATTGCATCTTTGAATTTAATGTGCCTTAAATCTCCTGGCTTTGTCTCAGACCAAGTCATTTCCCGTGACTGATTTCTCTAGTCTGATCATGGAATAAGTCTTAAATGATCAGATAATTATCCTTCCAGAAGACTTGAGTTTCTCTGTTCTTCCTTCTTCGAGCATTTCTCTTTTGTATTTTATTCCCTCTGCTGTCTAGTGAGTTTTATGTGCTGTTACTTGGGAGATTGTTTTGTTAGGCCTATAGAAGTAAATAAAATGTAGTCATTACTAGAGTAAACATAGATTAGACTCCCTAAAATATCTATAGAACTTGTTGTATAATTCAGAGTATGTAACAGCATCAGATCTGATTAAATTACTCGAAATTGGTTGAAACAAGATTTTTGGAGTTTCTCCTTTAACACTTCTAGGACTTAAAATATACAATTTAATGTAATATGCTATTTTAAGTTTTTAAAAAACTGATTTCAAGTACAAAGGAGACATTTGTGTGTGCGCACTTAAGATTTTTGTTTTGACTTTTAATGCCCTTGACTAAGTGCCTTTATAAAATTACTGGTCAGTTTTCAGAACAAGTTAATAAATTCCAAACCAAGCATTATTTAGCGTGAGTTTTTGAGCATAAAATACATAAAATATTCAAATTTGTTTTTATATAAAGACTCATCAGCCAAAACACTATTTTCAATCAGATTCTGCATCTAAAGTAGCTTTTTCTTTGGGTTTTGACATGGAACAGATAGTTTTTACACTATTTATTAAGCAAACATATATCAAATATTTTCTGAGTGCCAGGTATCGGAGTTACAGAGATAAAAGGTAGACGTCTGCCCTCAGAGAGAGCATGATGTAGCACTGGATGTGTGTGTATATATGTGCGTGTATATATCATGTGTATGGTATGTGAAACAACAAAACAAAGCAATAACAAAAACCACACAAAACCAACATCATCAACAAACAAAAATGTTGAAGAGCTTTCAGAGCAGGCTTTCTGAAATGGAGAAAGTGAGACATCATTTGGAAACAGCAGAAAAGGCTTGTCAAAGCTTAGAAGTGCCAAGATCAACCATAGAGTAAAATATATTTGGAGAAATTTATACTTAAGTCGGACAATCCATCATAAAGGGTGTTGTTGTATATAGATTTTGTAGTTAAATGATGTGCCTGCTTAAAGTGTAACCAAGAAATTTGGAAATTTGGAATGATCCCAAAGTAATATATTGCAGCTGTACAACAGATTTTAAAGACAGCTTTATTGAAGTCTAATTGACGTATATTAAACTGCACATATTTAAACTGTACAATGTGATGGGTTTTGACCTATGTGTACGCTCGTGAAACTGTCAGCGTAACAAAATAAGGAACATAGCCATCACCCTCAAAAGTGTGTTTCTGCCTCTTTGTGATCCCCGTCTCCCATTTCTACCTGCCTCTCCTCCATCCCCAGACAAGTCCTGATACACTTTCTGACACTGTAGATCAGTTTGCATTTTAAAGAGTTACGCTAAATTTTTAAAATTTGTGCTAGCAAGATTTGACTGATGATTCAGGGTCAAATTGCATTAAGATGATTAAAGATAGCCGTGATTCTTTTGTTTCTTTAAAACCATTGTTGCCTCTACTTTTCTAGCTTCAATGAGAGAAAAGGGAGAGTAAGTAAGGAATTCTCTGCCAGTGATTCAGTGTGTGGTTTCCAAACCAGTAACATCAGCATCACCTGGAAACTTTTTAGAAATGTGAATTCTTGAGCTTTATCCCAAACCTATTGAATCAGGAACTCTGGGTGTGGGGCTCACCCTCTGTGTTTTAACAAGCCCTCCAGCTGATTCTGACACAAGCGGAAGTTTGAGACCCACTGCTCTGTAGCGTGGACTTGTTTAGTATGGTGGTGAAGTTCTCAGGAAGCAGCGTGCGAGAGTGTGTCCTCTTTGGAGGGGTCAGACGCTCTATTGTTATTGGCCTGGTTCGGTGGCACTCCTTGAAATCAGAAATCCTTAAAAGTCCACTACATTTCTGATTTTGGATTTTGGATTTTTTTGCTGAGGAAGATTTGTCCTGAGCTAACATCTGTGCCAGTCTTTCTCTATTTTGTATGTGGGTCACTGCCACAGCATGGCTGACTATGAGTGGTGCAGGTCTGTGCCTGGGAACCGAACCTGGGCCACTGAAGCAGGGTGTGCTGAGCTTAATCACTAGGCCATGGGGCTGGCCCCCCTGAGTTTCTGATTTTTAACCTTCTCTGTCTGTATCCAAGGTGAAAAATTCCTTAGGATTTCAAAAAGGATCTGTGTTTCTAGAACTCTGCTATTGGTATTTCACTGGAGGCAAGTGAGAACTATCTGGTTAGCCACGTTGAAGACTCCCAACATGTGTGCTGTCCATACTAAAATGTGTGGTGTTTACACCCAAAGGCTTCCAGCTCACATGCTTAAGTGCCACTGTGATTGGAAATATTTCATTCTCAAAAAAGCACCCCCACCATCCCCACCCACCCACCTCCTATGAGATCAGAAGGTATCTGATTATATGATTGCTAATGAAAATATAGGGAACTGAATAGTGTATTGGCATTTGATTTCATTCAGTCTTCATTTATGAATGAATTTTTAATGTAAATGTAGGATGTAAAGTATTAATGTGAGTAAAAATGTTTCAGAGAAAAAATTTTAATTCACCTTTGTAAAATTTATGAATGTAACCTAAGTTTTTCTATATAGATTTAGATTTTTTATTGATAACTAAATGGCATTTATAGCATTTTTAAAAATAATATATAGTAAAGTTTATTCTTCTGTTGTATTTCTAAACTGAGTTGTCCTACATGCAAGTATGTTTTTAGTATTGTCTATCTTCTGTACTATTCTAATAAATTTGTATCAAAATATATTAAATTACCCCCAAAATATATTAGAATGTTTGAAAAAACATTCTTAATGATTTTAAGTATTTGAACCATTGGGCTGGAAAATCAGATCTCTTACCTAAATTTTTCTTAGGAGTTGAGTTGAAAAGTATAATCTTACTAGAGTAGTATATCATGAATGAAAAAGAAATCTTCTATCCATGACTTATTTTAATTTAACTGGCTTTCAGAGGGAGGAAAATATTAATTTTATCTGTAACCAAATTGTCTCTTCCAAAACATGTTCTAGGAAATTTGCATATATTATTTAATTTTTATAATGGACCTAAGAAAAGTCATAGGTTTTATTAGACTTCATGGAAGATGACGTAAGCTTTCTGAGAGGGTAACCACTGTCCCAAGGTCCCACAGCTAATAAGCCATAGGACTGGGGTTCAAACGCAGGTCTGAGACCCCAAAGCCTTTGTGTCTGTATCCATTCCATCCACCTTCTGGTTACATTTTAGGGAACTCTCTTCTCTCAGCTGAAATACTGGAATTGTCTCTTAACCAGTCACCTTGCATCTACTCTTGCTTCTCCCACAGTCTCTTTTCTACATAGTACCTAGAGAAATCTTTTTAAAATACAAATTTCATTCTACAAATTTTTCTTCCTCTTTGTATATATTCGGCTTAACGTTCAGTGGCTTCCTCTTGCCTTTAGGATAAAGACAGAAATCCTTTACATGGCCAACAGAGTCCCCCTCTCTACCCTTCCTGTTTCTGTAACCTCATCTTTGGTACCCCCTCACACTTGTGTACCCCAGCCACATGGGCCTCCTGCCATCTCCTGGAGTGTGCCGTGCTCTCTCTGCCAGAGCACCTTTGACGTACTCTTCCTTCTGTCTGGAAAGGTCTTGTCTCCCTTCACCTTCTCTTTCTTTCTCAGCCTTCACACTCAGCCCAATTGTCGTTTCTTCAGAGCAACTTCCTGTTTCTCCCCAGATGAGGGCCTATCCTCCTAGTGTACTCTGCTAGCACCATTGGTAGCCCTCACCACAATTGTCATTTTACATTTCTTTGTATATTCTTTGATGAATGCTTTTCTCCTCTACTGCCCTGTAAATTTCATGAGCATAGGAACTATTGTGTCTGCAACACCTAGGTCAGTGAATGGGGTCTAGTAAGTGTGCAAAGATTTGTTTTTAATTCATATTTAATTGTGTATAACAATGAGCTATGTAGGGTGTCCCATTGTATTTCATCTCAGCTCTATTTCTCTAATAGTTTAATATTGATAAGGTATAATCATTTAGCTGTTTTGTTTTTGAAACATCATCTTTGAAGGATTTTGTTAATGCTTTGCAAACCTTTTGTTATTTAAGCAGGGGAAAACTGCTTTATGCCTGATTGGTTTGAGGCCAGGCTTGTTGCTATGATGGTCTTGCTGGCTGTAGATGTGGAAGGAATGAAGATTCAATATAGGTAAGTGTTTCTAATCTTGAAAAGAAAGCTTAAAAAAAAGGGCTAATCAGGTTTATGGTGCCTATTCAGACTTTTCCATGCTTAGTATGGGATTAATTACAGTGTATTAAAGGAAGGAACTAGAACATTGGTAATATACTAAAGAAATGTTTAGAATTAACAATAAATTGGGGCCAGCCCAGTGGGGCAGTGGTTAAGTTCACATGCTCCACTTCAGTGGCCCAGGATTCCCAGGTTTGGATCCTGGTTGTGAACCTACACACCGATCATCAAGCCAGGCTGTGGAGGTGTCCCATATACAAAGTAGAGGAAGATTGGCACAGATGTTGGCTCAGGGCCCATCTTCCTCAGACAAAAAGAGGAAGATTGGCAACAGATGTTAGCTCAGGGCCAATCTTCCTCACACAATAACCCCTAAAAAACCCCCCAAAACAATAAATTAATAGGAATAGGGGCTTATTAGTCCTTTTAGGTTAGTAAGTCAAACTGTTAGAGAAGGTCAAAAAAACTGCATGCAGTAATCACTGGTTTTATATGAGAATGTTACAAGAACAGGTTGTAAGGTCCTAGCATAAGATTAGGTAATTTGCTGGATTTGGCCTCTTTGTAAAATGTGTAATTATAAATAAGATAAAGATAAAACAATCTCATTTGTATTTTGAGAAAGTGAGCAGATCAGTTCTCGCTAGATTACAGTTGTTACAAAAGCAGCCTCATTAGGTTGTGTATTTGCATGACATGCAGTTAATTTGATTAACATCAAATTTCTTGTCTAGACAAAGTTTTAGTACTAAAGTTGGTTACAGTAGTTTTTCATATATCCTTAATTCCTTGTATTTTTTTTTTTTTAACATGCCTTGTTTCCTTGACTAGCGTCTGGTTTTTTTTGAATTATTGAAGCAGAGTCTCTGCGTTTTAGTTTGGAAATCAGGTGGATATAGGATTTCCTTCATGCTGTGCCTAGAGCTGGTGCAGTATGTTCTTCCCTGTGCTTTCCTCCCTGGTGAATCGCTGCCCTCAGTGAGAAGGCGCAGGTGGAAAGATCGGTCCTAATAGGGGCTGGATGTTTGGATCATCCGTAAGATTAATTCTGTCTAATTGAATCCGTTAGCTAACCAATTCCATAAATTATAGATGGGAAATAATTTCTATATGCTTTTGAAATGCTTGATTTGGGCATGTCTTTTAATACCTAGTGAAAAGCGGAGAACACAGAATGTATTAAGGATATTCTTAGATCCTCTTCTGGATGCCCTTATGAAGTTTGGTACAAATGCCTACATGCCCTTGCTGAAAACTGACAGATGCCTCCAGTTGCTGTTGAAGTTATTGCACACTTGCTTGTTGAAAGGTTCCAGTACCCAAGATGGTGAGGATAACTAGTTTCTGTTGGTGTCTTGCTTGGTCTATTGTTGGTATTGAGAATGAGAGGAAATTCCTGACCTTTTAAAATAACAGGACCACTTCATGCATTCAACAGATATTTACTGAGGGTCTCCTGGTGATGCCGGGGATGCAGCCGTGAAGGACCAGCACTGAGTGTCTGCCCTCATGGAGCTGACTTCCTAGTGTTTACATTCTTGGTTACTGTTGATTTTAGAATGTGATGTCATTTGCTTTTTTTTTTTTAATGTATGCTTGATCATTGATTTCCAGACCATCAGAAATGATCACTATTTCGTATATGTTTAAGCCAGATCCATTTCTAATTGCCAGTATGAAGAAAGTAACCTAACCGATGAGAATGGCAGTAATTTTATAATTACTTGTTTTGAAATATATTCATCTCTGAGCACCTTTTATGTATACTTCATGTAAAAAGTATAGTGGTAGTAGATAGAAACATTAAGCTCTTTCTTCTCCCCTTAAGCTAAGATCTATGTAAAACAGTATTTGAAAACCCGTGGACATTACAGATGACAATATTGATGGGTAAACCTTGATTCCCAATCCTTTCTGATCAATTTCACTTGGAATTTTAGAAATTTGCTATTTAAAAATTCTAGAGAGTTGCTGGTATTAGGTTAAACCTGAGGATAACATTGATAGGTTAGATTTTAATATATGCTTATAAAATATTAAAGCTTGAGCCGGCCTGGTGGCACAGCGGTTAAGTTCGCACGTTCCGCTTCTCGGCAGCTCTGGTTTTTGCCGGTTCGGATCCTGTGTGCGGACATGGCACCGCTTGGCAAAAGCCATGCTGTGGTAGGCATCCCACGTATAAAGTAGAGGAAGATGGGCATGGATGTTAGCTCAGGGCCAGTCTTCCTCAGCAAAAAAGAGGAGGACTGGCAGTAGTTAGCTCAGGGCTAATCTTCCTCCAAAAAATTTTAAAAAAAATATTAAAGCTAGGTTTCAAGTTCTGATATTTTTGATAATGGTAGCAGAACCAAATGCTGTACACATAACAGTAACTTTATAAAATTTTCAACTCCTTAAGAGTATAAATTTGGGTTCATTTGACATGTCTTGACTGTTTTTACTAGACTCGGTGCTTTCAGGTGCAGGACTGGGTCATGGATGCCTTTGGGAAATTGTCGTGATATTTGATACAAACATAGAGTGTGTGGTGGAGTTATGATGTGTATGATGCATAGAGTTATGATGCAAACTAATTAAGCACCTATGCACTCATCACCCAACCTGAGAACTCATTTACCTGTTACTCCTCCGTCCTCTCCTTTTGCCTTCTTATTTTGACTTATCTTTATCACTGTTATGCACTTTAAAAAATGGTTTTGCCACATATGTAGATATCCCTCAACAATATATTGTCTAGTTTTCCTGCTTTTGAGCTTTATAGAAATGTTACTTTACTGTAAGAAGTCTGCTGTAACTTTTTTCACTTAACACATTTCTAGGATTCATCCGTGTCCTTTCTTCATTCTTTTGTATAATCTTCATTGTATGGTGCCACCACACTTTCTGCATTTTCCTGTTGCTGGACATTGGATTGTATTTAGTTTATTACTGTTATGTACAGTGCTGCCATGAACACTGTCTGCATGTCTTCTGGGCCTGTGTGAGTCTCTCCAGGGTGTGTACTGGTTCTTAGGATCTGTGCATATTCAGCTTTAAAAGATAAAGAGAAATTGTTTTTCCAAGTAGTTGCGTACACATTTTATGTCCTTCCAGCAGAATGTAGGCGTTCCCATTGCTCCTCATGCATATCTCTTTTAATATTACCAAGTGAGATCAAAAGAAATCTGTTTAATATAGATAGTAGTTGACTTCCAATACAACTGGTAAACCATATCAAGTTTAATTAGCTGTAAATAGATCTTAATCCTGACAGGATTTCTTTGATTAGGGAAGAGGAAAATAGTTATTTCTGTTTTATAAATGAGTAAATAGTCTAGGAATTAATTGTCTAGAGGTTGGGGAGACAAAGAGGAAACAGCAAAGATACTTAGGATAAATTTACTGCTGCAAGAGAAGAGAAAAACCAGGAGAATGTGAAATCCTGGAAGCCAGTGAAGAAAGTGTTTCCAGGAGGAAGGACTGATAACTGCATCATACGCTGCTGATCAACTAAAATAAGGACCGACAGTTGACCATGGGTTTTAGGTGACCTTGACAGAAGCAATTTTGGGGCGGTGGTAGGGACAGCTCATGGAGAGGAATGGGGATACTGAGGACAGAGAGCTCTTTCAAGGGGTTTGTGTATAGAGGAGCAGAGAAATGGGGCAGTTGCTGCTGGTGGAATAAGAGAAGTTTTATTCCCTAAAGAAGGAAAAAATGTTTGTGTGCAGATGGAAGTGATTCAGCAGAGGGAAATTTTGCAGATGTGAGGAGGGGCTATTTGCTTATTGGTGTCCAGGAGGAGGTGAAAGTGCACAGGATGCAGGTTGCAAGTGGAGAGGCTGGTCTTAGACGGGAGCACCGCTAGGGAGGCAAGTGCAGGTAGGCGGGGAGCTGTAGGACATTGTGTTGTAGGAGTTCTTTTCTGATTTGTTCTGTTTTCTGAGTGAAAGAGGAAACAGGATGAGGGTGGAGGAGAAGTGTTGGAAGTTTGAGGAGATTTGAGTATTTAGGAAAGAGGTTAGTAATGGACTAGGGAAATGTCGTAGGCTTGCTGGGAAGCTCCGGGCGTGCATTGCTGCTAGTGATCGTGCATTTGAAGTGAAGACTTCAATCTGTAAATACAATGCAGTCTGTGATATGAAACACCGTCTTAGACTGCATCTAATGAGATCAGTTCATGGATTGTGCATCCATATATACATAAATGAAGAATTTTTTTTAAATGATGTTCCAGTGGTTATTTTTTTTAAATTCAGAATACCTATACAATGTTTATTTTTATATTTGAGGAAATATACTTTTAGTTACATTATAGCTCTCCCTTTAGTTACATTGGATTATATGGGCCAAAGTAACTGGCCTTAAGCAGACACACTTCTGTCCCAACTACTTGCTGAATTTGTCACAATAATGGATTTGATGCTTTTTGCTGAGTCTCACCTTTTTCCTGGGTTGCTTCTATTTTCTGGCCTTGATTAGTCTCTTGTGTCTATTTGTACTTTTCTTCCTGAGATATCTTTTATTTTTTTAAATTGTGGTAACATGTATGTAACATAAAATTTACGCTTTAACCATTTTTAAGTGTACAGTGCAGTGACGTGAAGTACATTCACATTGTTGTGCAACCATCACCACCATCCATCTCCAGAACTTTTTCATCATGCCAAACCGAATCTCTGTACTACTGGACAATAACCCTCCATTCCTCTCCCTCCCTAGCCCCTGTGAACCACTATTCTGCTTTCTGTCTCTGTGGATGTGACTACTCTATGTACCTCATATAAGTGGAATCATAAGTATTTGTCCTTTTGTGTTGGGCTTATTTCACTTAGCGTGATGTCTTCAAGGTTCATCCATGTTGTGGTGTGTGTCAGCATTTCATTTCTTTTTAAGGCTGAATAATACTCCAGTGAATATATATGCTACATTTTGTTTATCCATTCATCTGTTGATGGACATGTGGGTTTTTCCACCTTTTGGTTATGCAGATAATGCTGCTGTGAACATTGGTGTACAAACATCTGTTTGAGTCCCTGCCTTCATTTCTTTTGGGTATATACCTAGAAGTGGAATTGCTAGATCATATGGTAATTCTATGTTTAGTTTTTGAGAAACTGCCATTCTGTTTGCCATAGTCCCTGCACAATTTTACATTCCAATCAGTAGTGTACAAGGGTTCCAATTTCTCCATATCCTCACTAACACTTGTTCTTTTTTGTATTTTTTTGATAACGACCATCCTAATGACTATGAAGTGGTATCTCATCATGATTTTGACCGAGATAGCTTTTTCACCAATTCTGCTACCACTTCTTTTGGGATTCAGTTGACCACTCTCAATTATATGAGGCACAGACTAGGCAACAAAACTGTAAACACCATCCTGGTTGAACTTTGCACACAGTTTGTATATTGTTGTGATGGAGTGTTAAATTTAGAGATGTGGCGGTGACTGGGGGTTTGACTTGAGAGTGAAAGAGAGGTTCTTCTGTATTGTGGTAATTAATAGGAACCACCATGGTAGTGATAATAATCTTGGAAACATTAACAGTAGCTACTTTTTTTTCAAATCACTTTGTTCTTCAAGCCCTAAACTTTCCCTTGTAATCCTGGAAAATTAAATTTATTTTAATCTGTTGGGTTTAAATGTATCTGAGAAAAGTAAATATTTCTTTGTGCTATTAATGTAAGTTTGAGATTTAAGGAGTTGAGTATATTATAGGAGAAAGAAAAGGCAGAGAATATGGAAGAGAGGGGTATTCTGTTCTTACCATATTCATTGGTTATAGTTTTTTACTTTTTTAGTAAACAGCTTTACTCTCCAACCATTTGCTGGTGGCTTCTTGACCTGGCAAGTGACTCGTGAGACACTTCAGAAGCCATATGGTACTCTCCTTTATAATAGGTAACTCGAAACTTTAAAATTCATGCTGTGATTTTTAATGCAGTAGGTAATCTTTTAAAAAGTGAACATTTCTAAGAGTGATAGGTACAGCATTTTGTGAAGTGTTGGTTCAAATCTTTTGCCTATTTTTGAATTGGGTTATTTGTTTTCATATTCTTGTATAAAATGTATGTAATGAGATTTCATTATACGTTCTGGATACAAGTCCCCTGTTGGGTATGTGATTTACAGATATTTTCTCCCTCTCTTCTAGCTTGTATTTTCATTGTAACGGTGTCTTTTGCAGAGCAAAAGTTTTAATTTTGATGAATTGCATTTTATTTATTTTTTTGTTTTGTTTTATGGATTGTGCATTAGGCATCGTGCTTAAGAAATCCTTGCCTTAACCCCAGGTTACACAGGATTTTCTCCTAAATATTTTATTGGTTTTTATTTTTACATCTATGATACATTTTGAGTTCATTTTTTAAGGTGTAAGGTTTCGGTTGAGGTGCATTCTTTTGCCTATGGATATCCAGTTGCTCCAGCAGCATTTGTTGACAAGACTATCCTTTCCTTGTTCAAGTGTTTTGTACTTTTGTCAAAAATTAATTGGTCATGGTGGAAACAATCCAAAGTAGATAGATGAATGAATGGGTAAACAATATGTGGTATATCCATATTTGACCTTAAAAAGGAATGAAGTACTAATATATGCTACCACGTGGATGAACTTTGAAAACATTATGTTAAGTGAAAGAAACCAGTCACAGAAAACTACATATTATATGATTCCATTTATAAGAAATGTCCAGAATAGGTAAATCTATAGAGACAGAAAGTAGATTAGTGGTTGCTTAGGCCTGGGAGGGGACGGGCATTATGGGGTTGATGACTAAAGGATATGAAGTTTCTCTTTGTGGGGATGAAAATGTTCTAAAATTGACTATGGTGATGGTTTCACAATTCTGTGACTATACTAGACATCATTGAATTATACACTTTTAATGGGTGAATTGTATGTTATGGAAACTGTATCTCAATAAAGTGGTTTAAAAACAATTAATTGGCCATATTTGTGAGGATCTGTTTCTAGACTCTGTTCTGTTTTATTGATCTGTATGTTTATCCTTTGCCAGTGCCATACTCTTTTGGTTACTATAGATTTACAGTAAGTCCTAAAATAGATGGTGTGATTCTTTCAGATTTCTTCTGCTTTGTCAAAAATATTTCTAGCCGTTCTAGTTCCTTTGCCTTTCTGTATAAACTTTATAATCAGTTGGTATGTATTTACAGAACAATCCTGCTAGAATGTTGATTGGAACTGCATTAAGTCTACAGATCAATTTGTGGAGAATTGCCTTCTTTATTATATTGACTTTTTAATCTATGAATACAGTATGTCTCTTGGCTTATTTAGATTGTCTTTGATTTCTTTCATCAGAGTTTTATGGTTTTCAGCATATAGATCCTGCACAGGGTTTGTTAGGTTTATACCTAAGTATTTCTTTTGGGGGGAAGCTATTGTAAAGGATACGTTTTTAAAATTTTTGGTTTTCAGTTGTACATTGCTAGTATACAGAAAAATGATTAATTTTTGTTTGTTGACCTTGTATCCTGTGACCTTGCCAAAGCATTTATTAGTTGGAGTTTTTTTAATAGATTCCTTGGGATTTTCTTTGTAGACGATCATGCCATTTGTGAATGGGGACAGTTGTATTTCTAGAATTGCTTGTGGTATTCCTTTATACTTTTAATGCCTACAGGGTCTGGGGTCTGTAGTAGTATCCTCTTTTATTCCTGATAGGGATGGTGGTAATCTGTGTCCTCCTCCTGTCTGTCTAAGTGCTTTATCAATTTTATTGACCTTTTCAAAGAACCAGATTTTGGTTTCATTGATGTTCCCTATTTTTTCTTTTATCAATTTCATTATTTCTATTTTTTGTTTGTGTCTCTCTGCTTGTTTTGGTTTATTTTGCCTTTTTAAAATTAAAATGGAAGCCTAGATTATTGATTTTACATCTTCTTTTTTAAAATGACATCTAATGCTGTAAATTTTCCCCTTCCATTTTGCTTTAATTGCATCCCATACTTTTTGGTCTGTTGTATTTTCCGTTCAAAATATGTTCTAGCTTTTCTTGAGACTTTCTCTTTGAAAGTCTCATTTAGAAACGTATCTGGAGATTTTCCAGTTATCTTTCTGTTATTGCTTTTTAATTTAATTCCATTATGGTCAGAGGGTATAGTTTGTACAATTTCAGTTTTTTTTACAGTTTGTTAAGGTTTGGTTTATGGTCTAGGTTGTGGTGAATGTGCCATGTAAACGTGAAAGAATGTGTGTTCTGCTTTTGTTGAGTGTTCTATAAATGTCATTTATTTCTAAGAGCTTCACGGCATTTTTCAGTTTTATATCGTTGCTAATTCTCTGTTTACTCTTCCTATTACTGATAGAGGAATGTTGACATCAAATATAATTTTGGATTTATCTCTTTCTCCTTTTAGTTATGTCAATTTTTCTTCATGAAGTGCTCTTGTTAGATGCATATGTGTTTAAGATTGTGTGTTTTTCCAGTAAGTTGGCTCTTTTATCATTATATAATGTCTCTTTTTATTCCTGCTTATTTTCTTTACTCTGGAGTCTAGTTTGTCTGATAGTAATATAACTACTCCTACTTTCTTTTGATTATAATTTGCATAGTATATTTTTTCCTGGCCTTTTACTTTTATTCTGTTTAGCTCATTATACTTGAAGATTTATTTGGAGATATTATATATTGAATTTCTTATAGACAGCATATAGTTGGTTCATGATTTTTTTGTCCATTCTAACAGTCTTTTTTTTTTTTTGAGGAAGGTTAGCCCTGAGCTAACATCTGCTGCCAATCCTTCTCTTTTTGCTGAGGAAGACTGGCCCTGAGCTAACATCCGTGCCCATCTTCCTCTACTTTATATGTGGGATGCCTACCACAGCATGGTTTGCCAAGCAGTGCCATGTCTGCACCTGGGATCCAAACTGGTGAACCCTGGGCCGCCAAGAAGCGGAACATGTGAACTTAACCACTGTGCCACTGGGCTGGCCCCTCTATTTATTTTTTTAATCACTTTTTTCCCTTTGTTGTTCAGATTGTATATTTTATTGATCTATTTTCAAGTTCACTGACTCTTTTCTCTTGCATCTCCTTTCTCTTACTGATCCCATCCAGTGAGGGTTTTTTTATTTCAGTTATCGTACTTTTCAGTTATAAAATTTCGATTTGGCTTTTGTATATATCTTCTGTTTCTTTGCTGAGACTTTCTGTGTTTTTACTTGTTTCAAGAGTGTTCTTGATTGATTGTTGAAGCATTTTTATAGTAGCTGCTTTAAAGTCTTGGTGAGGTTATTCTAACATCAACATCATCTCAGTATTGTCGTTTGTAGATTGTCTTTTCCTAGGAATTTCCTGATGCTTCGTTGCCCAATTATTTTGGATTGTACCCTAGATACTTTAAATATTGTGAGACTCTGGATCTTGTTTAAATCCTGTGGAGAATGTTAGTATTTTTGTAGAGCAGTCAGTCAGCCTGGTTAAGTTCAGGCCTTAACTCTGACCGGTTTCTGTGGATGTTGGTTCCACTGTCAGTTGTTTTTTCAAATCCTTTTCACTTCTCTCTCGACCTGTGCCCCTGTGTTCCATCAGTCTGGGGCCTGGGCAGTTGTCTCTCTGTTAGTTCAGTTCTCAAAGTCTGTGGTCTTCTGATTGGTATCAGATCCAGGTGTAGCAGCTCGCTGGGGAGCCAAGTTCATAAACCACTTTCTGGGGGCCTTCTCCTGAGTGCCTCCCTCTCTGGAATCTCCTGTGGACTCACTGGCTGCTTTCCTGGGGTTTCCTTCTTTCCTTCTCTGACCAGAAAGTTGGGGTGCATTCTGCTGCTCCCCTTCTTGACTGCTCCTGCCTCTGGTTCTGGTCTGCAGGAGGGCCACCGTAAACCCACCACTGTTCAGTAGGACTTCCTCCGGAATCCGTCTGCTATGTTTTACCTTTCAGAGTCTCCCAATAGCTGCTTCAAAAATGCCGTCCGGGTTTGATAGCTGCATTCAGCGGCAGCGGGTGGTGTGTCCCTGTTCCGTCTTAGCCAGAACGAGAGCTTCTAAATGATTTTTTAGATTGAAGTACAGATTTCCCCATGTACAGATGACTATTATTTTACTGAAATTCATTTTTGGCAGTTCACCCATATGCTTAACATAGTTGTACTTTTACTAGAGTATCTAGAGTATTTTTTACCAAATAACTTATTTCTATCATTTTAGTTGTGCACTTTTTTCCCATACAGATGAGGTATGTACTCTTCTTCAGAACTTTGTCATGTCGACCACAGAGAGCATATCTGAATTTATTCTCAGAAGACTAACTATGAATGAACTAAGCAGTGTAAGTATTCATTGGAGTAACTTTTCATTGTTTTCATGAAATTTGAGTGATTACTGACTGGCAGGCACTGTATTAAATTGAAAAGAATATTACTTTATCATGATAGTTTCTTGAGAAGCAACCTTAGGAAGCAGAATAGATTTAAGATTTGGAGTCTCCTACTTCTGGTTCCATCTGTGTGATACCTGTGACCTTGGGAAAGTTCTGTAGATTCTCTGAGCCTCAATTTCCTCATCTGCAAGATGGAGATAATACGTCTACTTCCTAGGGTTTAGAGAGTTTCAGACGGTATAACATTTGAAGTACTTAGCATTTTAATGCATATTTTGTCCCAGAATCCAGCGATTTGGCAGGTTTGGGATGGGACCAGGTATCAGTACTTGTGTATTTTTAAAGCTCTGAAATGCAGTTAGAGTTGAGAACAATAGGTCTGAGGTAAAAGGGATGCTCTGTGAATGTAGCTGTCCTCTCTGTCTCTGCTCTCCACATAACTTGTTCTTTCTGGGACTTCTGACAAAAATTCATATTTTCCACTTTCTTCAAGAATATTTATAAAATACTAATTCTTACAAAAATGCCTCTCAGTCAATTTTTTTGTGGTTGAAATCTCTAGGGAAAATATTGAAGCAATTAGAATTATTAGATTGTCAATAAATTGAGAACATACACTTATTTTAACAATCCTTAATTAAGTACTTTTGTTTGATAGCTGGTCCGCAGGTGTGAAAATATAAAAAGACAAATTTTATACTGAAAGACTTGAGATGTTATGATAGGAAGGCAAAAATATAAATAAAAAACTCTATTAAAAATGTATATAAAGAAAAAAGGGAAGTGTTTATCTTTAGCTTTCTTTGTATTAAGCAATTGTTAATAGTAGTTTTGTTACGCATAAATTTCCAAGAAGGCATTTGATAAAGAAGTAACTTTGTTTGTCTAGCTCCAATATCACTTAATTATCATGAGTATTATTTTACCTTTTTATTGTGGAAATTTTCATAGCTCTACAAAAGAACTATAATGAGCCTTTGTGTACCCTATTATATAACGTAAAAGTTTTTGTTTGTTTGGAATTTGAAGTTGAAAATAACTTTAAAATTGGAAAGGGTAATGTGATTTTTATCTTTTAGGTGCAAAGATTTTAAGAAGTAAACTCAGTATGTGATAGTTTAAAATTATTTGGAAAAATTCACCCTTTAATAAATTAGGTATTAGAATTCCCAAGTAAGTACATTTGTTTGGTAGCTTACAGCTGAATAAAAATCTCTTCCCCTACTTTCCCACCTCAGCAGTGTGAGGGTCCATGTTTAACAACTGGATTTCAGGGAGGAAAAGCCCCGAATTGTAGTATTTATCAACTTCCATGGCTGATTTCAGGCTGCTGAATCTGAGAGAGAGATGAACTTGCAGCACAGGCTGGCTGCAGCTCGCCGCTGCCTCACCTCTGCTTCCCAGAGGAGACAGTAGCCGTGAGACTGGAATCGCCTCACTTTCATTCTGTCAGATGTCTCGACACCCACCCACACTGAGTCCATGCTCCCTGCCTGCCCTCTGCAGGGAGAGATTGTCCTCTCTCTCTCTTGTATTTCAACCTCTCCTTTTCTCCTGGGTTCTTTTCATGAGATTGAAACAAGCTTTAAGAGTCCCTCACCTTAAAAGAACCCTCTCAATTCCATGTTCCCCTGGCACCCTCTTTCCTTCTCTTTGTAAGCTGTTCTATGAACAGACTCCTTGACTCCATTCTAATCTGGTTTCTACCTCTTTTCATGTAATGGAAAGTGCTCTCTGGAAAGTTGTCAGTGACTCCTTTGTCATCAACCTAATGGACACTTTTCAAACCACATTTTTCTTGACTCCTCGGCCCCGTTGGACACTCTTGACCACTTCCCCCATGAAACACTAGCCCTCCATAGCTTCTGTGACAATCATTGTCTCCTGGTTGTCCCCCATCTCCCTGGCCATCACTCCCACTTCCCTTTGAATATCCATTCTCTACCATAGCCTTGGACATCAGCGCTCTCCATAGGCTGGCCCTGGCCCCTTCTTTCCTTGTTCTCTCCTCTGTCTCGATGCTCTCACCCACATCCCCAGCTTCCATTGTGCCAGACACCCTCACATCTGTCTCTACCTCAGACTGCTCTTCTGAGCTTAACGCCCATTCAACCAACTGCTATTTGACAACTCAAGTTGAAATTCTCACACTTAGGCTTTTCAAAACTGAATCCCTTATCATTCCTCCCAGAGATTCTCCAGATTCCCCTCCAGGGTCCCTTCGCAGTGAATGTACCACCATCCAACCAGTTTCTCAAGCCCCAAACTTAGGACTCCTCCCTGGCACCTTTATCCCTCACTCTTCCCCGCTATGATCAGTCTAGCACCAGGTCCTGTAATCGTTACCTTCTGTCTGCACTGAATCCTAGCACTTGGCAAGGTGCCTGCATGTAGTGGTCACTCAGTAAAAACTGCTTACATTAATGAAGTATGTGCTTCCTGTGTGCCACAGGAGGCCTCTGAGGGTGTAGTAATTGGTATAGTAATAAAAATTAAGGCCGCCAGTCCACTTAGCATACTTTGTCTCACTTAAGTCTTTCACAAACTCTGTGGTGGATAGCTATTACCCTCCCAATTTTCTGACTAAGGAGTCTGAGGTCGGAAGAGGTGAGGTCACTTGCCGAGGGTCACAGAGCTGGTGGCTGGCAGAACTGGACTGAGCCTGGTCTGAAAGACCTGCATTCAGTCCTGTCCCTCCGTTACTGGCTCTAGGACGCTGGGGAAGCTGTTTAACCTCTGAGACTGAGTCTTAGGAAAGTGGGGCGTAGTCTTGCTTGTGAGAATGGCGTATTGTAAACTGCCCGAAACAAAGGAAGTGGTGATTGTTATTACTATTTATGATGTAGTATTAGCCCTGGGATGCAAGAATTGGTAGAACATAGTTTCTGCCTTCCAGGGTCTCATTATTAAGGTGGGGAGACAGATGAGTAAATTGTGAAAAGTCCTATAATTGTGCTGAAGGCAGAGTCACTGTGTCGGCACAGAGAAGAGAGTCCTTAGCTCTGTATGGAAGATCATGGAAGGCTTCTTGGAGGAAGTGTTTTTTTTCCTCATCAATGTCTTGTTTTACTGCTTCTAAATAAACTTATTTCCTGTCTGAACTCATAGTTTTATGAAAATCATGGACCCTGCTTAAGTGTTTTATTGTTTGTCTCAGGTTTCAGATCTGGATCGTTGCCATTTATACCTGATGGTGTTAACTGAGCTTATAAATCTGCATGTGAAGGTGGGATGGAAAAGAGGTAACCCCATTTGGAGAGTTATTTCTCCTCTGAAAAATGCTTCCATTCGGCATCTTCAAGAGATGGACAGTGGACAGGTAATCCTCTTTGATTCAAGGTTTGTGGTTATGTTGAGTAAGGCATACGTGGAATGCATAGTTGATTAGTATACAATATTTTGATTTCATAAAAAGCATCTGCTGAAATTTAATTTTTAAGATAGTATCCTTTGTTCATAATATTTGATGAAGATTGGGACTCCTATCATAATATTAGGTATGTAACAAAGGTGTGGTGACCTCAGTCTTCACATCGTTTAGATACAGAAGGTGGACTTGCCCTCTTGCCTTATGCTAGTAAGGGACTCTTTAATGTGTTCAGTTTCATCATTTCTGTTTCGTTTTCTAGCCTGGTCGTCCACTGCCTTTTCTCTTCCTGCCCACAGTGCCCCCGATGCTGCAGTCACTCGAGGCTACCGTATAGCGTTTCACAGATCACAACCACATGTCATCACCTTCCTCCCTAGGCTTTCATTCTGTCTGGTCCTTCCGCTAAGAATGCCCTCCCTTCCAGTGTACCCTTGTCAGTATCCACCTGTGCTTCATGGCCCAATTCAAATCGCATTTTCTCTTAGAGACCTTCTCGGATCAGTGTCTCATTCTTTCCTTCATTTCCCTGTGGCTCTTTATGCCTCCATTATAGAATTTATTTTCATCTTACTTGTTTTTGGAGTAGTTTATGTCTTCTCCACTAGATTTTAGCACCTGGAGGCATTTCTTTTCTTTTTTTTTTTCTTTTCCTGCTTTTTCTCCCCAAATCCCCCCAGTGCACAGTTGTATATTTTGGTTGTGGGTCCTTGTGGTTGTGGAGGAGGCATTTCTTAAACATGACACAATGAAGTGTAGTGGGTAAGAACACAGGCTTTGGAGTTAGACTTCCTGGGTGTGAATCCTGGCTTTATCCTTGCTAGGCATATGACCTTGGAGAAATTACTTAACCTCTCTGTGCCTCTTTTATTGCCCCTGCAAAATGAAGGCTATAGGATTGGTGTGAGAATAAAAGTTAAGCTCATACACGTTAAAACTTTAGAACAGTCCCTCACACATAGAAAGTCCTCAATAAATGTTAGCTATTTTCCCTTAACACATGGTAAATGTTTAGTAAAGTTGAGCTGAATCATAGTCTAGTGTGGGCTGCTAATTGAAACAAACTACTTGATTGCTTTAATAATCTAATTTTTAAAATAGTTCTCAAGAACTGTCCTAAAAGAAAATGATAAGGCGGATTGATTAATATTCCAGCATCACATCTAGTCATATTAGTACATTAGTGTCATGAAAGGACATTGTGAGTTTTGAGTGTAGACAAAATCGTGAACCGTCCTGCAGTAGTTCTTAAAGATTGGCTTGCTTTCTTTAGTAACTCACTGATTACATTAAGGTTAGCAGGGATTGTACTGGCTCGAAAGTAACACTGCATTTTATTTCATATGTTGGCAGTGTTGCCGTGTAAAATTTATCTGTAGAGATACTTGACTTATTTTTGGGGGTGAGGGAAGGTGTGGAATAAGTGGTAGGAAGTTCCTTTCTGGTAGAGAGGTTACTGGTTGGCAGCATTGGAACTGCGTTGGTCTTGGGGTGCAGCTATTTTCTATGACTAGGTTCTCGTCTGCGCTCCTGGCTTCTTGGTTAGAGATGGTTGATTGTCTCTCTCTGAGTATGAAACCAGGCTGTCTTGATTTCCTTCCTTTGTGCTTCTACATAATAGAGTTCTAAGCTCATGCTTTACATGAAATAACCCATTTATTTAATCTTCACAATAACCCTGTGAAGTAGATTTTATTACTGTCCCCATTTTACAGATGAGAAAACTAAGGTGCAGTATGTTCACAGTCAGACTGCTCCTGAGTGCAGAGCCAGGATTCAGGCCCAGGCCGTGTGGTTCATGAGTCCAGCTCTTCACTGCTATGCTGTGCCACCTCTCCAAAAGCAGTATACAGCTGATCTAAGGAGTTTTTATATATATGCCTGGAGCCTTTGTTTTCTTTTTAATATTCTTCAGCCAAACAGTTAAAATAAAACTCACCATGGAAGTGTTGTATCCAAATGTATATTCAAGTATGAAAAAGTTTGAGAAGTACTAATTCACATACTGTTTTGGGTTCTGTATATATCTAGTCTGTCATATACTACTTCTGGGATCCCACCTGTCAAATGAAGAGATCAAATGTCTTATTTCTGAAGTGCTGAATTTTTGTTGCCACTTTAACTTTGTTTCCTCCAATCTGTACAGAAGTGGTAAAACTGAATGGCGTGTATTGATTCCCTCTGATGTTTAGTAGCAGACAGGAAGAGGGAAAGGAGGCATGAGGTTTCCATAGACTGGCAACTCAGGTCCTCGTTAAGACTTGCTTATGGTAAGTAAAGATTGTTTGTTTTCTCCTTAGGAGCCAACACTTGGTAGACAAGTTCAGAGAGTCGTTAGTATGGCTGCTTTGGCCATGGTGTGTGAGGCCATTGACCAGAAGCCGGAACTACAGCTGGACTCGCTGGATGCTGGACCCACGGAGAGGTTCCTTTCCTCTCTTCAGCCCAATCAGACACTACAGAAGCCCCACACAGAGGAGCCAAGCAGGTGTGTTCCCCCTCGGAGTGCAGCGTGTACATGAAAGGCATCTTTATTGCTGATGTTTAAAAATCCACTTTTGTTTCAGTCATTGAGATGATTAGTGATTACTCAACATTACTTACAGGGTTTTGGAAATTTGGAGATAAGAGCTCATTCAGAATAATAATGCATTATCACATTATTCATCTCTATTACTGGAAACCCATTAACTTTTCTGCATTTAGTTTTCAGTGAATCATTTAAAATGGGTGAAAATGTTTACTTTCAGGCAAGTTAGAAAGTTGAGGTTTATGTAGTTTCCTTGTCTTTTGGTAGGGAGGAAATTTAATAATGATGTTTAATGTCTCTCTTTAGAAGGATAGTGTACTACACGCAAAAGAGATTGAGACAGACTTAAGGAAGGATGGAGTAGTGACTTTATTTTTTGTTTCAGTTTTTTTGAAGAATCATCATCTTCCCAAGGATGGGGGAAAATAGTTGCACAATATATTCATGATCAGTGGGTCTGCCTCTCTTTCCTGTTGAAAAAGTATCACAGCCTGATACCACCCTCAGAGGGTGAAGTTCTGGAACCCGTTCTTCCTGCTGTTCAAATGCCAATAAGGACTTTGCAGTCTGCACTAGAAGCCCTCACAGTTCTTCCTTCTGACCAGGTCTTACCTGTGTTCCAGTGCATGAAAATTTTGGTTCCCAAGGTAAGATATAGTGAGAGATGAATTAAAGAATATAGAAACGGAAATCAGTTTCTGAAATTAAATAATAATTACATATTTCTTTCTTTTTTTTTCTACCAGCTTCTGACCTCTTCTGAATCACTCTGCATAGAGTCTTTTGACATGGCTTGGAAAATTATATCTTCTTTAAGCAACACTCAGTTGATATTCTGGTCTAATTTGAAAGCTTTTGTTCAGTTTGTTTTTGATACCAAAGTTCTTACCATTGCCGCAAAAATAAAGGGCCAAGCATATTTCAAAATAAAAGAGGTAATTTTTTTTGAATTGAAATAAAACAGATATAACATAGAATTTACCTTCTTAACTACTTTTAAGCATACGGTTCAGTAGTGTTAAGTGTATTCACATTGTTGTGACAGATCTCCAGAACTTCTTTTATCTTGGGGGACTGAAACTATACCCATGAAACAACTCCCTTTCTCTCCCTCCCTCTCGGCCCCAGCTAACCACCATTCTACTCTCTGTTTCTATGAATTTGACTCCTTTAGATAAAAATGGGATAACTTTTTGTTTTCTTTTTAACTTGTGTGACCTGTAGCACGTGAGAAAGAAGAGAGTCCTATTGGTAACCACATATTAGATTTGTTGTTATTTATTCATTCAGTCAATGAGTATTTTGAACCTTCTTCAGTGTCATGAGTAAGAACAAGAAAATCTTAGATTGAAAGAGTATGTGCAATACGGTAGCCCATGAACCACTTCTGCCTCACAAACATGTTTTATTTGGTTCATATAATGTTTAAAATTTTGAATTAGTTGCCAACTTTTAAGAAGTGGGAGATTGGCATGAAAATCTGTATTTCCTCTTCTCTTGGAATCTTGGGAAACTGGATGATTTGGCAACACTGGTCATTCCTCCAGGACAGCAGTCGCCTGGCCTGTCCAGATAGGGCGTGCCCCTTCCCATTCTCCCCTGCACAACCATTCCTCGCTTTCTTCTGGATACTGCAGGCAAACATCAGGCGCCATCTGTCGTTGCACTTATGCTGTTACTTTTCCTTGAATATAACCTGTCAAAAGGTCTCTCTGGTTTCTGGAGGCATTGCGTTTACAACCACTGATGCACAGTAGGGAATGTGACACGATGGAATGAGGTCATGCCTAGCAGTTCCCGTGCGCCTCCTCATCCGGAGGGGAAAGTGGAAGTCCAGTCCTTTATTACCCTGCTGTCCGGCACTGCCTCCCAGTCCTCTTCTGCCCACAGCACATGCTTAGACAGTGGTCTCTGCTGCCTTGGGGAAAGGGAGGACGTTGGTGAAAGAAAACTGAAAGTGTAAAGGGAGAGGTGTTTTTTCCCTTTCACTCAATTACTTTGGGCACTTGTTTCTCTTGGAGAGTTTTGGGTGAATATCACTATCAGTAAAATTGGATTTATTTTTATAAAGAAATGAAAAATTAGCTTTCTGTGATTCTTGATCATCTTGCAAAATTCTAACAATAATGAATTTTTAATTTTTTAGACTCATGACTATGTTGAAACTCATTTGAAACCATTCAAGGAACAGTTTTTAAAAACATTAATTTTTTTTAATTAAATTGGTCAAAGATTAAATTATCATTGTATTTCATTTCAGATTATGTACAAGATAATTGAAATGTCTGCTTTAAAAACTGGAGTCTTCAATACGCTGATAAGTTATTGCTGCCAATCTTGGATAGTTTCTCCTTCAAATGTGTCCCAAGAATCTTTATCAAGTGCTAAAAATTATAGCGAGCTTGTCCTTGAGGCTTGCATATTTGGAACTGTATTTAGGCGTGATCAAAGGTAAAAGATGCCATTACTTCAACCTGTCATAACTTACAGTATTAAGTACCTATGTGGGAAGAATTATGTCTTTATTTTGAGGCTTTCAATTAGAAGAATATAAAGGATTAGTTAACTTTAAATTTGGGGCTTTAATTTTTTTCTGTCTAAAACCGGTTTTTTTTATCAAATGTTTTTATGGAAAGACTTATTCAGGATGTGCAGACCTTCGTAGAAAATCTTGGACGTGACTGTGCAGCAAATGTTGTTATTGAAAAGTGAGTATGGTGGGGTTTCCATGTCTTGATGTCAGTGGAATATTCGAAATTTAACATCATATGAGAGTCATTCTGTATTGGTTAAATTTAATAAATGTTTACTAGTGATATCTAACATTTTATAAGATATTGAATGTCTTCAAAAGTATGTTGGAAATTATATTCCCTTGCTAAAATATTTTCTTCAGATCTGTCACTATTTACTAAAATTTGATAAACTTTAAAAAAATTTTGGTGTCTAATCCAGCATAAATAAGGAAATGACCACAGGGAACATAAAAGCCCTCTCCCTCTTCTTTTTTTAGGCAGAAGAGGTGATCACCGGCACATACATTTCACTCCCTTTTTGGCTAAAATTGACCATTTAGCATGTCAGTCTGCTATACACAAAAATAAAATCATTCTTAGAACAGGCCCTAACATTTTGATATCTGGGATAAGACTATTCTTATCTAACCTCTGAATTAGTTTTTTGGGAGCTTGTCAAATAGCTTTTTTTAGTTTTATTTTTTCACATAGTTTTCAAAAATTTGTATGTGCTTGTGTGTTTAAAGAAGATAATAAATAGTGCTGTATTATTCACTTTAGAGTTTAGGACAACAAATAATAATGTGTAGTTATTTTATTATTCTGTGAGTCACAGCTATGTTTTGAATCATCTGTCACTTTTCATTAAATACATACATTTTTCATTGTTAATTATTTTCATTGATTTTTTTGTTTCTTAGCTGGTTTAGTGTAGCAATGAAAGTAAAATTTTTTAGTTGATAATTCCAAAATACTTTAATTTCTACTAGACAAATGTTAAATTAAAACGCCTTTTATCACATTATAACAGTTTTAATGAACTTTGGAAATACTAATTAACAGTTTCACTTAATTTATCTTTCCATGTGTGGACACTGAAAACGCTGGGGTGCTTAGAGCATGTGATGCTTGCTGAGTTTGCCTGTCGCTTAGAAACAGTGCTCTTACACACGTGGTAAAGACGAGCCGCTGAGGTGTTTGATGCGTGGTCTCACCTTCGTGCACAGAGAGGCCTGTGGTCCTCTTTCAGGAATAGTTTCTTGAGCTGTGATCTGTTTTGTCTACAGATAAGATATTATTGATCCAGCCTCAGTAGTGTGTGCATTGTTTTTCCGGAAGTCTGCGTGAATTTGTGCTCATTCAGACTTTCTGTACACGCTCTCCTTTTGAAATATTCGTTTCTTATCTTCTGTCTATCCTGAATTAAAAAGCATCATCATTAAGTATGAATGGTACCTAATTTTAGAAAACGTTGATGGTTTTGATATTTTGGAACTAATATTTGACATGTTTCTGTCTTGAAAATGTGTTAACATGGTGTATCATTTTATATTTTTTAGTACTAAAAGAGAGGACCATTATGTGAGAATTTGTGCTGTCAAATTCCTGTGTTTATTAGATGGCTCAAATATGTCTCATAAGTTGTTTATGGAAGATCTTGCAATCAAGTTATTAGATAAAGTAAATATGCTTTATTTTACTTTAAATTATCTTTGGTTTTGTATATTAACAAGTCAAAATCCAACATTTGCTCTTTATGTTGATAGAATCAGTATTTTTAAATATTCTTTATCAAGAAAGAAACATGAGATTTATGGTCCATATTTTTAGTTAAATCTTGGTTAGTAATTGTCCAATTCAAATTTGGTTTTAGAGAATAATAATGTTTTCCCTGTACTATCTAAACTTCACTCTGTGTTTTCCCCAGTACTACTCAAAACCAGTTATGTTTAGAGTGATAGATCCATACATTGTTTTATGTAAGAAATGGAATAAAAAGGTGAAAATTTAGAAAGTGGCATAATGTGAAGAACTGATTTTTTTGAGTCTGCAAAATCATTTATAAATGAACATCACACTGTCTGCAGAATGGGCTAACATCTGGGGAGAAGACAGGAGGACGTAGAGTCAAACATAGTGCTCACTCTGCATTTGAAGCTGAGATAGATGGAGTGCTTGGGCTGCTTCCACCAACTGGCTTGTACTCTGGGATGTAACCGATGACCACAGAACCCACTTCAGTCGCTTGTACTGAAATTGCAGTCTTCATCATACGTTTGTTTTCTGAAGGTAGCAGATCAACCTTAGCCCTATAAAACCTAGGAAGTATTTGTTATGCAAAAATTCCCTCCTTTGCACTGTGGGAGTCAGGGGAGATGTGTCAGAGGAAATAGTGTTTTACTGGCTTCCTTAAGGATGAGTAGAATTTTAAGTAGCAGGATACTCCATCAGATAGGACACAAATAACGTATTATGATGTATACTGACGTATAAATATATGGGTGTTTAGAAGAAAAATAAAGCAGAATAAGGAGGAGGGGTAGCTGTTTAGATAGAGGGTCAGAGAGGACCTCCCCAGTAGGTGACACTGGGCTGAACTCTGGGTGAACCATCAGTATGGTGGCGGGCTACCAGGAGAGGATGGTGTTTAGATGCCAAATGAGGCAAGTGCTTCCTGCAGGTGTGGAGGAAAAGAAGGCTGCCAACTGGCCATTAGATTCAGCAAGAAGTCTGTCGTTACTCACCTCTGCAGAAGACCTTTTAGTGGAATGGTGAGAATGAGAACCTAAATAGAAGGAGCTGGGAAGAAGACTGTTGTTGAGGTAGTGGAGACAGTGAGTATAGGCACTCTTAAGGAGTTTGCTCTGAAAGAGAAGGAAAACATGGGATGGTGCCTGGAGGGGGCACGGGCCAGAAGCTTTTTAAAGGTGGGGGATAATTAGAGCTTGTTTATGTGCCGAAGGAAATTATCTAATAGAGAGGAGAAAATGTTAACTATGGAGAGGCCAGCAGTAGTCACACAGGCAAAATCCTTGAATAGCCACCTCAGATCCACTAGTATAGCTATTGAAAACAAGCTGAAAATAGCAAGTATTGGCGAAACTTGAACACATTAGGCTAAGTGAAAGAAGCCAGTCAGAAAGGACCACATATTGTAAGATCTCATTTATATGGAATGTCTGGAATAGGTCAATCTACAGAGACAGAAATAGATTAGTGGTTGCTGGGGGTTGGGGGTAAAAGAGATTGGCAAGCTAATGAGCACAGGGTGTCTTTTTGGGCTTATAAAAATGTTCTGGAATTATGTAATGGTATTAGTTGCATGACTCTGTAAGTATACCAAAACCCACTGAATTGGACAGTTTAAAATGGTGATTTTTATGGTACTTGAATTGTATTTTTTTTAAATCCCTGAATAGGCTAGATTGGTTCTAATGTCCATTAGAAGGATAAGCTTTATTTAACAGATGAGAAAGCAGACAGACAAGTTACATAGTAGAAACTTGCTTAGGCCAAGGATTTGTTTTTTGGTGTGGAAAATTTGAGCAGGGTAAGTAATAAATTAAAAAAGGGAATTTTAAAATAAAGAAAAATGAAAGAATAATCCTAGAGAAAGTGGAAAAGGATCATATCCAGAGCAGAGTGGGTAGGATAACAATAGTTAGGAGTGACCCCTCGTCTTCTGATATGGAGAAAAGAAGGAGGGAGGGAGGGTGGTGGTGAGTTTGTATAAAAGGAGGGCATGCCTGAAGTTCTTGCCTGAGACACTGTATTTTTTCTGAGCCAGGAAGCACGGTCATTTCTAGAGAGTAAAGAGGCAGAAATGTGGTTGGGGTTTGAAAACCGAGGTAAAGGTTAAATTTACAGCAATTATCTCAGTTAGAATTAATATATGGTAATGTTTAAACTTGATCTTTCCCACTCAAGTGCAGAAACCACAGAGGGTGGGAGTTACTCACTGGTGTGTCACCAGTGCCCATGTTAGATACTCAGCTTTGGATGTATGGATGAATACACAGTGAACCTAGAGGAAGTGAAGAGGTTGCTAATTGGGGAGATCTTAAAGGATTGCCTGGCACTGTGGAAGTTCTGCTTTGGAAAGAGATACTGTGAATGTGTAGGGCCACCAGTGCCTGGCTAAGGGTTTGTGGTGGCCTGGTCGCCTAGTGGGTGAGCAGCTACCTGAGCACTTGCCCTTTGTTTTCTTCTTTTCATTTTTCTTCCAGTTCTTTAGGCTTTATTGAGGTCCATGCGGGGAGTTTTTTTGTTTACTTTTTATTGAAAAGTTTCAAACATTTTATAAAAGTAGATTTAAAACTTGTCAATTCATGGCCCAGCCTCCACAGTTATCAACTAACGGACACTCTCATTGTCTATCCTTGACATTGCCCCCAACACACATTATTTTGAAGCATATCTCAGACATCGGTTTCACCTGTAACTATTTCAGTATGTCTCAAAAAGAATTCTTTTTAGCCATAAGTACAATACCATTTTCATACCTAAATCCATAATTCCTTAGTATTATCAAATACCCAATCAATGTTTAAATTTACCTGATAGTTTTACGTTTTTTTTGTAGTTTTTTTGTTTGAAATATGACTCAGATAAGGTCCATATACTGCAGTTGGTTGAGATCTCTCTAACGTCTCTTAATCTATAGATTCCCCTCCTCTTCTTTTGTTTTTTTTAACTTGAAACGTATATTTTGAAGAAAGCAGGTTGTTTTTATCTTATAAAGACTTCCACAGTCTGGATTTTGCTGTTTGAATTTTCACAGTGTCCTTTAATATGTTCCTCTGACCCCATATTTTCTGTAAGATGGTATTTAGATCTAGAGCCTTGATCAGATTTAGGTTTGATATGGGGGAGGGAATGGGGAAGAGTGTACATCCATTAGGAGGTATATAATATTTGGTTGTCTCCTTTTGTGGTGTTAATCATTGATGGATTGCCTAGCTCCATTAATTATTTAGGACTTGCAAAATGGTGATACTCTAATCCTATTATTGCTTTTTCATTTATCAGCTGAAATACTTCTGTATCCAAATATAAAATATTTAGATACCCTGAGGTGTATTTCCTATAGGAAAGGCAGGATAAATGCTTGATTTTTTCCTATTATTTGTCAGTATTCAAAATAATTCATTGGCTTCATAGTATCTTCTAAAAGTGATCAGTGAGGTTTTTTTTGTTTTTTATCTTTTATCTTAACATAATTAATGTGTTTCAATCCATTGTAGTTATCATTATTAATGCTCAAGTTGCCCCAATTTTGGCCAGGTGAAAGAGAAAATTTGAGACCATAATTTAGCTTTGGATGTATTAAATTTGAGTTGCTTTCAGGCATCCATGTTAAATTACCCACAGTTAGGAATATGGTATTCAGGAAGAAACAGAAGCCACCATACCCAGTGATGGTTGAAACTACAAATGTAGACAAGACTCTAGGAGGAGGCCAAGAATGGGAATTTAGGAATCACCAACATTTGAAGTATATTGGTAGGAAAAAGAACCAGAAAAAGGCCGTGGAAAAGAGAGGTCAGAGAAGTAGGGTAGAACCAAAATTAGATGTGAATAGAGAAGAAATGTCTGGTGTTGGTAGTTGCCTTAATTTGTTTCATTGAATAATCTTGTCTATAGAAAATTTGTCATACAGACCTCTGTTAATTGTCCAGGATTATAAATTTTAATCTCAGAATGCAAATTCAAACTCAGAGCCTATTTTCCACCACAGGCTGCCTCTCAGGTGGCCATTGGCAGGAGACTTCTCAGTGGTGTTGAAGAGAGCAAGTAGGAGGAAGTCAATGGAGAAGAAGCTGTTGGGAATTTCTGGGTGTTTTCAGAAGCGTGTTGGTGTAGGGCCTTGTTGAAGTAGGAAGAAAGATCATATGGTCCAAGTAGAACAAAGGGTTGGGTTAAAGCCTTGAGGGAAGTAGTAAAGATTTTTAATTCTCCTTGTGGAAATAGGAATGGGAAGAGACTTGAAAAAAGCAAAATGATTATCCAGCACAGTAATTCTTAAAGTGTCTTCTCTGGACCAGCAGCAGCATCAGCATCACCAGGAACTTGTTAGAAATGCAAATTCCTAGGCCCCATCTCCAGTCTACTGAGTCAGAAGCTCTGGGGTGGGGCCCAGCAATCTGTGTTTTAAGGAGCCCTCAAGGTGGTTCTGAAGCACTACCAGGTTTGAGAACCACTGCTCTAGCAGCAGCTAGGGCCCTGGCCCTAGCTGGAGCTAGAATACATATTTTTAATGAAGTCAGTTGGGACAGGCGATTTTTCTTTTCTTTAGCAGTGCCTGGCGGCTTGAAAGTAGGATCAGAGAATGTAAGACCCCTGGGTTGATTCAGAAGTAGGGAATTTGCAAATGGGTTTGAGGTCATAGTGAAAAGAATTGGATGTGCTCTTGAAGATACTGTAGAGATTATTCTTGGGGTCCAGGTTGGGTCAGGAGGCACATGAAACTAGAGAGAGTTGATAGACTAGTAGAGAAAAGAAAGATCTTTCTGAATAAAGAGCTCATTGAGTGAAATGAGTAAAAGGACAGATTTTGAGCTGAAAAGGGCATTTGAGCACTTGTGAGTGAGGACAGTGACTCGAGTGAGGCCCTGCTGTCAGGTTTCTTGGAGCGAGGACGCATCTCCTGAACTCATGTGTGATCTGCCCTAGCGATGATTCCATTTTTAGCTGCATTGAGGCTGAGCACTACATGAAACCCGAAACATGCCTATATCAAAAGAAAACTTCCCAAAAGAAATAATGATAATAGAGGAGGTTATGAGATTTTAATCATTGTTAGGTGTCATTAAAATCTATGTTAACTTGGCTGTCATAAAATTTTGTACACACTGAAATGCATAATATGGGATTATGGAAGAATAAAGATCTCAGAATTTACAAAATAGATGAGAGTTGTCTACATTAGATGAAAAAATGGTTTCAGAGGTGGTGGATAACTTTTCTGACTTTAAGATATTTGAAAATGTAAATACGCTTTTTAGTGCCATCTTAGCAGCTGAAGCCCAAGTAGTTATGTAACAGAAGTCATCCCGGCAGTTGGCTCAATTTAGACAGCACGACCATGACAAGCAGGGTTGAGCTCTGCTAATGGAGAAAGGCTTGGTGCTGTCATTTTCCTGTGTCTAGTGCTGGCATTGTACTGTGGTGCTCCTGTCTTAGGTGTTTATATCAAATTGCAGATACCGTTGTTCCATATTCACACAAGACAAAGGGCCATAAAATGAGCAGTGCCTATATTGGTGCATGGTAATACATGTCAAATACCTCAGTCTCTACTCACCCCCGTGACTCCCTGTCTCCCCCTTCACTGGCCACAAAGAGATAAAAGGATATTTCCAAATACTTTTTATACTGAATACAGTTGTATGGTTCCTTTTCTAGTTTTAAAAGCACATAAGTTAAACAAGAGCAACTGAACTCATTGTTTTAAAAGGAAACCAAAAAAACTGTAATAAGAAAGTGTCTGTCTTATCCTCTTTTTGCCTTGTGGAGGATAATGGGCTCCTATGCCCAGTTTAAACCTTTTAAATTTGAAGTTGTCATTGATTTTATTTTTATTAATCACAAGTTCAGTTGATAATTTAATATCAATCCCCCCACCTCTGCAGGATGAAGTGGTGTCCAAGTCCAGAACTCGATATTATGTGAATTCTCAACAACACAGAGTGAAAAACCGAATATGGCAGACTCTGCTTGTACTTTTCCCCAGATTTGATCAGGTATGACACATATTGTACATATATTTTAGCATAATGTTTTCATATGAATAAACTATTTAGTAGAAACTGTCATGTGCTATTTTAAAATTGAGAAAGTAATCTGCTTAAAATTTGTGCTTCGGTTCTTAAAATTGAAGTTAATTCAGAAGTTTTTTTAACAGAAAGAATACCAAGGCCATTAGCTATTGTAGAAATAAATTGGAAATTGGTTTACATGGCCCTATTGAATATTTTTTCTTCTATAAATGTAATATTTTAACTATTTAAAGTTTTATATGCCATTTGATTAGAAAATAGGTTAACTCCGAATTTCCCACAGCTGAGTTATTTTGCAGTGTTATTGTTTGGATTATCTGTGTACTCTAGAAACCAGGCAAATTGCATCATTTAGGATGGGATTGTCATTTCTCAGGGTTGATTTTCTTGCCCCTAATTTCATGAATAGTGTAGCCATACAAACCAGCTAAGCAAAGGCCGAGACCTCTCTCTGTTAAACCTCTCTGTCCAAAGTTACCTGTTCTCTTCCCTGAGGAGGCAAGAAGCAGGTGAGTGGCCTGGAGAGCCGATTTCTCTAATCATCTTTGCTTAATATTCCTGTTAAGAAAATGGATCATCATCATGAGAAAGTGATGGTATATCTCATGAATTTTTTTAAAGCATTTTTGAATGCAAAATTTCCCTCAGACTTTAGTTTCCTACTGTTGTCCTCACTCTTTTAAATGTTTGAGAGAATTTTTAAAACATATCAAAACTCTTTTTAAAAAATACCATTTTATGAAGCGTTATATCTGTGAGAGATAAATATTTCAATAACTCTAAGTATATCCAAATAAACTGGATAATTGTAAGAGGAAATAGCTAAAAGAGTTCCTTTTGGGGAGTAGTAGTAGTGGCTTTGTAACGGGGGCTGCTGATTTTCATCATAGGCCTTTTAAAATACTGTGTATATTATACTTCACTAAGCAGAAAAATGCATTATTTTTTTTTTTTTTAGGAATGGGAAGGCTCCCCAGAGAGATGGATAATGTTGGAGGGTGGGGGGAAGTGTCAGAGTGGGCAGGGTCTGTAACGAAGAAGAAAACTTAGCATATTTGTTATGGAACAGTCACTGCTAAGATGTTAAATTATTCTATCTTACAGTTTTATTTAACCTTCGTAACAGTCTTTCAAGGCAGGCCATAAATATTCCCATTTTACATAGGGGCACTGCAGTTCAGAGAGGAGGGTGACCTGCCTGTAAGGTAACACAGCTAGCGAAAGGTGGAGCTGGAATTCAAAACCAAGTCTGACTTAAATTCGTGCTCTACTTTACAACACTGTCTTGGGGGCTTAAAATGAGCTTTTCTGCTCCCCTTCTACCAATTAGCAGTTCTCTTAAAATAGATCTTTAAAATAAAGCAATATGCACAATAAATCTAATTTTTTATATGCTTATATGAGGAGATGTTTTTTACCTGCTGCTTGAGTATGCCCGGTTACCCAGATAAAAGTGTGATTTTGGAGAGAAGGGTGGGGCAAGGGAGGATGATTTTGGAGTTCAGGGTCTTGGCAAGAAGGACTGGGGAGGCTGTAGAGGCAGGATGAGCAGTCCCGGAAGAGAAGGCGAGGGCCCCCAGGCCTGCTCTCCTGGGTTTTGTTTACCTCCGCTGACTTTGGCATCTGTTGTCCTGGGTCCAAATTTTAAGCCCATGGCATCTTGGTAGGTCTTGATTTGAATCTGAATTCTGCCACTTACCAGATAAGTGGCTTTGAGGAAGTTAGTTAACTTTCTGAATCTTTTCCTTTCCCTCTAAAAATACAGAGAATAATAACCTTCCTCACAGAATTGATGTCCAAGTAAAATGTAAAGTACTCAGTAAAAGTACCTCGTCATTATCTTTCAGTCAACAGTTTTTAGGATTGTTGGTTGGAAAGTTATGGATGCAATAATTACTTACAATAAAATTTTAAGCTTTTTTTTTAATGGTGACTATATTTTTTTAATTAAAATTAATAACCGTTTGCATTAGAAACTACATCTTAATTGTTCCCACCACAAAAAAGAAATGATAATTATGTGCAGTGATAGAGGGGGTAGCTGATACTGTGGTGGTCATCATACTGCGATATATAAATGTGTCAAATTGACATGTTGTACACCTTAAATTTATACAATGTTATATGTCAATTATATCTTAATAAAAATAAATTTTAAACTAATAACCGTAACATAACAGTTTAATTTGTGAACTTTATTTTTCTCAGAATTTCTTGAATAGAATTATTGACAAGATTTTCCAGGCTGGTTTCATCAATAATCAAGCGTCCATAAAATATTTTATAGAATGGATTATTATATTGATTCTTCATAAATTCCCTCAGTTTCTTCCGAAGTTCTGGGATTGTTTTTCTTATGTAAGTAAAGAAGATTTTTTTAATATTTTTTTAAATTAAGAAAAGATTTTGGCTATGCTGGGAGATTTGTTTCACTAGAATAGTTGTTTTTTGACTGTCAATTGCCCTCTCCACAATGTATTGACATCCTAAGTTGTGTTTTGCAAGATTTGAATTAATTTAGGAGACAGAAATCCCTGGCATTTATCTTGAGTATATCAAAGTTTTTATTTGAGAGCTCTTCTATTCCAACAAAATAAAGGTGGAAAAGGCTTTTGTTATTAAGAAGTAAGAGAAATAGGTGCCTTCTATATTCTTATTTACCAGGCGATATCTTTGTTTGATCTTAGAAATAAGAATGAGGAATTAAATGCATTCCTCACATGTTAAAGAATTTTTTAGTGGGGACATTTCAAACATAACCAAAGTAGAGAGACTAGAAGGGAACCCTTATTACCCAGCTGAAAACAAATATCAATTCATTTCTGTTCTTATTTCCTCTGTACCCTCGTGCATACCCCTCACTGCCCCTCCCCAACCTTTTTTACATCTTAAAAATAATTTTTAAGGAATTGATACTGAGATTAGTGGTAGAGTTTACAGTTGCAGGCTTCTTGACAAATGACAGATTGTTTGTAAACATCAGCTCTGTTGGTTCCCAAATTCTCCCTTCCCTTTCTTAATGAATGACCTTGCCGTCTACCTTGTGTGAAATGAGGATGCCTTCCTCAAAGTATCTTTCTGTTTCTTCCTTTCTATTTCAGGGGAAGAAATATCTGTTCTCTTTTTCACATCTATTCCTGTGTCCTTGTTTGTATTTCCTTCTGGGACTTGACTCTGAATTCTTCAGTCTTATTCTCTTCACTTTTCCTCCATCTGGCCATCGTCCTAGTGTCATCTTTACTGTTAAACTTTGAGCATGAGTGATCCTTGCCTTCCTCTCTTGTTCTATTAAACCGCTGTGGCCCACCGCATTTTCAGAAATCACACATTGAGGACTCCATCTGCAGCTACAGACAGCCTGTCTTCGTTTTCCTTGTCTTCGTCTTCCTTCTCCTTCACAGTGGTTGTTGCTCTCTACAGCTGTTAGTATGCTGCCGTGTACGTCATAGCTCCCTTCCTCTTAAGCCGATTACATCTCTGTTTCTTTCTTGTCTTTCCTTTCTTTCTCCCAACCCTTATGCTTGGTTTTGTCTTAAGAATCCTTATTTAACCCTTCTGCTTCTCTTTCTATGCCTCTTTGCTTTGTAAACCCTGTTTCTGCTGGTTCACTGCCTCTCCGGCCACCTCCTAGGTATGCTCACATGATCACTTCAAATTTCATCCTGTATAAAACTAAGTCGATGGTAGTACCTGTCCCTAAAATTGGCTCCCCTTTCTGTTGTCCTTCATTCTCCAGTCTCCTAGCTGGAAACCTGGCCGTCACAATAAGCGGTAGCAATGTCATCCTCACAATCATCCTGAAAGATAGGTTGGAGTTCTTGCACTTTACTTCTGAAGAAACTGAAGTTCAGAGAGCTTAGGGAACTCATCACACGACTAAGAAATGACAAAGCTTTAATTCAGATGTCTGTTTAATTTCAAAAGCCACTTTCTTTTTCTCACTATTCCAAGGTTCCTCTTCTGCCTCTTCGTTCTCCTCTTCATGTCCATGTAATTAAGAAAAAATTCCGTCATTTTTCCTTGAATTGCTTCTCAGATCTGTGGCTCCATTAGCCTGGTTCATTTTGTCTGCTCTCTCGTGGGTCAGCACTGCCTGAGAAGTTCTCACAGAAGACAGGTTGGCTCTGGTGTCTTCGGAGACTTCCTGACTCAAGTATCCTCTGGAATGCTGGCAGGTCTGTTAAGGTTTTCTACTTAGCTCAGTCTCTCACTTTTCATAAAGAGCTTTCAGATTTGGTATATTCTCTTCAAATCTTTTCCTGTGGACACCAATCAGGGTTTTTTATTGTAATCAAATAAAATAACTTTTGCCGGTTGAGTGAAAAAGGGACTTAAAACAGGCAGTGGAGAGGAGGGAGTTCGCTAGCTTACAGAATGCCCAGAAAACCACAGAATCCCGCTTGGAAAAGAGGCAGGAACAAGGGGGGCTCCACGGTTTCCAGAACCGCAGCCAGAGGCCTGGTCCACTGGGGCCCTTGCTTCACTCCACTGGACGTGTGGGGCCGTCGCAGCAGCGCTGTAGCTGGAGGCGGCTGTCCGCCAGCTGCTTCTGCCACCTGCGTGGTGATGCGCTCCACCTCTGTGGGATACGAGTTCTCAACCCAGGTCAGGTGCCTTCTCTTTAGCTGCAAGGAGGCGGGGAAAATGAATATCTGACATTTTCAGCTTCCCACAAGACCTGTGAGGTGGGAGCATTCCCTAAACTTGGAAGAGGATTCAGGATAGATATCCAAAAAAAGGCAAATATCCACTACACTCTTTTTTTCCTTTATTGGAAACAGATGACCTTAACTTTTACTTTTTAGAGAAAATAAAAGGAATACCTTTATCTTCTCACCAGCGGTCGTACAAATCTACTTACCTCCCTATCCATCCCAGACTTCTTCCTTCCTTTTACCGTAAAGGACCTGAATCTTCTGTTCAAGATAATTCTTCTGTGTGCCCTTGGGTTCCTCCTTTCTGCCTTCCTAGGCACCTTTTGCTATCAGTCTTTCTCCTATACTCAATCTCTTCTTCTTAACCAAATGGTTTCCATTGGCTTTTAAATGTGCTCAAGTCTCATCGTTTATGGATGTTTATACTGAACTTCTCATCCCTCTCCTATAATCACCCTATCTCACTACTTTGTCATAGTCAGACTTCCTGAAAGAGGCGTCTGTGTTCCATTGTTCCATTTTTTTTCCACATCCTCCCCGCCCACCCTTCAATTCAGTAGACCAGCTCCAGCTCAGTCACTTCTCAGAAGACACTATTTCCAGAGTCAGTTGTCAGCCTCCTCTTCTTCTCCCAGCTCCATCCATGCTGCTGACGACGACTTAGTTCTTGGTTCAGTGACACGCTTTCCTGGTCTTCCTGCCCCTCTGTTCCCTCTTGTCTGTGTCCTTTCCAGGCTTTTCCCTCTCTACCCAGCTTTCTTTTCTTGAGAAGCATGTCAGTGCTTCCCAAGGCTAGGACTTTTTTCCTTAATTTCTCCTTGTTTTATAGTCAGTTTTGTCCTAAGTCATGTATTCACTTGTTGTCTGATGTGAATGACTCAGTAATTTATGTTTGTATTCCAGACATCTTCTCCTAAGTGCTAAATCAGGGGTTGGTAAACTACAGCCAAATTCAGCCTGGCAAAGTTTTACTGGGACACGGCCACGCCCATTTATCTACGTATTGTCTGTCTATGGGTGCGTGCTGAAATGACAGAGTTGAGCAGCAGAGACTATGTGGCAGCAGACGTATTATTATTTATTATTTGGTCCTTTACAGAGTTTGCTAACCGCCACTCTAGATATTCTCCTTGAATGTTTGTAAATCATCTAAAACTTGGATGTCTAACACCAAGTGCCTTATCTTTTCCCCAGACTTGATCTCCTTCCTATTGTGGACAGCACCGCCATCTATACAGTTGCACACACCAGAAATCTTAACACTTTTCGTGTTCCATGTCTGATTCGTGACCAGATCCTGTTGATCTTACCTCCTAACTATTTCTCAGTTATCTGCCTTCTATCCCTACTGTTATATCTTGGTCCAAGCTACTGTCAGCCATTGCAGTGCTTCCCTTACTGAGCCACCTACATTGTTCCTTGCCTCCCTTTCAGTCTCTTCCCCACACTGAAGCCAGAGCAGGTCTTTCAAAATAAAAAATTTGATCAGGTTATCCACTTGCTTGAAACGTTGCTGTCAGAATGAAGACCAGAAGTCTTCAGAGTGGCCTGCAGGTCTCATGTGATCTTATGCCTTCTTCCCTCTCCAGTCCCTGTGTACCACATTCCCACTTCTGCACTTTAGTCATACTGATTGTCTCAGTTTTCTAATGCTAGAACACTCCAGAGCCCAGTGATGTGAACTACGTTTTATTAGTTTTCATGATTCTGGGTTGACTGGGCCTGGCTGGGCAGTTCATGTGGGTCCACTGGGGGTGGGACTTCAAATGGCTTCTTCACTCACATTCGTCACTCAGCTGCAGCAGTGGGAACAGCTGTGGTGGCCGGGCATTGTTCTCTCTGCATGTCTCCAGCAGGGTAGCTGGATGTCTTTCCTTGGTGGCTCAGGGTTCCAAGAGTGAGCATTCCAGGAGGATACGTCTCCATGTGTATGTGCTTACCCAGCCTCTTTTACCTACTGGCCAAAGTAGATGGCACGACCAAGCCTCCCAGTGTGGGAGGGGCCTGCATTAGGGCCTGGATCCCGGGAAGCTTGGTTTGTTGGGTACCACTGGTGTGACTGCATACCACCTGACCTTTTCTGACCTTTTGTGCTCATCACAAGTCCTTTTGCTCTCAGGCTATTGCACAAGCCGTGCCCTCCACCTGAAATGGTCTTCTTTCTCCTCTTCATCTACGTAACTGCTTCTCTTTCTTCAGATCTCAGTTCACTTGTCATTTGTGTCATTTCTTAAAGGAAGTTACCTCCCTGAGTAGTTTGGATCCCCTTATGGATTTTCATAGCACATAAATAGTACTTGTTATAATTGGAATTTTAATTTATTGTCTGATTTGATTATGTCTTTGCTCCCCACTAGACTCTAAGCTCCATGAAGGCAGGACCTTATCTGTTTCTATTAGCCCTGTTTCCAGCCCAGTACCTGGCAAATAGGAGACTCAGCAACTACTGGTTATATAAGGAACTAATCATCTGATTTGCCTTTTGGAGCAGTTACTGAACTGTAGTGTCTGTTGTCTCTTTCCATTCTATCTAGCACCCATCAGTTTATTATCACAAAAATAACGTGTTATTCCAAATCACTATTAGTAGGAAGGTTTCTAAATTCCAGTTTAACACTCTTACATGGCTAGTCATGGCTTTTTAAAGTGGTCCACACGGTCCCACTGAAATTTTGAGCCTTGTCTCTGCCACTCCCCTGCCATGCCGGTCTCTTCATGTCTTACTGCCTTTGCCTCTGTGTCTTTGTTTGTCTTACTCATTTTTCCCCTGTGCTCTCCCCTTCTCTACTCCAGTCATCTCCATCCTAGAGCCCTCACCTTTTTTGGAGCGGGTGTGCCCTTGGCTCTGCCACTTGCTTTACAATTAACTTAGTACTTTGTAAGTGTCTGCTGACTGTAGTGCATGTTGGCATTTGGCTCTAGGAAATTTCCTTTCCTTTCTTTGCTTTTAATCCCATATCCCCACCCAGGCCATGTCTACTTCACATTCTGGGCCCCACAGTGTCCAGCACTGTGCCTTGCACGTACCCAGGCTCACAGTAAGCCCTGAGTGACTGTTTTATCTGATTTTTTTTCAGGGTGAAGAAAACCTTAAAACTAGCATTTGTACATTTTTATCAGTTTTGTCTCATTTGGACATTATTACTCAAAATATTCCAGAAAAGGTGAGTTTAGATCGTCTGTAAGAAGAGTTTAGGGGCCGGCCTGGTTGCACAGTGGTTAAGTTCACGCATTCTGCTTCTCGGCGGCCCGGGGTTCACCGGTTCGGATCCTGGGTGCGGACATGGCCCTGCTCGGCAAAAGCCATGCTGTGGTAGGCATCCCGTGTATAAAGTGGAGGAAGATGGGCATGGATGTTAGCTCAGGGCCAGTCTTCCTCGGCAAAAAGAGGAAGATTGGCAGTGGTTAGCTCAGGGCTAATCTTCTTCAAAAACAAAAAAAAAGAAGAGTTTGAACTTGACTGTCAAGATAGAATTTTAGATATTTGTACTAATTTTTTTAAGATGTAGAGTACCCCTTGTATTTTTTTACATTTTCTTCCACTGCCCCCGCAATGTGCACACCTACTCAGACACAAGTACACTGTAGGATATTACCCACTTGCACATGGACACACTGGGGTGTGGCTGAGTACGTGCTGAATCTGTAGACTAATTAATGAGCAATGTTTAGTGATATGATTCTTGATTTTATACAAGCATTTCCATAAGATTATTTAAATAGGACTTCCCTGATTGCATTTAACTCTTCCTTGACTGCCATAGTTATTCAACAAATGCTCGTGCGAAGAAACTTATGGTTGAAGTATTAAAAGCTATGGGTGATTGAAGGTTGATATGAAATGACTGTCATCATCTGGACTGTGAAGGGCAGTTCTTTCTCAGGTTTAGAGAAATTTCGCTGGTGGTTTACCACACAGATAAGTAGAGATCTTAGCTAATTCTGGTTACTCACTATGGCAACTGTGAAGCATTTAGGAAAACCTGTCAGTAAGATTTAGAGCAAGCTTCTGTCTTATTGAATCTGCAGAGAAGAACGTACTGATATGTTGTAAACTCTAGGAGAAGACCTAATATAGGAAATAAGAAGTGTTGTTTAGTGTTGAGAGTGAAATAAAAATATAGGAGGAAAAAAGTTTTCCTAGAAATTTTCTGTGTTTTTGTCTTTAAATAGTGGTAACAATCAAATTTGGTAGTTAACCTATTGCATCAGTCCTTAGATAGACCTTTCTCCCCACCACATTTAACCTCTAAAATCACGACAGTATCTTAAAATTGATGGTGCCTTCCAGTGTCTGTCAGCCAGATGGCAGTGTGTTAGTTAAAGTTATGTGAAAACTTGTGCTAACACCCTCTGGTAAGATCAAGAAAGCTCTAGCATCAGATAACAGCAAATGTTATCTTTCTATTTTAAATGTGTGCAGGCAAGAGATTTGCCTACAATCTCTCCACAAAGGTAAGATAGACAGGAAACTGTACCATTGCAAAGTGGACGAAACGGCTCAACAGTTTAGACAAATTTTGAAAATGAATTCGTCTTAGAAGATGTTCTTGTTAGAGCTGGTATAAATAACATGTTTTTTTCATTAAGCCTGTATTGTACTTGCTGTTTATTACACAATTTAGGTTTGTTTTTTATTTTCAAAACATCCAGATAAAGGAATGCTGATTAGTGGGATAGAATAATCTCAATTTCAGCATCTTCTGGGGGAAAAAAATGTAAACTGAGTTACCTAAGTAAAGACCAAACTGGTTTACTTTGTTACTCTCTTCATTTCCAATTTGTAAACTCCATTGTTACTTGATAAATGTGTTTTTGTTCAGAGACTTCTTGGAAACAGTCCTTTAAGACTTCTCTTTCTCATCAAAGTGTGTTATAGTAGTCACCCCTCTTCCCTACCTTGGGAGACATGTTCCGAGACCTCCCATGGATCCCTGAAACCGGGATCATACCAAACCCTGTATGTATTATGTTTTTTTCCTATACATACATACTCATGACAAAGTTTAATTTATAAATTAGGCACAGTAAGAGATTAACAACAACTAATAATAAAATAGAACAATTATAACAAAAGTTACCATAAATCTTAGCAACGTCAGCATACAATTTTTTTTCTTTCCTTATTAAGCTGAGAATTTTCACATTTTCACTTAAAGGAAGCACTTTGTGGCTTCTCTTTGGCATATCCAAATTGCCAGCGTCACTATTCTTACACTTTGGCGTCGTTATTAGGTGAAATAAGAGTGGCTTGAACACAAGCACTGCGATACCACGACAGTCGATCTGATCACTGAGACAGCGACGAAGTGACTCATGGGCGGGGAGCATATACTGCGGGATCTGCTGGACAAAGGGATGATTCACGTCCTGGGCAGGACACAGCAAGATTTTATCATGCTATTCAGAATGGTGTGCAATTTAAAACTTAGGAATTGTTTATTTCTGGAATTTTCCATTTAATATTTTTGGACTGTGGGAAGTGAAACGCCGGATTAAGCGAGGATTACTGTGCTTTGGTACTTAACCTGTATATGAGATGTGTTAAATAGATAAGATTCAAAACTGTCAAACAGGACAGAGGTGAGAGCACTAAATGTTCTATGGAAATTAAAAGGAAACGGGGAAAAATCCCTTTCTGAACTGTGCTCAGTCATGTATTGCCCTGTCAGCTTGTGAGTGTATACAAACCTTGTCAGCAAATACAGTGCAGTAGTATTCCTATTATTCAGCAGCAGAACTTGTTACACTGATGTAAGTGTCAGCGTTGTTCAAGAACTAACAGGTGCTGTACCCCAATCTTGGCCAGGCAGATGATCACAGGTAATACCACAGATTTCATGTACAATTCACAGAAGAATTGTATTTCTTGTTGAAAATTATAATGGATTTTTTTTTTCACTTACAAGTACTATATACCTAGCTCCCAGATCTCTAATATCATTCTCTAATGCAAAGAACCAGGGCTCTGTGGAGAAATGGATCATTCTAGGACTGGGGCAGAAAATATACAAGCTAAGTCTGGAGCATCTTGTAATATCAGAAAGTAAGGAAATGCTCTACACACACACACACTCTGATGTGGGATGGGTATGCAAAGGGACACAAGCGCCAACTGAAAGAGCTCCCAATGGCTAAAGCTGAAACAATTTGAGCAACGAAATAAATAAAGTAATAGTGAATTGCAACCCAAAGTATAAAATAAATATCCATGTGTCCATAATGATATAAACACATGATTGAATAAATAAATGGGAGAGATGACAAATCTCCTGGGAAGAATTGCAAATGATTTGTATAGATACTCCACCCTCAAGGAGAGGGAGCATAACCCCTCACTCCTTAAGTGTGGGACATCCTTCCAAAGAGTAGAGTTTCGAAAGGGGGAAAGAGTAACTTTACAGTGGGGAAAGTGGTGATAGCGATGTCATATTGATACTATGTACCCTTGACCTGATGTGATGGAAATGACTCTTTACTTCTGCAGTCTCCTCCCAGAACACCACAACCCCAGTCTAATCATGAGAAAAACATCACCCGAATCCCAGCTGAGGGACATTCTACAAAATACCTGACCACTGCTCCTCAAAGCTGTCCAGGTCATCAAACACAAAGTTTGAGAAACTGTCCCAGCCCAGAGGAGGCTAGGGGGACCGACACCTAAATGTAACGTGGTATCCTGAGTGGGATCCCAGAACAGGAAAAGGGCGTTAGCAGAAACTAAGGACATCTAAATAAAGCATGCACTAAGGATTAAGGCTGTAGAGGTGTGGTGAGAAATTCAAAGGGGAAGCTTGGGCCCTGTAGCCCAGGGCAGGGCATTGGACTTTATTCCTTCAGTTTTCCCGTTATATAAAGTGGACATAACACTGCCTACTTCAAAAGATTATTGTAAGGATTAAATAACACCGAAGTATCAGGTACTCATGGAATGTTAGTTTCTCTCCTCTCTGAATCATCTTTGGTCCTTCTTTATACCTGTCAGAGTTTGGGATCAAGGCTTCCATTTCATTCATTCAAAATATTTTTTAGTGCTTACTGTTACTAAGCATTACACTAGGCTATGGAGATACAGGGGAAAGCAAGACACAGATCTGTCTAGAGGAGCGTGCTGACAAACGTGATGTGTGCTCTGGTGGGGGAAGTGCAGAGGTTGTGGGAGCACCTAGCAGAGACCTCTCAGTCTTGGGTCTGCAGGGAAGACTTCCAGTTCAGTACAAAGACCTACACAATGGGGAAGAGTTAGCAGGCTGAGTGGAAGGATGCTTGGCACCATCACGGATGCAGAAGACATTAGTTTGGTTGGAGGTGGAGAACAGAGTGTGAGTCTGGAGCGAGAGCGGGGTCCATCTCATGACGGGTCTTTGTAAAGCATGTCAAGGAGGTTCGCACAGTGCTTGGGAGAATGAGCCTTAGAGCCAAACAGACCTGGGTTCAAATCTTGGCTTTACCTCTTACTTCGTGCATAAACTTGGTCAAGTGATTTAATATTTTTAAAACTCCACTTTTCCACGCTCAACGATGGTGTGTGACATACAGTAAGTGCTCAGTGTATGAGGAATTTGGACTTTATCCAAGGGGCATTGGGATGATGCTGTGGAACTTTAAGCGGAAACGTGACACAATCAGATCTGTGTATTGTGAATGCAGTGTGTAGAACTGGTCATCTAGGAGCAAAACTGGAAATGGGTAGACCAGTTAGGAACCTGTTGTGGTGATTTGCGAGTGCTTTCATGGTGACCTGCCCTGTGCGGTGGCAGGGAGATATGACAGGTACGCGGTAGAGAGAAACACCAGGACTTGGTGATGGATTAGATGGGACAGATGCAAAACAGGAAAGTGACTTGGGCCGCCAGGGTTGGGGTGCCTTGGGGCACTGAATTAGGGAACATAGGAAAAGGAACAGACTGGGGGAGGTGATGATGACTAAGGATAGAATTTTGAATTTGTTACCTGTGTGATATCCACATGGACTTGTGAGGGAGCAGTTGGGTATAGAGGTCTGGAGCTCAGGAAGGAGGTCTGATAGGAAATACGATTCAGGAGTTGTCCTCATTTTAGGAATCACAACTCAGTGTCTTAAGGGGCCAGGCTCATGGCATCAGTGAGTGCTGCCAGTTGGTGTACCCCAGAGGGCGTGGTGGGAGGGAGGTGACCTGGGGAGCTCTAGTACTGCTGGGAAGATACGCTGGAGCTGTGTTCAGCCTTCATCACACCCTCTCTCTAGTGAGCCTTGGGCTGCAAAGCCCAGCAAACTAAAACCTCTATTTTTAAAGCATTCTTGCACCTAGGGCTTCAGGTAAAGTGCATTTGCACAGGATTTGGAAGGCAGAAGTGAGCCTCTGCTGACAAGTCAAGTCATGGAGGTGCTTGTTTTTTCTGAGGTGCTGTTAGCCGAGGTCCCAGTGTTTAGCTTCGTGAACACTCAGAAGCAGGATGCAACGTGTCGCTTTGCTGCTATGAATTATGGTAGGCCTGACATGGTGCAGGATCTTGCGGCAGCAGCTGAAGCTTCCTGATTGAGGTTGCTTGGTCATAGAAGAGAGGCAGGGTAGCCTGGTTCAGTGGTGTAGCTCCTGACAGCTCAACTGAGAGCTGAGAGTCTGTTCCTTTAGCATTTCCAGTGATTCTGTAATGAAGATCCATTTCTGCCTGACTACCCAGGTTCTGTTTCTGCAGCTAAACTCTGACAGACTAAAATTCAGATATTTTTCAAAATACTGTGCCAGTAATACAAAAACTGGCCATGGGGGAGAGGAGCATAGGAAGGAGGTGGGTGTGGTCATGGAAGGACAACAGGAAGGATCCTTAGGCCTTGGGACTGTTCAGTGTCTTGACTGTGATGGTGGATAGATCTGTGAACCTACAAGTGTGATAAAATTGTATAAGACTTAATACAACCCCCCCCCACACACACACACACACAAGTACAAGTAAAAGTGGGGAATCAGGATTATATCAGTGGATTGAATCAGTGTCAACATCCTGGTTTAATATTGTGCTAAAATTTGCCAGATGTTGCCTTTGGGGAAACTGGACAAAGTGTACAAGGGGCACAGGGATCTCTGTATTATTTCTTAAAGCTGCACATGAGTCTACAGTTATCTCAGTAACAATTTCAGTTAAAAGAAGAAAAGCAGGAGCCGGCCCAGTGGCATAGTGGTTAAGTTAGTGTGCTCCTCTTTGGCGGCCCAGGGTTCATGGGTTCACGTCCCAGGCACAGACCTACACACTACTTGTCAAGCTGTGCTGTGGCAGTGTCCCACATACAAAATAGAGGAAGTTTGGCACAGAAGTTAGCTCAGGGCCAATCATCCTCACCAAAAAAAAAAAAAAAGAAGAAAAGCAGCTGTGGTCCACAAGCTTGGGAACTTTGAATGGATGGAAGCCATGGGAATGAATGAGGTCACTCACAGAGTGTATGCAGCCTAATAAAATAAGGAAGCCAAGGACAGAACCCAGGGGAACACCGGCAGGTAAGGGATAGGAGAAGAAGAGATCAAGAAGGAACAGCAAGAGGGTGGGAGGACAACCTTACGTGGTGTTCTCACGTCGTAGGAAGAGACCTTTGCCAAGAGAGTCGAGTGCCCTGGAGAGGTCGGGAAAGATAAGGGCTTAATCCATAGTGTTTAGCAACACGGAGGTTGTGACTGATGAATTCCACTGCAGTGATACATGAGGGGTACACAAGGGAAGGAGGTGGGGTAACCAGAAGATAGACTGTAGATAAATGCTTTGGGTCAGAAATTGGAATACCTGATTTTAAGATTTTAGAAAAAAGAACAGAGGTTTTATGACAAGGTCTAGGGTATGACTAGGGCACAGAAAGGCAGGTCATGGTTTTTTACGTGATGGTGGGGATGTAATGGTCTGGAAGTCACACCGACTACTGAAAAGGCTCCAGACCCTCTGCTGGCTTAGGAAGCTGGGAACGAAAGCTTAGGGAGAGGTTAAAGAACTTCCCGTGCGATGAGAGCTCTGAAAGGTACAGTTGGAAAGATTTAGAAGGGAAGGGAGAGCAGCGTGACATCAGGTCAGACGAGAGGAAGCAGATATTCTTTCCGGAGAAGGCTAGAAGAGAAAGGAGAGAACCGGTGGAGTTTACGTTTGGATAATGAGCAAAGACCATAGAGATGGGATGTGCAGTGAATTTAGTTGGCCACAAGCCATCTGTTGGCTAAGGTATTTTGGAAGAAGTCATTTTGAGTTTTTGCCTCCCTCCCTCGTTCTCCCTCACTTTAACATCTGTTCTGTGCATCTTATGTCTCTGCATATGTTATTCTAGGCCCTGTGGATTCTGCAGTGAACAGAACAAAGTACCTTCATTCTGGTGGGGGAGAGAGACAATAAATAAAGATTATTGACACAGGCTTTGAAGAAAAAGAAAGCAGGATAAGGGGCTAGAGGTTGGGTGCCTGGGGTGGGACAGCTATTTCAGAAAGTGGGTTCAGGGGAGACCTTTCCAAGGAGCTGGTTCTAACAAGTACCTGAAAGAAGTGGGTGAGCAAGCCACGTGAGGGTCAGGGGACTTTCCAGGCGGAGGGATCAGCAATGCAGGCCTAGGTGAGAACGGCCTTGTCGTTCCAAAGGAGGTCAGAGCGATTGGCACAGAGTAAGGGATGGGGCACAGGGGCAGTCAGGCCCCACGTAGGTTTTGGGGAAAAATCAAGAGTCGTGTTTGGGGCAGGTCATGTTTGGGGTGACCATCCTTTCACTAATACTATTCAGGTTTGCCTCTTCTTCACGTTAGTTATCTAATATGTAAATGGGGGATGATAAAACCTACCTTGTTGAGGTGTACACATTAAAAACAACATACATAAAATGCTATGCATAGCACTGTAGTACATAATTAATGGTGTAGGTAGTATATGTTTAGATATTATCACATGTGCTTCATAAGGTCATAAAGGACTATAGAATATTGGTAGTTAATTATTCACATTCTCTTTTTAAAAATTTTTAAATTACTTTCCAATGATATTTTGGTTGCCTTGGTTAACCTGCCTGGTTTTCAACTTCCAGATTAGAACTAAATACTTAATCGTGTATCATTCAGAGGTTGCCATTTTCCTGTGCTACCTATGACATTTCTCTTTGATCTTCCTTGTAGCCAAGTAAATATATTTGCTCTTCCATACATTTCATTTACTGATTTTTCTTAGATATACATCTAATATGCTATCAGCCTTCTTTGTGCCTCTTCTTAAAAACTGCTCTTCCCCCATGTCACCTTTTTAGCTGGGCCTTCCCTGACTAGTCACTTCACTTTACCGTGCCCCAGTAACGGACAGTATTTGTTAACGTTCATCATGTAGGCTGGTAGTATGTATGTTATACATTTGTGTGTGTGTATATATTTATTTATCTCCCAATAGCATCCTTGTACAGCTGGCCATACAGTGACCTTTGATAAATGTCGATGACATGTTGAATAAAGGAATGAGATAAAGAGAGTTATTTATATTTTGTCCTTCTCAGAGAAGCTTTGGGAAATTGAAGTGAGCTGTTAACCATACTGACGTATTGGTAAACACTTCTGTAAATAAGGTTGTTTTTAATCAGTCAGAGAAACCAACAGTAGGACTCTTGGCAGCCCAGTGAACATTTATTTACAGATGACCCATTTTGTGGGAGCATCAAGGTAGCTCCTGATGTTTTATTAAAAGTTTGAGTCTATCTGGTTTCCACGTTGATATATGTCACTTCCTTTGCCTTTCAACAGTTGTTAGACTGTGTGGTTTTAAAAAACAGGGACGATCATTGCATGAAATCTCCAGGCTATGAAGATGGAACAGTCTGTGAGTTCACAGGAAAAGACTACAGGGAAGTTTAAACTGTTTTACTACTTTTCTCCCCATTTCTTAATTTTCCTGCCACCACTCACTGCTATGTGGGTCCAAGATCACCATTAGGGAAAACAGTAGTTCAGAATCAAAGACAGCACTTTATGAGGTGCTTTGCTTTAGAAGCACTTCCAAGTTCACCAAAAGTGGGGCTCTTAAAGAATATTTCTAACTTTTTCAACCGAAGGTAACGTGATAAGTGATGGAGGCTGTTTCCAAAACATTCTGGTTGTATATTGGTGAGCATGAAAGCACTCTGTCCAAGTTAACCTAGGCACTGGAGCATGGGGAAAAAATGTACTGCAGCATTAGAAATGAAGCCAAAGAGCTGGGAGAATATTTTCTTTCTTGAGGAAATTTCTTTTCTTTCTTTTTTTTTTTGAGGAAGATTAACCCTGACCTAACTGCTGCCAATCCTCCTCTTTTTGCTGAGGAAGACTGGCCCTGAGCTAATATCCGTGCCCATCTTCCTCTGCTTTCTATGTGGGACACCTACCACAGCATGGCGTGCCAAGCGCTGCCATGTCCTCACCCGAGATCCGAACCGTCGAACCCTGGGCCGCCAAGAAGTGGAACATGCGCACTTAACCACTGCGCCACCGGGCTGGCCCTTAAGGAAATTTCTAATGCCAGTGTACCTGATTTATCTGAGAAGGATAAATGAGAAGCCACTGTGCTAATGCAAAACCAGTGAAATAAGATTTACTGTGTAGTCTTTTTATCATTTGTATACCCTGTTTTTGTTTATACAGTCAAGGGTAAAATGGTCCATGTTTACATTTGAAGAATTTTCCCTTTTCTTTTCAGAAACTAATTCTGAAGCAAGCCCTTATTATCGTACTGCAGTGGTGTTTCAATCACAATTTTAGTATTCGACTGTATGCATTAGTTGCTCTTAAGAAAATCTGGAACATGTGTAAAACGATGCATGTTGAAGAATTTGATGCTCTCACTTCTGTTATTGAATCCAGTCTGAATCAAGTGGAAAACATGCACGGCGCAGGGTGAGTAAACCTTGGACCCTCCACTGTACTTCCACTAGAGCGCACAGAGAAGATGTCGAAGGCGCCCCAGTTTTATTAGCATCTCATCTTCCGTCATGCTGGAGCCCATAGAGCCCGGAAGGCCAAGTTTAAGCAGTTCACTGTTTGATGTACAGTTTAATACACTTCTCATTGTAGCCAGCTCCATCTTGACCTTTCACTGCTTTTTCATCCTTGATTATAAAAAATATTTATTTTATAAATAATCTTTTCCATCCTGTTAGATGTTTCTCTTCGGTATAGCCAAATGCCGTCACCCTTGTTGTCAAGGAGCTGGTGAGAAACAGCATGATCTGACTTTAAAGACATACTCCTAATGCCTCAGTTGTACTAGTTAAAGCTGGAAGCTTTTTTCTTTTTCTTTCCTAAGAGAACTCTATTCCTCAAACAAAATCCTATACAGAAGCTCAATATCAAACAGATAGAACACTGCTGCTGTGGATAGAGGTGGGGAGTGGGGCATGGCCCAGATTTTGTGAGGCCCCCTTTCTCCCACACCCATCGCTGGTTGAAGGTGACCCACAAAAGCAGCAGAAGTATCCTCAGCACCTCCTGGTATCCGAATGTACTGCCTCATCCCTAAGTTGTTGTTGTTTTACTTTGTCATTATCATCATAGATTGTCACCATCCTGGAAGGCTGGGAGTTTTATAAATTTCAGAGACCCAGGCAATATCAACATAAAAAGCTTTTCTTCAGAGGCTCAAAAACACTCACTAATTTACATAAACAAACAGATAAAGGTTGGAAGCAGCATATTAGGCATATGAAACAGTGTGTGGAAAACCAATAACATGTAGGGTCTTTGCCTTGACCATCAAGTTAGCACATGGTACAGATAAGACTGTTTATGAGCCGTTACGAAGCTTGATGTGGTGCTGGGCCTGAGCTACTTCTGTGGCCAAAAACTGCCTTATGACCCTGCTCCCTACCTTAACTTTTGATACCTTTGTTAAAAGAGGAATTTGTGTGACTAAGTAGGTAAAGGAGGTTTTGGGGGCTCAGGAGAAAGATATTTAATTCAGCAAATGTAAATACTAAAATATAGTTACATGAGAGAGAAAAGGGAAGAGAGAATAGAAGGAGGCAAGAGTTAGGTGGGGAGATAGGATGGGTCATAGATGAGGGACAAGGGAGCAGAGCGAGCTGGTGAATGCCTCTGGCATGTCGTACACAGTGCTGTGTCCTGGAAAACTGCCTCAGATGCTGGTGCCAAGAGCCTAGTCACTACAATTAGTAATTCACCACAGCGTTGTCTAGAATTCCTGACTTTCCAGGTGTATCCCAGCAACTAGAATCTTTGATCTTTTTCAAGTGATCATGAAAGTCTCGTTTCTTCATGGTGTGTGGGTATGCGTATATTTATCGTTTCTTGTATTTGGTGAATATTTGGCTGAGTTTATTTACGTGAGTAGATGTGGACGTAAATATTTTTCAGGATAACACTTGTGTTATCATGTAGAAAGCCAACTCAAACTGCAGAAGTTTTTCCTAATCATACTTGAATGTACAATTTAATGAAACCATATTAACAGAACGCACTCCTGCCTCTGTGCAGTGTGCTCCTTGTGTTTGACAGCTGGAGATAAGTAACCAGGGGCCATAGCTTACAGTTAATCCCAGGACTTTTAGCCTGTCCGTAGCAGAAGGAAGTCTGAGGAAATTGACCTAATTTTTAACATGCAGACAGGCATTTGTGGGTCAGTTTATTGTGTTCTCTATGAGCAAATCATGATTTATTGTTTGGTGTTGACATGTTTTAGTTGGTTGGTGATGCTATTCAAGATTCTTGGTAGCTGTATTTTGATTTCTAAAAACAATTGGCTCAGCTCATATTTTTCACTAAGCAATAAAACACCCTTTTAAGAAATAACTTATTCTTTTAAAAGTCCTAGTAGCAGCTAGGAGATATAACTAAGAAAAATAAGGACCCCTGGGTGGTAAGCCATCTCTGCTTTGAATGCACACCTACTAAGAGTCAGCTTTGTGGCAGGTAAGGCTAGTGCTGGGGACCAGCTGCAGGCCAGATAGAGGAAGTTTCCAGCATCGTGGAGCTCACTGTCAGGTGCAGATGGACATCAAATAAATAACCATATGAATAAAAAGAGATTTAAATCACGGTGAGTACTCTAGTGGAAGAGTGAAGAGTGTGATGAGAGAAACAGACTGTTTAGTCCGGGTGGTTTAGAGAAGGCTTTTGTGAGTAATGTAGTGTCTAAATTACAATTTAAAGAATGAATAGGAATCAGGCAAATGAAGAGTGGAGGAAAATGATTTCTGGGCAAAAGAGACCGTGTTTGGAAAAGCGCAGAGGGGGAGATGTGCTGATATGCTCAGAGCGCTGCAGAAGGCAGGTCTGACAGAGGAGCAGCGCATGAGGACGGCGCGCAGCAGCGGCTGAGACGCGACGGCCAGGCCGAGCCGGGCGGAAGCCAGTTTCTATTTCAAGAATTGTGAAGCCAGTGAAGAGTTTAGACTCCAGAATGTCATCACCTGTTTGCTTTTGCATTTTTAAAAGTGTGAAGAGCAGATCAGAGGCCCGTAAGAGCGAATGGGAGGAAAATGGTGAGTCAGATTCTCTTGAGATTAGTAGAGGGATAGAGAAATGTACAGATTTGAGGTAAGGAAAGCAAGAGCCTAAAAGCACCCACTGGATTTAGCAAGAGCAATTTCAGTGCCATAGTTGGTGGAGTAGAAACCCATTAAAATGGGTTGAAGAGTGGATGGGACAGTATATTTATGTTTGTGAAATCCAGGTGATAAGTTCATTGGTGTCTGTTATTTTCTTTACTTGAATATTTAAAATATTTCATATCTTTAATTATTAAAAAATGGGCAATGAGGAAGATAAAACACAGCCAAGTTGTGCAAATAATTCTCTCTAAAGACTTCTCTGTAAAGTGGGGTGGGAAGAATAGTTAATGGTGGATGTGCTGTCAAAGAGGGCTTTTATAGTATTTTTGGTAACATCAGTTTTTTTTTTCCCCCCAAAGCCCCAGTACATAGGTATAAATCCTAGTTGTAAATCTTTCCAGTTCTTCTTTGTGGGGCGCCGCGACAGCTTGGCTTGACGAGTGGTGTGTAGGTCTGCGCTTAGGATCCGAACTGGCGAACTCCAGGCCATCAAAGTGGAGCGCGCGAACTTAACCACTTGGCCACCGGGCCAGCCCCCACATTAGTTGTTTTTAAATAGGAATTCGTGGTTAGGAAACTGAACAGTGCAGAAAGGTATCCAATAAAAACAAGACAGTCTCCTCTCCTCTCTTCTTTCCTCTCGTCTCTACCAAAGGTGATATCTCCTAAATGGGTGATCTTTTAACAGCTACCTTCTGTTCCATTGAGTTGCTGAGTCCCCTGCTCATGGAGACTTTAGTAAGGTTTTTGTTTTTTAAGATTAGACATAAAGCAGTTTTGAATAGGCTGAAGGAAAGGCCAGAAGAGAGAAGAGGGGAAGACTCAGAAGGGGGGAGGTGGAGGAAAATCCAAGGGACTGGGATCTTGAGCACATAGTGGGGTATTGTCCTTGGAAGAGAATCTCTTGAAAGGGAAGGGAAAGAGGACAGGTGCATAAGGAGGTGGCAGGAGATGGAAGATCTGTCATCTGAGTCTTCTGTTTCTCACCCCAGTGACGTGTGAGGCACGGCCATCTGCTGATGGTGAGAGAGGTGAGAAGACAGCTGGGAAGTTTGGGGTGTGAAGAGGATACACTGGCCATAACAGGAGAGCCATCTTGCCAGGAAAATAGCTTGAAATTGCTACTCAGCTTTTGGGTTGTGGGTCATGAATTTAAACTGAAACCTGCTGGTCACATTGTATGATTTTTATCCCTACCTCTTTTGTCTTTTTAAACTTGACAAATGTGTTAAGAATTTAAAGCCTGCTCATATTAAATTTGTTTGGTTATGGAAGTTGGAACAGTTTGGCTATGTGTTGTGAATCTTGAGAGTAGAAAAAGTGATTTATGTAATGGTTTTCTCTCCTGGAAAAAAAAAAAAAAGCATTTGCTGCCAGAGACTTATGTAGTTCTCTTTTAGATTCTTTTCCCCCAAGGGTTCAAGCTGTGTCTCTGGCAGGCTGTTCCTATGAGGTCTTCCCATCACTGCCAGTTGACGACCATCTCTGCCTCCCGTCACGTTTGATGGAGCTCAGGCTCTGCACGCTCCGCTAGATTGATCCCATCCTTTAAGTGCGGAGAGCTGGGTTTCATTCTTGTTGATCATTGTTGTATGACTTTGAGAGAGTTATTTAATTTCTGTGTCTGTCTTTGAGTTTCATTTGAAAAGGTCGGATTTACAGCCAGTGTTTAAAGTATGTTGATCTTGGAGATATGGGTGTATAAATCTTAGGATAAAATTCACAGAATGTTCATTCATTCTAAATTCTGCAGCACCTCTTTAAGATATCTAATTGATTTCCCCCCCTTACCAGAATTGTTGCACTTGTTTGTACCTCATGCTGTATCTTTAATCCTTAGGAATGCCAAGAAGAATTGGCAACGCATCCAAGAGCATTTCTTTTTTGCAACATTTCACCCTCTTAAGGATTATTGTCTGGAGGTGAGCAGAGAACATCGTTTGTAAATTCTGTACTGTGTCTTTCACCCTCATGCTTCCTTTCTGCCATAGTTGTGGAAGGGTTATGATTAGGTTAATTTTTTCCCCTTGCTTGCGAACTTCACCTTAACATTGTAAAGTTCTGAGTTTAATGTTGTCCCGTATGCAGATGACTTGCTTGCATGTCCCTCTTAGGCAGTGAAAATTGGCTAGTCATTTTCACTTTCTGTTTCTCAGGCAGTGTCTGCTTGTAAACACTGGAAGGGGGAGTATTTAACTCTAAACAGAAATCTGTTCTGACAGTAAAAGGAAATGAGTGAGAACATTGGTGCAGGTGAGATTTTGTCGTAATGAAGCCAATTGTTAATGAAAAAAAAAAAAGATCTCTTTCGTTAATTGCATTTTTTAGGTTCTGGGTGACTAAAATTGTATAGCAAATGACACACCACCTCATGATTGTAACTGTGTTTACATAATTTTAAGAACCATAAACATATTTATTACAATTAGCATGTAAGTTAATTAACTTAATATGTAAATTAAAATTTGTATAGATCATATTACTTTTTCCCTTTTTCAACTATAATTATAATGTTTTGGCTTTGAATTTAAAACCTTTGACCCAGGACTTTTCCTCTAGAGAACTTGGAAGTATCAGTAAATTTAGCTACTGTGCATAAGCAGTTTTTTTTGATTACTAATAAGCTAACTTTTTAAAAAATATATATATATTGTGAGATATTCATCATAGAACAATAATGTGTGCTTTCTGTTGCTTCGTTGCAAATATTATTTAGGATTTTAACATGCTCTGTTCTGTGTTCTTTAGTGCCCAGAATGCTTTGTTTGCCATCTTTCTGAAGGACCTTTAATAACTCTCTAGTGCTAACCAGCCTTTCTATTCAGTCTCCAGCAGGAGTAAGTCCCTTGCTTCCCTCTTTCCCTCATCCTGCCTGCGACTGCCTCACTCTCACGTATTTATATATCTTACTCTCCATTAATGATAGGAGTCATAACCATCAGTGTAAATAAAATAATGGCTTGCAAGAACCCTGTCTCTCTATGTATTTGAAGCTGTATTTAGTACCTCCTTAATAAATATTTAGTTGCAATCATTATGCAGTTTAAAGTTCCACAAATGTTGCTAGCATGAAGAAAATCATATTTATTCTAAAAACTTTTATGAAGACTTGCACATTGTTGTAAATTTATTTCATTTTTAAGTTGCCTGTTGCTTGTGCTTCTGCTTCTTATGTGCCTTTTCACCTTTGATGATAGTCTGGTTCTCAGTTTTCTTTTAGTAGGTAAGAAAAAGAAATGAGGATTGTTGATGTAATAACTAAATAATTACAATTTACAGTTGTGTCACGCTGTGCCATTTACAAAACACTTTCCTATGCTGTTGTAACCTGATTTTATCCACATTTTAAAAATGAGGAAGTTGAAGCCAAGAAAGGCTAAATGGCTTGTCTAACATCGCACAGCTAATATATAGTCAAGGCCAAATTTAGATTCTACATTTGTCTAATGTTAGTGGGAGTAGAGATTTGGCATCAGAAGAGCTTGAACTTGATTGCTTATGAAGGTAGTGGTTATCAATAAATGGCATTTATCCAAATGTTCTCCAACATTAATGCTGATTAATTCCAAAACACTTTCTGCTTTTGTTAAGAGCACGGAGGTTTATTACATGCAGTTACGAATACCAAAGTAGAAGATCTGCCTGATCTCCAGGATTTCCTAAATTAATCCCCTCATTTCTTAGAAAATGAGAAATACATCTAGAAAATTGCTACAAGACGTAAATGAAAGTGTGTAATTTGATCAGATATGATAGTTTGGGAGAATACATTAGTAACAATAAGTTGTACTTTAAACATGTTATCATGTATTGCTTTGTTATCTTTAAGGGCAAAAAATTAAGACTTTGCAATTTTCTTTTCAGACCATATTTTACATCCTTCCACGCCTTTCAGGCCTTGTTGAAGATGAGTGGATTGCCATTGGTAAATTTACCAGCTTCACTGACATTCCTTTAGATGCAGGATTTCAGTGGTACCTTTCTTCCACTCAACTTTGTGACCTAGAACCAGGGGACTGGGCTCAGCAGGACAGAGGTAAAGAGAATCGCTCTGGTTCCCTTGTTGACTCGGTTAGGCTTATTGATTTAAGTTACTTAGGACAGGTAGTTGACTTTTCATTGACGTGGTGAGCTCTGCTCCTCCACTTAGAGAAAAGCCAGTGAAAAAAGGTGGTAAAACTTTGACTAGTACTTTCAGCTGAAAGTTAGCTTTGCTATAGAAAGCCAAAAACAGCCTGATATACTTTATTATATAAAGCTAGTGGCTTCTCTTTTCTTTGAAATACTATTGTTAATTAATATTCACTGCTCTTCCACAATATATTTCTGTAAAAATATAGCTTTCAAAAAGGGCTAAATTATGAAATTTCTTGTCTCATTTAGGGATAAAACAGAGCTCTTGATTCTAGTCCCTTCTCTGTCTGGTTGGACATCATGTCATCTGTTACCATCTTTCTCCTGTGCCTTCACCTTTTTTTACATCTACTTCTTCCCTTTGGGTTTCTTTAGGACGCGCATTTCCTTCTGTTGCTCACTCCTCTTCCCCGCTCCTCCTCCCTCCCTTCACAGTCCTGCTGCCCTAAGGAAGCCAAGCATCAAGTCTCCCACCCATTTTAGAAATCACAACTAATGTTAATAGTTGTGTATTAGTAGTCTACAGTCTCATCATTTCTGTCACTCACATTTTGTCCTCGTTCTGACTCTTTGCTAACCCATAACTACCATTGAAACTTCTTGCAGAAAATCAGAAATTTTCTTTGTCTCCTTCATTACAAAACCTAAATAGAAGCTCTTCTCTTATCATCCCTGACCTTTGTGTAGCCTTTATTTGCTAGTTTCTTGCTGTCCTGATTTTCCTCCTCAATCCGACTCCTCACTCTCCTTTATGAGCTCCCCTACTTGTCCTTTATATTTGTAGTTCTCCAAAATTTTAATGTTTTCAAGAATTCCTTGGACAACTCGGGTTCTGCCCTGAGATTTTAATTCAGTATGTCTGGAAGAGAGTTCTGAAAAAGAACATTTTTATCAAACACTCTAGGTGGTTCACTAATGCATTTTAAGACATATCACCTTAAATTTATTTATTCATTCAACAAGAGATTTATTGACTGCATCTTATGCAGTAGATATAAGACAAAGTCCCTGTCCTCATGGCGCTTACATTCCTACAGGGGAGACAGCCCTAAGCAGATATGTAATATAATGTCAGTTAGTAAAAAGTACTGTGCAAAAAAAAAAAAAACAGAGTGAAGAGAGAGACAAAGGCTTAAAAAGAGCTTTCTAAGGAGTTGACATTGAGCAGAGACCTAAGTGAAGTGAGAGCAAGGCAAGCAGTGATCTGGGGGAAGAGCTTTCCCAAAACAGAGAACAGCAAATGTGAAGATTTGGGGACAAAAGATGGGGACAGAGCTGTTTCATCAGTGTTGTGGAAACAGCCTGACGGGGGTGGGCTGAGCAGAGACTGGGAGGGAGGAAAGGTGTAGAGACAACTGATTGGAGTTCTGCCGCAGAGTAGAGCAGAGGAATGAGGTGTTACCTGGATGGGGACAAAGCTGGAGAGGTCTATTTAGTTTGTTTATTTTTGGTAAAGAGAGGGATATTGCAATAGGGTTTTGTGCTGAGACTTAAATGTTAGTATCCTCCAAATGTTTTCATTGGCCTGGTTTTCTGTGCTGCAAGCTCTCCCTGAACCTTTTTATTAATTTCCACAACTTGAGACAACCACCTATAGAACTGTAACTTTCGAATCTTTGTCTCTGCCTAGCCTCTTTCCTGAGAGTACTGGACATTCTTTAAACTCAACATATCCAAATTGAATTTGCCTGTCTGTCCAAACTAGGCTCCTCGATGTACCCTTTCTATTAATGGCGTCACTCCGTCATCATAGAAGTCATCCTTTCCCTGTTCTGTCTCTTGCCACACCCATCCAATACCAGATCTTGGTGATTCTGCCTCCCAAATCTGGCTTCTCCTGGTTAGCCCCTCTTGCACTGACTTAATTTAGACTGTCTTTATCTTTGCCTGGACTAGTGCAAAAGCCTCTACATGGTTTTCCAGCCCCAACTTAATCCCCATGTCACTTTTAGGAGGGATTTTTCTAAAACACAAAACCAGTACTGTTATCCCCATTCTTAAAACCCTTTAATGGCTCCCATCTCTAGAATAATTCTTTATCATTATATACAAAGTCCTTGTGATCTTATCTGAGCCATCACCCTCCATCCATTGCATGCTGTGCACAACGCCAGTCCTGCTGCTGCCCGAGCCATTTCCTTCCACATCCCGTGCATGTGCACATGCTGTGTCTACAGTCTGCACTGCCCTTCCCACACACTCTGCTTTGCAAACTGTTACTTCCCTTCCCTTGAGCCTTCTGGGTCTTACTCTTTGCCCTCCGTCCCCAGACGTTAATAACTCCTTTCTGTGGGAGCATCCCCTCACTAGAGTACTGCATTAGGGTTATTTGCATGTCTCCTCCATCCCCAGGAAGCTAAGTGCTCCTTGATTGCTCAGTCAAGTTTGGAGCGGGGCAGAGCTGAGGAAGAGCCTGGAAGGAGAGTCTCAGTCCTGTACTAGAGATCAAAACACTGCAGGGAGACTGGTCAATACCATTCTGTGTGCCCATCAGGGTAGTTAGAAGACAGTTGCTTCAGAGAGTATCCTTCATTTTAGAGAAGTTCTCCCAAGTACTTGTAAAATAATTTAAAATAAAGACTATTTCTATTTTTTCAGGAAAATAATATTTCTACAGATAATTCCAATCCAATACTAACAATAGTTTGTAAGACACAGTGTTATTTTATGAACCACTAAGAAAAAATGCTACCAAACTATGATACCCTATGGATTCTAAGATGCTTCCCAATTTTGGACGTGCTAAAATGTAAAAAAATATGCATCTTATATTTTCATGAAAGGTATACTGGATAGTAGAGTTGAATTTGAAAATTTAAAATTACTCTTGAAAATGGCAATTGTGTCTGAATTGAAGTAAAGTTCTTTAATGAAACTCATTCTAAACTATCATTTTAAACTCTTAAAAATATGTGTGTGTGTGCAATTAAATAAATAGGGAAATTTATACATGTGGGAATATTTTCTTTTTCCTTCCCAGGTTTTAATTCAGGTGAGGCAGACGACCAGTCTGAGTGGACTGATGTTCAGAAGAAGATCATCCCATGGAAAAACAATGTTCCAGATTTGGACCTGGAGCTCGCATTTCAGGATCGTGCTGCCAAACTTGGAAAGTCAATTAGTAGACTGATTGTAGTGGCCTCACTCATTGATAAACCAACCAACTTAGGAGGTAATATTGCAGTTTTCTAGAGAATTGCTTAAAATCTTTTGATCCTGAAGATGTTTAATCAATCCAATACCATTTTTGGCTGTCCTTTCCACATGTAACCCTCTTGGGGAGCTTCAGAGGAACATATGGGACATGATGAGCTTAGTATTCTGCTGCAAACAGTAATTTCAGCTTGTTCTGTATAGGACTGTGCCGGACCTGTGAGGTATTTGGGGCCTTGGTGCTCGTTGTTGGCAGTCTTCACTGTGTCAAAGACAAACAGTTTCAGCACCTCAGTGTTTCCGCAGAACAATGGCTTCCTTTGGTGGAGGTGGGTGGAAAGTTATTTATTGTTAAAATTTTTATTTACTGAAATCCTTTGCAGTACTCTATTTTCTGTATTAGTCCTTCGCAGTAATTTATAGTACTCCAGCATTTAATAGTTGAAAATAATATTTAAAGTAAAATACAGCCCACTTCTCTTCCTTTTGTTATCTTTCACATTGTTGTCTTTTTAGAAATCATCAATAATGTAGAATTCTTTTCAGTAAAGTGTATCCTGTTGCAACTCACTCTTGATTTAGGAATACTTTTTATAAATTTATATGATGTTAGGGGAGTTCTTTTTTATAGCATATAATTCTGTCCTTTTAAAAAGACTTTTAACAAGCTGAGTTTCATAAAAAATTTTTAAAACTCTGATTTTACTCCAAGCAGGGCTATAAGTGAATGATTTAATATTCTGCTCTTTTTAAACTCATATTAAGGTAAAACCACCTCAGTTAATCGATTATCTGCAACAGAAAAAAGCAGAAGGTTATACCATCATTGGTGTGGAACAAACTGCCAAAAGTTTAGACCTAACCCAGTACTGCTTTCCTGAGAAATCTCTCCTCCTGTTGGGGTAAGAAAATTCTCTTGAGTCTCAGTCTAGAAAATGTTTCAGAAATTTCACAGTTTCCCTGGACTCCTGATATTACACCTGCATTTGACCTCTGATTTGTAATGTTTGTGGAAAGCCCCCCTAGTTTTCATTTAATTTCACTTGTTTGGGATGGTCAGGTGAACACAGAATTGACTCATAAATCTTTTTGTTACACTTATTTATTTTCCTAGTACCAGAGACTTGTTTCATTTTGTTACTCTGTCTCTTCCAGTAACATTCAGAGTATTTGAGAAAAATATTGTTTGGTACAGGAAAACTCACCTTTCTTCTCCCGTTTTTCTTCATCAGAAATGAACGTGAAGGAATTCCAGCAAATCTGATCCAGCAATTGGATGTTTGTGTGGAAATTCCTCAGCAGGGTATCATCCGCTCACTTAACGTCCATGTGAGTGGAGCCCTGCTGATTTGGGAATATACCAGACAGCAGCTGCTTAAGCATGGGGACACCGAGTCATGACGTTTGTGCCTTATCTGAGATGAGTTGTCGGTGCTATGGAAACATTTTTAAAAACTATTTGGACTAATAGATTCTGAAATTTACTGGGGTAATTTGTATTTCTTTTTCTTGCAATTAATGCCAAAACTACTTCACGTGCCTTAAGTATTTTACTATATGTTGTTCCCTTTAATAAATTTTTTAGCTAAATTGTATGGCTCTTTTAATAAAATATGTTAAGCAATTGTGGAAATAAAACAATGTATTTTAAAAAGATACTTTCTTTTCTAGAAACTAGTATTGTCAGAAATGTGCACTATGATTGGAATAAGGCAGAATGAAGGCAGCTAGTATCTATGAATACCACCCGCTAAGTCATAAGGAGCCACGTGGGGAGGAAGCAAAGGTTCTGCACAAAGAAGAGGAGCCGTTAGCCTCTTTTTGTGCTTTGTATCTGCTTATTCCCGAGGAAACAGGCTTGCAAGATGCTGAGCCAGCTTCCCTATAAAGTTCATAATGCTCAGGTAATAGGTTTTAGTTTATTTTTAAAGCCATGAGCTAGGCCATAATCATTCCTGTGAAGCTTTTAGGAAGTTTTTCATATAATACCTTTGCTCAGAGTTCAAATAGTGATCAGAAATAGTCTATATTTTGAAAACTGTCACATGGACCCAAAGGAGGTGAATTACTCTTGCACATCACTACCAAAAGTGAGAAGGGGACCCCGAAGGTTGATTTACTGTTTCTGTTGTTCTGAGGTTTCTTGTTTGTTTGTTTGACTGGGCCACTTCATTACCTAGCGGTAACCATTTATCACCGTCTGGCAATGAACTTCAATTACGTCTGAGTCCTTTTTAATAACATTTAAATTTCAGGGTCCATTACCTGTATTTTTTTCTTCTGTAGCTTTATTAAAATAATTTTTGTTTTGCAGAAGAGTTGCAAAGATAGTAGTTTCCATGCACTGCACCCAGATGCCTCTAATAGGATCTTACATAACTATGGACATTTACCAAACTAAGAAACCAACATTGATAATGGTGCTGTTCACTAAACTACAGATCTGGTCTATAGTCATATTTCCTGTTATCCCACTAATCTCTTTTCTGTTCCAGGAGCCAGTCCAGGCCACTACATTGCATTTAGTTATCACGTCTCCTTAGTCTCCTCCAATCCCTGATAGATCCTCAGTCTTTCCTTGTCTTTCATGACCTTGACACTTTTGAAGAGTACTAGTCATAACTATGTCCAGTTGTGGTTTGTCTGGTCTTTTCTCATGATCAGACTGAGGTTATGGGTCTTAAGGAAGGATACTGCAGTGGAGTGCCCTTGTCATCACGTCTCAGCATGACTTACTGCCTCAACCATTTGTTGAAGGCAACGTTTGCTATGTTCTTCTCTGTAAAGTTGCTATTTTTCAGCTTCCACAGTCTGTGTGTTAGGAGTGAGTCACTAAGCCCCGCCTACAATCAAGGGTGGGAAAATAAGCTTCATCTCTTGGGGGGAGGAGTATCAAAGAATTTGGGGGCAACTGTTAAAACTACTACAGTAATTAATAAATATTTTGGGAGAGATGCTTGGAGGCTGTGCCAATATACTGTTTCTCCTGAACGTTTTGCCCACTGATTTTAGCATTCATCAGTGGACATTGCCTGTACCAGTTATTATTGTAGTGTTCCTTTTTTTTTTTTAGGAAGATTAGCCCTGAGCTAAATGCTGCCAATCCTCCTCTTTTTTCTGAGGAAGACTGGCCCTGAGCTAACATCCGTGCCCATCTTCCTTTACTTTATATATGGGATGCCTACCACAGCATGGCTTGCCTAGCAGTGCAATGTCGGCACCCGGGATCCAAACCGGCAAACCCCGGGCCGCCGAAGCAGAACGTGTGAATTTAACCACTGCACCACTGTGCCGGCCCTTACTGTAGTGTTCTAGTGGTGATATTCTGTATTTCCCTCGTTTCTTCTACATTCATTACTTGGAATTCTTCTGTGAGGAAGACTTGTCCCTTATTTAGTCATCTGTTTATATCAGTGTGGATGGTTGGCTCTCATGTCCTTTTGACATGCTTTTTTTTCTGAGCACTTCCTTACTTTCTAGCACTACAGAATGCTCCAGGCTCTTTGGTTTTCTCTACCCCAGTTCTAGAATCAGACATTTCTCCAAGGAGCATTGGTTCCGTTTATTGGAGAATGGCATTAGAAACCAAGATCTGGGTGCTAGATGTGCTTGTTGCTAGTGGGGTATCACTGCAGGCCCTGTCAGGAGGCAGAGCTAGGGAATCTAGGTGTCTTCCAACCCACGTGTATGTATATAAATAGAATGTCTAGCTGTTAACATAAACATCTCTGACACCAATCGAACACCACAGGATTCATTCTAACATTGACCTCTTGCTTATTTTTACCTGCTTTTTTCTGACATAAACCTCGTGCTCATTATTGTGGTTTCAGAATTGCTAAACCATACCCCTGTGAAACTCAGCAATTTGTATAACTCTTTTCCTCTTTAGCCTTACAGTATCCAGTCAGAAGAGCATTTTTCATTTATTGAGGTTAGCCCCCGTCTTACCTACCCCACTGAAAAGTGAGTTTATGTCATATATTTATAATATGGTTAGACTCATTTATGACAATCTGCATTCCAAACTGGAATCCCTCCAAAATTTTGGCTGACCTGATTTTAATGTGCATACCATCAGAGTCACTCTTTGCAGTGTACAGTTTTGTGGGTTTTGACAAGTACATACTCACAGATCCACCCCTGCAGTACCACAGAAAACAGCTTCAGTACCTAAAAATTCCTTTGTGTAACTCCTTCACAGTCAACCACTTCTCCATTCCCAACCACTGATCTGTTCTCTATACTAATTTTGCCTTTTCCACAATCAAATAAATAGCAGCATATAATTTATAGCCTTTTGGGTCCAGTTTCTTTCATGTAGCACAATGTGTATAAGGTTCATCCAAGTTGTTGCCTGAGTCAGAAGTTCACTTCTTCCTATTGCTGAGCGGTATTCCAGTGTATAGACAGACCACAGCTTGTTTATGCATTCCTTTATTTCAGGCATCTGGGTGTTTTCCAGTTTTTGGCAATTATGAATGAAGCTGCTATAAACATTCATATAGGTTTTGTTTTCAGTTTATTTGGTGAACTATGTAGGAATGGGGTTGTTGGGTCATAAGGTAAGCATGTTTATAAGAAACTCCAAACTGTTTTCCAAAGGGGTTTTACCATTTTGCATTCCCACCAGCAGTGGCTGTGAGTTTCTGTTGCTCTGCATCCTCATCAGCACTTGGTACTGTCAACTTTTTTTTAAGCCATTCTAATAGATATGTAGTGATAGATCATCATGGTTTTAATTTGCATTATTCTACTAAGATGGAGCTTCTTTTTATAATATTATTCATAACACTATAAGTAGATATGAGAAAATATCTATTCACATAATTTGCCTACTTTTTAAACTTGGGTGATTTTTAAGTTGTAAGTTCTTTATTCTGGATACAAGTTCTTTATGAGATATGTAATTTGCAAATACTGTCTCCCAGTCTGTAATTTATCTTTTCAGTCTCTTATTGTAGCTTTTACAGAGCAAAAAATTTTAATTTTGATAAAGTCCAACTTAGCATATTTTTTCCTTTTATGGATTGTGCTTTTGATGTTATCTAAAAATTCATTTCCAAACCCCAAATCATGCAGAATTTCTCATTTTCTTGTAGAAGTTTTATAGTTTTATATTTTACATTTAGGTCTAGGATGCATTTTGAGTTGGGTTTTTAATAAGGTATGATGTATACATCCATGTTCATTTTGTGTGTGTGGGTGCACAATTTTTCCAGCACCATTTGTTGCAGATTATTCTTTCTCCATTGAATTGCCTTTGCACCTGTGTCCAAACTCACTTGACTCTATTAGTGTCAGTATATTTGTGGACTCTCTCTTCTGTTCCACTGAACTGTGTGTCTGTCCTTCTGCCAATACTATACTGTTTTGATTACTGTAGCTTTATAGTAAGCCTTGAAATCACGTAATATGAATCCTCCAACTTTATTCTTTTCAGAATTGTTTTAGCTTTTAGGTCCTTTGTCTTTCCCTACAAATTTTAGAATCAGCTTGTCAATAGTGACTATCTACAAAAAATCTTGTTGGAATTTTGATTGGGATTGTGTTGAACCCATAGAACAAACTGGGGAGACTTTTAACAATACCTTAACAATATTTAGTAGTCCAATCCATGAATACAGTATATCTCTCCAATTAATTAGATCTTCTCTGATTTCAAGTGTTTTGTAGTTCTCAGCATATAGCCAATTGCACGTATTGTTAGATTTATACCTAAGTATTCCCTTTATTTTTTATTTTTTTAGTGCTATTGTAAATGGTATATTTAAAAATTTCATTTTAAATTCCAATTATTCATTGCTAGTATACAGGAATATGATTTTCCTTTGTATATTGATTTGTTTCCTGCCACGTAAGATTCACTTATTGGTTCTAGGAGCTTTTTTGTCAATTCTTTGGGATTTTCTACATGGAATAGTAATATTATCTGTGAACAGAGCTAGTTTTATTTCATCCTTCTCAATCTTCTGCTTTCTGTTTCTGTTTTGTCTTAATGAAGTAGCTAGGAACCCAGCACAATGTTGAATAGGAGAAGTGAGAGACAACATCTTTACTGTGTTACTGATTTAGGGAAAAAGCATTCATTGTCTCATTATTAAGTATGATATTAACTGTAGGTTTTTTGTAGATGGTCTTTATTATTTTACCTGTATATTTTAAGTTCAAGCTTCTTCCAGTCCTCCTTTTTTGTGCCTGTATAAAAATGCTAAGTCCCAGGACACACAATGACAACCTACTTTTTTCAGTATCTAGTTCGATAATAATATTTGCCTACCACCCATCCTCCACTAAAAGAAAAAAATGTGTTTTTTAATGGGCTTTTTCTTAAAATATAGAATTCTTACAAAATGAAAACTAAGCATATTTCATCCCATTTTATTTCAATTCTTCAGTTTGAATGATGGGATCTTCCGTTTCTTGATCACTTTAATTACTGAGAGTTGTACATATGGAGTAAGTATTGATGTTCACCATGATTCAAACCGCTGTTGGCCCCTAGTCAACGGAGCATTTGTGAATGTCCACAAAGAACAGATTCAACCTTCCTGAAAAGTTCAGGACAGCTTAGGACTCTGCACTTGTTTTTGAAGGCTGGAATTCTCCTGCTTCAAATTTTTCTTTGAATTTTAAGTAGTCTCTTCTTTTATCAAAATATTTTATCTGTGGAGAGAAAAGGGTTTGAAATAAGGGCAAGTTATGCAGCTTACATAAACAAAAGCACAGATTTAAATGTAACAAATGCTTCAATATAAGTTGTATAAGTGGCATAAGTGATTTATATTCTAGAACCACTTTGAATCAATGCATTTGATGTATAAGAGTCTCTAAAGAGGGTGCAGACCAGTGAGTCCTAATCCTCTTTGGGTTACAGCTCCTGTTGAGAACTGGAGTAACCCATGAGTCTTCTCCTTAGGAAACGTACATGTTCTCAGACGTGTGAAACTTGCCTTGCAAGTTCAGACAGTTCTAGAGCTCCCAGGTCCTAAGACTTCATGATTTAAAGACACTATACAAGTTCTTCTTATCAAATGAAAGTTTATTAAATTTTGTAATTCATTAGCTGTGATATTTTTATCAAGTTTATCTCATCCAGAAACATACATTTAAGGAGATAGACACATAGTTAAAAATTATATTTATGAACTATCAGGAAGTAAATTGATGGTAAAACTTCAGTAAATTAAAGACTTCATTTTATTATTTCTATTTATGTCCTCCTCTTGCCATAGAAAATCTGAAGTATCTTAAAGCCCCATACTCTGAAACAGTAAAATCACAGCAGAAAATCAAGGTCAACGCAAAACTGTCACAGTATCTGTATCTGAGCTGCTCTGCAGACAAGGCAAAGGCAGAACACCACACACGTTCACTGTCAGAATAGAAAACACTAGTTCTCTTGTGAAAAGCTTTTCTTAGGATTTAATTCTTAAATTATTCAGAGGAGCCTGAGTAAGTGAAAATTAGAGTAGACCGAGAATATGAAAACCTGCCCTGCCGGGTCTCAAGCTGGAGTGAGACACAGACAAGGCCAGCTGCATAGGGAACACCTCTCCTGAGGACACACCACAGCCACGGGGTGTCCTACCAGACCCCTCTGAGTGCCTACTGCTTCCTTATGAACCAAGAAACCTTATTCTCTGGAATCACAGACTATCAGAAATTTGCTCTTTGAAGTTAGGTCAGTAAGAATGAAACACCCTCCTTTTGCCTGGAGGATCTAAGGCACTTGGACACAGAGAAGCAGCCAGGATTTCCAACCCAGGTGCAGGACTTCAAATGAGGGATTTCTCAACATGACATTCAGCATTTATCTCTGTAGAGAATAGGACCCTGGACCCACTTCTCAGGCCGGAGCTGATGATGACCTGTTTAGACGCAGCCCTGCTTTGCTCTGAGCCTATCAAAGCACCACTTCCCTTCAATTTTACCTAAACTCCACCCTTCCCCCAAATCCTCGGACAACTCCTTTCTTTTGGTTGGTGAGATGCCCACAGTTCCTCTGGAGTGCGGTGTCCCTGGTTACAGCACATTCATAAATCTGACTGTCAGACTACAGACTTCCTCCTGGTTGTCTTAGCTGACTGGGCTGGGGCAGGTGTTATTTATAAAGGATATCAGATGAAGAAGTAGACAATGTCCTTTACATTTTTGTGGCAAATTAACAGATCTTTGCATCTGCTGCCATGTCTCCAACTGCCTAACGGACAATTCTATTTAGAAATCCTCTTGACACTTCAGCCCCAGTTTGTCCAGAACTTAGCTCTTCTCCAAACTTGTTTCTCCTCGTCTAGTGCCTGTTTCAATGAGTGCATCACTATCCACCCAAACACTTAGATCTCTTTCACCCTCTTCCTCACTACAGAACAGGCCCTCATCATTTCTCGCTCGGACTGCTGTAATAGGTCTTTAACTGGTTTCTCTACCATTCTTAATCCATCTCTCACACTGCTGCCAAGTATAACCTTTTTGAAACCCAAATCTGATCAAGTCACTTGCTTGTTTAAAGATCTTTCTTGCTTCAAGGTCAACATCTAAACTCCTCGGTAAGACAAACAAGGCCAGTCATGGCTTAATCTCTGCCCATGTCTCTCCTCTCTGAATTTACCACGTTTCTAAAATGCTAGCTGTACAGAGCTCCTCCATTTCCTGAATGTGCTTATTTCATGTGCATCCTGCCTCCATGCCTTTGCATATACCATACTCTGCCTGAAAAGCTCTCCTCCTCAGCCTTCACCTCCTCATTCAATGAACAGTAGAGGATCCTCATATGGTGCACTCTCTAAAAGTCTAATGAATGTCTAAAAAGCTAATGAATCAACAAAGGTTTATTGAGAAGCATTGTGTACATATAACATGAGTGTCCCCTAAGCCATTAAAGGGGATTCAAGATAGTAGTGTGAAGGCCAAAATACTGGAATTTCTGAAACATTTCAAAGGTTTATAGGAAAAAGACAATATCTGAAATTGATATTGGGATCAAATATCTTAGATGTCTGGTTGCTCTATTTGTGGAAGACTTCTGGATGATGCTAGAATGTTAGACCTGATCCCTGCTTCCTAAGTTATGAAACAACAAGAGACTTTAAATAGGACCATTATACAAGTTAGATTGATGAGTGCTATAAAAGATAAGCAAGATGCTAGAGAAGAGTAATTTGTTTTTGTGACAGCTAGCATATTAGTTGTATGGCATATTTATTATGTAACAAATTGTATTTTTAGTGTTTTATGATAGAAGTATCATTGTAAATTTCCATCTGATGGGTTTATTTTTATCTTTATTCTTTGGCTGTGACTTCAGCTAAGTAAAAGAACACAAACTTTCAGATCACAGAGACCTACATTCAAATTCCCTCTCTACTGCTTTACTGGTTAGCTGATCTCGAACAAATTATTTCACCTTTGTGAGCCTTAGTTCCTACTGTGTAAAACAGATACAACAGTACCTCACAAGAGTGAATGAAAATTAAAGCTAATGAACAAAACATCTCACATTCGATGCATTCAAATGATATTTCCATTCTCTCCCCTCCTCTCTACCTCCCTACCTTCTCACACATATCTCTGGAAAAATCTTTAAATTTTTAGTCTATGGCTATTGGGTAAGACTTCAAAAAGGTAATACTTGAGTAGAGAGCACAGGTGAACAGGCAGCAAAGGACTGAGGGAGCAGGCTAAGAAACGGAACTCAATTACCAACTTAGCAGAGTACTGCAGAAGAAAACAGTTTTACACGGGACAGTGGCTATCACTGCCAAATGCTCCAGAAGTCAATTAGAATATTTGGCTATACTACGGACTTCCCTTCTTTGTTGGAGTCATCTATAACTGCAGGTCGCTCTCATTTTCTCCAACAGCACTCATAACTCTTGGGTGATTTTAGTATCCATGTGGTTGACCCTCTAATAACCTGGACTCTCAGTTCCTTGACCTCTCCAATGATCTTGTCTTCCAAACTGTCCTACTCCCAGGAGGAAAACCTAGACCTTGTCCTTACCAACAAATACAGCCCTTCCATAATCCCAATTCTAAGCATCCCATTCTCCAAATACCACCTCTTCACTTGCCGTGTAGGATGCTGATGCCAACAACCCATTGATCCCACCACGTTTGCATTGACAGTCATTCTTCTCATATCCTCACTCATCTCCTTACTCCTGAACTCAAAGCTCTCCAATGGCTTCCTCTATCACTCAGAGTAAAAGTCACCGTCCCTGGCCTCCTATCACCTCTCTGACCCTAACTTCTGCTATTCTCCCCTTGCTGTTTGTTAAACACACTGGGCCTGTCCCCACTGCAGGGCTGCTGTTTGTGTTATCCCGCTTCCCTCCTGAGAACACTCCTTCAGTAATTCCTGCAGTGAAGGTTGGGGCCCTGGCCTCGGAGTGTTGGTGTCTTTCACTGAGGTTGGGAGCACAGAGGAGAGGCCTGCTGGGTACAGGATGGGGAATAGTTCAGTCTTGTAGATGCAGAGGTCAAGGTTGGTCCTTGTGAACAGCTAACTAGAAAGCCTGAGGGGTGCTTCTGGAGTTGGAGAGAAAGCCAGGCTGGAGATGCAAATTTGGGCATCAACACATAAATGATACTTTAAGCCATGGCTATAGACAAGATTGCCTCGGGAGAGTGAGTAGCAGAGAAGGGAACTCTAAAGAGCATTGGCTTAAGAGACATGCAGGAAAGCATTCCAAGAAAGCAGCAGCTGCTGAGATGGAGGAGGAAAATTAGGGGAGTGAATTGTAAAGGGACCCAAGGAGATAGGGCTTTTGTACTGAAATAGACTCGAATCATGACTAAGCTTCTAAAACAACATGAAACATGCAGGCTGTTTTCATGGATCGTGGAGCAGGGAAGAGCATGGGTCTGGACTCAGACCACTGAGCTCAAATCCAGGCTCTGCACTTACGGGTGACTTCACGTCAATGTGCGTGTGTCCTCGTCTGTAAAACTGGGTAACAAAGTTATTGTGAGGAAGAGATGAGGTAGATGATGCATTTGAAGTGCTTGGAACATGTCAATAAATGTTAGCTGTGATTAGGACACAGTGACCTGGAGAGAGGGTGAGTCCTCATGGCATGGCACTCAGCCTGTGTAGGAATAGAAGAGATGTACAATAAACCAGCAACTGGCTGGCTGTAAAAAACCCTTTATGATGCAGACAACAGAAGTTGCCCTGAAGTTAGCGGAGTGGGAAGGTCTATTAGCCACTAGGTTGGATAAAAAGCAGCAGGGGTTTTGGGGAAAGAGAGAGGATAAAAAATAGGACTGAAGTGTGACTTACCAAAGGGGCTAAGACAGTGACTCCCAACTGTGGTTATCCCCAGGATCACCTGTAGAGCCAGAGCCCTTTAAAAGAAGCTTGGGTTCCATTTCCAGAAATTCAGCAGATCTGAGGTGAGGTCTAGGACATAGCTATTTTTTAAAAACTCTTCATATGGTTTTTTTTTTTTTTTAAAGATTGGCACCTGGGCTAACAACTGTTGTCAATCTTTTTTTTTTTTTTCCTGCTTTTTTCTCTCCCCAAACCCCCCCGTACACAGTTGTATATCTTAGTTGCAGGTCCTTGTAGTTGTGGGACGTGGGATGCCGCCTCAATGCGGCCTGACGAGCAGTGCCATGTCCGCGCCCAGCATCCGAACCCTGGGCAGCCGCAGAGGAGCGCGCAAACTTAACCACTCTCAGCCATGGAGCCAGCCACTCTTCATATGATTCTGACGTGCAGCCTGAGTGAAAAATCATGGCTAAGCTGTCAAAAGACAAGGTCTCATAGTGGCAGAGTTCTCCTGGGAAAATGTAGGAGTGGAACCCGCCAACACTCTGGCCGTGACTTACCTCAAAGGTGTGGCTCTTCGTCTTCATCACCCTCTGCCACCCTCAGAGTCCCAAGTCCTTCCCTGTTCTCAGCCCCACCTTGCTCTCAGTGACATGGGCCAGAGAGCAGAGGGGGAGAAGGGGACGGCAGAGGCAGTAGCAGTTATCAAGGCCTTAAGGGAATCAGGCATGATGTCAGCCCAGACTCCCATGTTTTCTATCTTCTTAAACCAGGAATTACTCTCAATGCGTCTATCTAATGGGAAAACCAGGGATGCATAACATTTTTTGCCTAAATCATTATCTAATCCAATCATAAAGCCCCACGTTTATCAGTTTTCAGTTTAGAGGTCAAGTTAGACATTTGATCTTCATAGTAATCCCGTGAGATGGTTGCATCATGCCAGTTTTACAGACGAAGAGTTCATCGACAGCAGTTTCTATTCACTGCATTCATTCCCAGCTCACTCCTTCAATATGGCCTACACCTTTCTTGTGACCTCCTTCAAGCCACAGGCTCATCTAAAATTTGAGGTTTGAGAGGCTGAAGACCCTAAATCCATGTCATTTCTAAAAGGATCTGTTCTCACACTACTTGTCATACTTTGGAGCAGCATGAAACAGTGAAAAAGCACAGATAAATCCAGGTTGAAATCTCCCATCAGCCAGCTGGGCCTGACTTCGAATTACAGTTCTGCCACTTACCAATACTGAGCAAATTATTCCAATACTCAGCTTCAGCTGCCTCCTCTGGAAATTGAGACCACCACCACTCATCTCAACGGGTACTGATGAAGGAGCGTGGAGCACTTAAGTACGCAGGACCACTGACTAAGCTCAATGATGCTAGCTCCCTTTCCCAACCCCCTCCCACACTAAGGACAGGCAATACGGAGCACGAACTGTCAGGGAGGCATTTGGGGCAGCTGGTGGCAGAATCCACCATATGAACATTTTCTTCCACTTCCTAAACTCCTTTCTTTATATTTTGGGTATATGTGACTATATGATTTTGGGTGGGCACCTTTATTTCTGTTAGTAGCTCTAGGCCACTGAATTTGCCAACTCTTGCCCAAGATTAAATTTATCCCTTCAGAAGATCCCAGAGAAGTCTACCGATTCAGTAGGTTGGAATTTTTGGATTATTGTTCATATGTTTGTTTTGATTTTCAATGATCTTTAAAGTGTCAGGTGACATTTTCCAAAGGTCTGCCGGATATAAGTACATAAAACAAGCCTGGATCACCAGACAAGGTTTTCTCTGCTGCTCACAGAACTGTTGATGTGACATGCCTTAGACAGCTCTTCACTTCACTGTAAGCTGTGTATTTTAACAGTGAACAGAAACACGTCCAAATGTGACTTACCCACTGTTGGGGACAACTTGATTCAAATGAGCTCCGTAACTTCTTGCATTTAGAAACGTCCTCTGTGTTCTCATCTAAACACTTCCAGTACTCGTCCCGGGCTCCCCAGCAAGCCTGCCTTTCCTTCATAGATGGGGCTGCCATTCCCAGTGGGCTCAAGCTGTTGGCCAAGATAACATTGGACATTAACAAGGAACTTGTAATTTTAGAGAAAGCAAAGCAAGGAAAACACTCTTTCCCTCCAACCCCCTCTTTTTAAAGTTAGTGATGCAACTGAAACTAATCAGTTCTAAATTAACGATGCCATAGGAGCACTCGCTTTTGAAGCTTATCTCCCATACTATGTAATCTGATCCGTCGCTGGGGCGGCAGCGTAGTCTCAGGAAGCCCGCGTTAGAGTTACGACTCTTGCACGTAGTCTGTCACTCAGGGCAGCTCATTTATTCTCTCGAGCCCGTTTCCCCATCGCTAAAACGGCCGTGGCAGTGCCCATTTTATAAGGCTGCTGTTCGAACGAAACTGCGGTACAAATAAACGCACGGGAGCAAAGCTGCCAAGTAGGACGAGGAGCGCTCCCCATTTTGCAGAAGAAGAACCCGAGGTTTGCGGGCACCGCCAGGACCCACCGGCAAGCCGACCTCTCCGCGCGCCCAGAGGCCGGTCCCTTCGGCGCTGGCGGGAGGAAACGGTCACGCAGCCCTACGACCGGGGGAGAAGGGCGCGGTGAGAGTGCTCGTGCACGGGCGCGGGCTTAAGAGGCGGAGAACGCCAGACTCGGAGAACACAACTCACGCGGCGAGCTCCCTGGCCTTGCAATGACCTGTCCGGCCTCCGGTTACTGTTCTGGGGGGCGGGACTTCCGGCTTCGCTCTCCGCCGGTCGGGGTAACTTCCGGGCCCTCGCGGCGAAGGAGGCGGTGCCTGGGGCTGTGCAGGTGCAATTCGAGTAGGATCTGGTCCCTCCTTAGAGCGGCCTGGAGCTTGCTAATTGCTAACGTTCTGGTGCCTGTTTACCCGCCCTTTTTCACAGCTTTGACCAGCGGTGCCCCTTGCGTGAGTGGACATTTCTATGTATGTCTCGCCCGGCGCCGCCCGGAAGGCTCAAGGTGCGAGCCCTTCGGGTCGAGGAGGCGCCTTGTGGGAGTCTGCGCCTGAGGGATGGGGCGGGCGACGCGGGAGAGCGGTGAGGGTCTAACTCCTCGCTCTGAGATTAAAAGAAAAGAACGGAACGGCCCCACGAAGAGGCAGGGGGCGCCCCCGGGACGTGGCAAGTGAGTGACCGAGCTGAGACCCCAGGGCCCTGAGCCCCCTCCCCTGGCTGAGACTTCATCTGGTGCAGCGCCCAGCGTCAGCCCCTTCTCTTCAGCCTGGGCGGCTGTCAGCTGTGGATGGAGAAGGTCCTCTTATTGCCGTTCGGAGACGCCTAGTGAAAGAATAGGAGAGCAGAGTTCCCGTCGGTGAGAGGTGGTAGCTGGCGTGAAAATGTGAGCCCGATGCGAGTTCACAGCTCGGATCTGTGGACGTGCATTGAAATTGGCGGAGGGCAGTGCAGTTGGTCAGGAGAGCGGGGAAAATAAATATTCGTGTTATTGTTTTAATCTCACTTGTGGCTTCTTTACTCCCCAACGCCAAGGCATTTTTAAAAGAGTGAAAAGAGCTGCTGCAGAGGTTTCGAAAGGATGCTATTTTTAATACATAAGTGAGTTAGTATCTCTCAGCAGAATCTTTATTTAAAAGCACGTTTACGATAAAGTTGAGTCAGTTGTCTGGCGTCTGGTTCCCGTCACGGATTCCATCTGCTCCAGCATCTCATCCTGTTGAAGTTCTCAGTGCTTATAAACCTCATAAGCAGTTTACAGCTCTGCACTCAATGCCGGTGTTTGATCTTGTCCACATTCAACAAAGGCGGGTTTTCAAGGTGGCCTTGTGAAGCTAACTCCCACCAAACATATGTTCTACAGTATGGGAAGTATTTCTGTAATAGTTAAGGCATTCTAATAGTGGACTGCTTTAGCTTTACCAGAGCCGCTCATTTCTTTTACACTGTGTCTATCAAGGGCGGCTTATAGAAAGATAGTATTTTTTAAATATGACTGATGAGATATAAAACAGAGGAAAGGAGTCTTGGATTACTTCTGAGTCAAAAAAAGGAATACTTTTTAAATTTAAGTTTATATGTATTTAATGATAAGTATATAAAGTGAAACCTGACAGAATTACAAAGAAAAAAACAGATGGTCATGTTGGGTGATTTTAACAAGCCTTTCTCAGTGATTGTTAAGATGAGCAAAAGAAAAATCAATGAGGATACAGAAAGTTTGAATAACATGATTTACAAACTTGACCTAATGAATGTACATGGAATAACACAACCAAAATCAGAATGTACGTTTTTTTGAAAGCAAACATGACGCATTACCAAAACTGACCACATCCTTAGCTGTAACGCAACTCTCAACAAATTTTTAAGATTGAAATCACCCAGCACGTTTTTTTTACCAAAATGCAATTAAGCTAGAACTCAATAAAGAACTATAAAAACAAGTCCATATAACCCTTAGTCAGAGTCGTAATGGTAATGAGAAAATATTTTGAGCTGAATAAAATACAATAGCAAGACCTGTGGAATGAAGCTAAAGCAATATTTGGAGGGAAATTGATAGCCTTAAGTAAGTATATTAGAAAAGAGGCTGAAAAGTCTTTAGCTAAACATCCCTTTTCAAGAAGTTAGAAAAAGGAGAGAAAAATTAAAGGAAGTAGAAAGAGGGAAATAATGTTAAGAGCAGAAACTAGTGAAATGGGAAACAAAAGTAGTGGTGTACCAGAGACAACCTGTACTGGCTCAAGAGAGCCAATTGTGCACACCTCTTTCTAACTCCATGGTCAATAACATCAAATTGGTAGCTTGAAATTGCCCATGATAGGCGTATTCACAGACTGGAAATCAGCAAATAAGCTAGTGTTTTGTTGTGTTCAGAGCCAATTCATTATCACCCCACTGCATATAGTAGATTCAAAAAATCCAGAAGTTGATTTTTTTGGAAAAGACTAATAAAATTGACAAATATCTGATAGTATGGAGCAATGAAAGGAGAAATGTACACAACCAATATCAGTAAAGAAAACCATACTTTGGACATCAAAGTTAGAACAACCTATAAACAATTTAATGCAAATAAAATTTAGATGAATGTACAAATTTCAAGAAAAACACAACTAGCTGACTCAAGACGTAAAAAATATGAATAATCCTAAACCATTAAATAATTTGAGTCAGTAGTCAAGAGTCTTCACATGCAAATTCCAGGTGCATGGCTCCACCAGTAAATCCCTCCAAACGTTGAAATAATTCCGTTCTTATTGTATGAGGCTGCCATAACTTTTGTACTAATTACAAAATCCCCAAACCTCTGAAACACCAGACTCTTTAGAACTCATTTGGTGAAAAATGTGACATGAGGCTCTTTATTCATTATTTATTTGTCATTATATATATCACTTATTATTTATATATCACTTAGGTGACTATATATATGTTTTGCTGTAAAAATACCAATATGTTTGATTATAGATGTTGTCAGAGTTCTTGCTGAGAGTATTACATAGTATATGTTGTATGTTCCATAATAGCTTTCCAATATCCAAAAAAGTCTGCATTTCAAAACACATATGGCTCCAAGGATTTCAGATAAATTATGTGAACCTGTATGGAGTAACGTTTTTATGAATTTAAGATTGAGAAGAATTTGTTTTAGCTGTAAAGGAAAAGATCAATAAATTCAACTACATTAAAATTAAGGACTTTTATTTACCAAACAACGCTATAAAGGGAGTGGAAAAGACAAAGCCACAATGTGAGAGAAGTTTGCAAGACTTATAACAAAGAATTAGTACCTAGAATATATAAAGAACAACTACAAATCAATAGACAACATAATTTTTTAAATAGGTAAAAGGCTTAAATAGGCACAGTACCAAAGATGAAATAGAAATGACCAGTGTAAGAAAATATGCACGTCCTTATTAGTAACCACAGAAATGAACATGAAAATCACAATGCAATACTATTAAAAACCCACGTAGACACCCACCCGTCCAAATAATAATTAAAAAGTCTGACATTAACAAATTTTAACAAGGATGAAGCGAAAAGAATCCTCGTACACTGAAGGTAGTATTATGGATACAATCCTTTGAAAACTGTGTGGCATTATCTACTAAAATTGAAGATACACAGTCACTATGACTCAGCAATTCTGTTCTACAGAATCTCTTGTATGTGCATCTTTGTAATAGCTAAAAACAGCATACAACCCAAACTTAGGTCAACAACAGAATGAATAAATTACGGCATAGTCACACTGTGAAATATGATGCAGCAATGAAAAGGAGCAAATTGTAGCCAACCATTTACAATAACATGATGAATCTCAATATTGAGTGAAGGAAGCAAGTCGAACAAAGAATAGACACTGTGTGTTTCCACTTACATAAGGTTCAAAAACTGGTAAAATTCAACTACACTTTAGGATATATACATAAGTAGTAAAACCATTAGGAAAAGAGAAATGGGTTATGATCAGGGAGGGATACACGGGGGGATTCTGAGATGCTGACAATATTCTATTTCTGGACCTGCATGTTTGTTTTATAATTATTCTTTAAATAAACTGTACAAGTATGTCTTAGTCACTCTTCTGGATGAATGATATATGTCACAATTTTTAAACAAAGAAAGAAAATAGAGTAATTGTTTGGCCTGAGAAAGGTTATCTTTAGTACACAGAAAGGTAAAAATAATGGTCATATAGAACATTTATAGTGTGATTACTAAATTGTTAATGGATTTAACGTCTTATGTGCTCTTCTAGGTCCAAAGTTGGTAGTCTTAACGCTAACTGCCACCTGTGCAGCTGGGCAATTCCTACTGGGCAGTGGTGGGCCTAAGGCACAGACAGAGGAAGTATTACCAAAGGGATTCAATGAACTGTAATAATGGTCCAACCCTTACCCCCAAGGAGGTCTGTGGTTCTCCACTTGAGAAACACTGGTTTAGCCAACAGAGTAAAAACATCTAGAAAAGAACTTTTGAGATGTTGATAAGGCAAAAAAAAAGAAAAAAAAAGAAAAAAATTAATGCAGGATAAAAGTTTCAAAAACCAAATTCACCTTATAAAATATTGACTATGGACAAATAAAAGAATGTAGGTGCCATAAGATGATTTCAGATGTGCTGTTTTGACACAAAGGGAGTGAAATCTCCCAGCCTATGTTTGGAGGAGAGAGGAGGCGAAGAGAAGTCAGTGTGAAGAGGTGGAAGACATGTGCTGGCTGTTCCATCCAGAAGAAATTTCCTGTGGGTGTTCTCTAGTCTGATCTAAGTAGAACCCCAAACCACTGGTAGGCAGGGCCAGACAGACCCAGTAGCACTGAAAACGTATGTGTTGTTTTTCTGTTGCTGCCCACAGACTTTTATTTATAATCTGTACTGTTTTACATAGCAGTTATCACAGACACCTACTCAGGGACACAAACAGGCGCAAGTCCTGTGACTTCAGTGTTGCTGCAGAGATCCTTCTGAATTACTTTTCGAGCTCTGCACTGGCTCCTGTCTTTATGCTCCAAGATGCTGTCCTTTTTTTTTTCCCTCTTTTCTCTGCGTTCTGTTTTCCTCGGTGAGCTGATTCACTTGCATAGCTTCAGTTATCACTTCCATCAGAAAGACTTGCAGGTCTGTATTTTAGTCCTAAAAGAACCTTTGTGCCAGTTTTCTCTTTGCAGCTCCCTAATGGACGTCTCTACTCGTCTGTCCTTCCATCAAAATCTCATAGCATTCTCTCCAGGAAGCTCCTCTCTCTAAGCTGTTTCTTTTCATCGGTTCTACAACTCCTTTGTCTGCCAGTTAGGAACCCTTGAATCCTCTTCCGTGCTTCTTGCTGTGTGCTTACACAGCCAATCTACTTCATAGACATCAAGCACCTGCCCAGGGCCAGGCCCTGCTCTAGGCCTTAGGGATAGAAAGACAAATAGGGATAGGTCTCGGCCCTTGAGAAGCTCAGTCTAGCAGGGGATGTAGGCCATATTATGCTCTAATAAAGGGTAGTCGGAGCATGACAGAGGTGTGCACCAGCACAGTGGGAACTCGGAGGGGAGCTTGCCCAGAGAAATCAGGAAGGGAAACACAGGCAGCATTAGAGACAGCAGTGTATACGTTCTGGAACCAGACTGGGCTGGAATCCTACCTCCTCCAGGGTCAAGCTGTGTGACCTTGGGCAGCTTACTAAACCTTTGCGCACATTGGTTTCCTCAACTGAGAATGTGGAGGAGAGTAATATCTACATCAGGTTTCTTGTGCAAGTTAAACGAAATAATCCATGCAAAGCACTTAGACCAGTGCCTAGCATACAGAAAGATTTCATTCATTCAACAAATATTTATTGAGAACTTACTATGTGCCAGGCACTGTTTTAAGGACTTGGGAGACGTTAGAGAACAGTGTATGTAGGTGAACATTCCTGCCCTCATGGAACGTGCATTCTAGCAGGGAGACAATAGCCACAAACATAAAAAAATAACTTCTATGTATAGTAGATTAGATAAGTGTTATAGGAAAAAGAACAAGATAAGTGCTAGTTATTAATACTACTATATTTTAGAGATCACTTGATCTTGGACTTAAAGGGAGAGAAATTCTTTAAAGAGAATAATACTATGTTTCATCAAATCTAAGATGCAGTAATTATAATTTTCACCTTTATTTTATGTACCAGTAGGAAAGGAAAAAGCACTGCCAATTAAACTATAGCACAATGCTTTTTTATTACCCAGGATTCCTATCTTAAACTTATTAAAACCTATTTAGACATATTTAGGCATGAAATTTTTTAAATCATGTCACACTTATACATACATAAGAAGGAAAATAAAAGCAGAAATTGATTAAAGTATGCCTAAAACTTCTTATATTTGGAGTTCTAGTCTTAGGATTCAGTCACCAATGTCTTTTTCCATCAATCTTATCATCTATGCCATTAAGCACTTTGAGCCAGTCTTCTTATCTTCTCCCCTCCTCCCCTCCTCTTGTCTTGTCTTTTAGGATGCGCAGAAGAGCTAAAAGCCATTGGTGCTGAGCAGTTCAGCCAACTTTGCAATTAGGTAAGCATCTGTATTCCAGGCACGTTGCTAAACACGCTTACCCTCTCCTCCAGCCCTTCCCTTACTGCTTTGATTCCAAGAGGTTAAGAGTGCCCCCTTCTGATCTCCTAGATTTTCGTCTAGGCAGCTGACACTCTGCAAGTTTGGATGCTTGTCCTTTTGATGTGTAAGCACACACAGGCAGTGATAACTATGTTGTGGTTAGCTTCTGGGCAACACGACTGTTAGACACCATCCTAGTGTCTCACATGTGAAAATGTGGGAACAAAAATGGAGGTGTTAGAGTCAATGAAATACTGCAGTAATAACCACACTATTTTCCTTTTCTGAGTATTTGCTCTTTGTCAGGCACTGGGCTAAACATTTTATACCTACGATCTCATTTACTCTTTAGAACAACCCATTGAGGTAAGCACCCTATTATTCCCATTTTACAGAGCTGCATTATCCAATAGAAATATAAGGTAAGCCACATACGTAGTTTTAAATTTTCTAGTAACTACATTTAAAAAAAGTAAAATAGAAACAGGTGAAATTAATTGTAATAATATATTTCCTTTAACCCAATATATTTAAAATATTATCATTTCATCCTGTAATCAACCTAAAATATTAATATTTCTTTTTTTTCCATACTAAGTCTTCTAAATCCAGTGTGTATTTTAACTTAAAACACATCTTAGTTTGGACTAACACATTTCAAGTGCTCAGTGGCCACATGTGGCTAACAGCGACCATATTGGACAGCACAGTTAGAGATGACAGGTTTCGAGAGTTTAAGTTGTCTAAGACACACATTAAGTGTGGGGCAGAGTGGAAACTCCAAGTCAGATCTTAACAAAGGGTTATGCTCTCTAAACTGTACCCTATGGGAGGGAAGAACCTTCTGGACAGAGCAAACAGTAATACAAATATCCAGAGTTGGGGCAGAGCAAGTCTCTTATAAACTGTAAATGACTGACTATGGTTGAAACATAGGCTATGGGATGGGGGTCTGGGGCGGAGGGGATCGTAGGCCTCTGTCACTGGAGCCTACTGTTCCTGGATTGAAAACAGCGCTTAACTCTTTTCTTCTAAATTCTGACCCTTTCATTCACATGTTTAACAGACATCTATTCAGTCCCTACCACCGGTATGGGGCCACTATGGTGATCCAGACAGAGTCCCGGCCTGAAGTTGTTGCCAAGCCCCCCACTCCCTCAGGCCATGTATGATGGATTCTGTGTCGTCCAAGTTCCAGGTCCTTTCCCTCCCATCCATCCTGCCCTACACGGGCAGACGAAGCCTTCGCAAGTGCTGCTTTCATCATGTTCCCCGTTCCTCAAGAACAACAATGAACAGCTATTTGATTTCTCAGTCTTGCTCTCTGGGGTCTCCGTAATCTGACTCCAGCCTTTCCTGACCATGCTGATTCCTCCCTGCTCTCTCAGTCAGGTCCCCTCCTGACCCACGTGTCCACCCACTCATTCCCACATCTATACTAGTTCTTATCTCTGCGTTGCCTTGATGCCCTTCTCCCTGCTCAGCAGCCAAACTCATACACCCTGCCAGACTTAGCCCACCAATATCCTTCCAGAAGACTTCGGTGACAGGAGGCCACGTTCATTTTGTCCTTGCCTAACAGCTTTTGTATTTGTAGGCGGTAAAACATGCTTGTAATTAACCCTGTCCATTTATTTCACATCTGTACGTTTGGTCCCCTCAACTCTATGTAGGGCAGGGGGTTGATAATTATTAATACAGACTACCTTATAACTGCATGTGGAAGACACTTAGGAAACACCTGCATGAAAGACAGGAAACACATGTTGAAACGGAATTGCTTTACTTAATACAGAATCTCTCTCATTTGATCTGCAAACACTTGCAGAGTGTCTTAGGTACCAAGCCTGAAGTAGTGGAAAGCAGAGCTAAGTGAAACCCAGTCCTTGCCTTAGATTTGTGCATGATCTGGTGAGGGGAGTCAGACATGAAAACCAAAAGCCACAATGTAGCATATATTAATACTGAGCTATGGGCCAAGCGCTATGAACGTAGAAGACAGAGTAACACATTCTTCCTGGGGGAGCCAGGGACCTTCCCTGAGGAAGTGAACTTTGAGCTCACCTTAAAGGATGAGAGGACGTTTCCCAAATATGATGGGAAAGGAGGCATTTCAGAGACCCACGTGCACAAAGGGACGTGGTACTGTCACGGGGACATATAGGTTGCCTTACTGCTCTTCAAACTCACTAAGCACTTCCCCACTTTAGAGCCTTTGTACTTGCTGGTCCCTGGGGCCCCTCTGCCTGCAATGTTTTCCCCCAACCACCTCTCCTCCTCCAAGTCATTGCTCACCTAGGTCTACCCAAATGTCCCTATTTAAATGGAAACCTGCTCCCACCTCCTTTGATGATCTCAATACCAATTTTGAATATTCCATTCTTTCCCCATTGATTTAAGATGTCAAATTAATCCATGGATGTTTGTAATATTTATAGTCTCTGCTGGGTAAATCAATCCATCTACTATATCTATGTATCTATGTATCTGTCTCTCCATATCCATCCATCCATCTATACAGCTAAGCTTGTCTTATTCACTCAAAACCCATACATTTGTTGTTGTTGTTGTTATTATTTGTTGATTACTGAGAGAGGCATATTAAATATGTCACTAAAATTATGTATTTGTTTCTCTTTTTATATTTCTAACAGTTAGAATAGCTCACAGCTATTTGTTAGGATTATATATTCCATCAATATAAAGTCCCTATTTACTCACTTAATATTTCTGGCCTTGAATTTTATTATATTATCTGGTATTAGTATGACCTCATCTACTTTCTTTTTTGTAGCATTTCTTCAGTATATCTTTTCTCAGTCTTTTATTTTCAACCTTTTTTTCTGTCGTTTCATTTTAGTTTTACCTATTATATACAGCGTATAGTGACATTTAAAAAATCTTATCTGAGAATCTTTGTTTTTAAATGGGTGATTGTAACCTATTTTCATTTACAAGGATTACAAATATGTTTCAAATTATTCCAGGCTATCCAAGCCTCTTTCTAGTAATCTGGAGCAAATGGGAGCCCATGTTCCATAGACTTAGTATTTGAAAGTTACGAATCAAGCTAAAATTAATAGGTTCCATTCTTTATCCCGATAAATGTACCTTTGTAATGGCGACATTTAAAAGTATGTTTATAAGTATGATCTTTGTATGACTACAAGTTGCCAAAATGTCAAAGACAGCTGAATTAAATTATTCCATACTGGGTGTCATATTGATGGATGTCTTAGTCTATGCGTGCTGCTGTAACAAGATAGCACAGACTGGGTAGCTTCTAAACTATAAAAATTTTCTCTTGCCATTATGGAGGCTGGCAGTCCGAGATCAGGGTGCCAGCGTGGTCAGATGAGGGTTCCCTTCGGGGTAATAGACTGCTCCTTGTATTGCCACCTGTGGGATCTCTGTTATAAGAGAACTGACGAATCCCATTCATGAGGGCTCCACCCTCAGAACCTAATCGCCTCCCAAAGGCCCCACCTCCGAAGGGGTTAGAATTTCAACATACGAATTTTAGATGGATACATTCAGACCATAGCAATGGACCCACAATATTTGATTAATTAAATAATTTATACAAAAGTATATATTTATTCTACAAAATGCATTTTTCTTGGCTTCATTTCAGCAAAATTATGATGCTAAATAAAGATTTTCACATAATTTGTGTACAGATCTAAAAGAATTAAAAAGTAAATGTAGCTGTATTCAAAGTACACAAAATTTGAATATGCATTCATAAAAAATGTAAATTGAAGTCAATGTAAAGAATTGAAAAATTAAAATTGTTTTTACATACATTCACAGTATGGTTATTCTAAAATATTCAAACTTATCTATTAAAATTTAAAAGGCAAAATAAATGATAATCAATGGCTATGAAACAATAAATCATTATTAAAAGAGAGTTGAATTTTTATTTAATTTTCTGAAAATTTAAATTTTTTAATAAAAAATATAGTGTTTGCAAGTTTAATGTACAAAGTTTATCTGGTTGTCAATTTAACAAGTTGTACCATATTTCATTCATGTTAAATCTAGACCACTATGCATACACCTTTGAATATTATGAATTGCTTAACATTGAAAATATTCTTTATTCACCAAGTGCAACTGTTATGAATATCATACTAATTTGTGAGTATCTTCAGAACCATGAATTGGAACACAAATGGGGGCTTGCCACTCCTGGGAAAAAGGTATTTTGTAATTCAAGAACTGACTGCATTCCTGGTACCTGAGAAGAAGGACTTGACGAGTTAATGTATTTTTTCTCTTACTGAAGTACTTCTGCCATGCAAATCTTCCCTCTACACCGAAGCATCTACGTGCTGACATCAGCAGTGACACAACACCAAACTTTCGTGATATTGGGATGCAGTCACCATCTGTTTCAAGGACCTAGACCCAGTTATGAGAGCTGATATTTAGAGTTGAGTCCCAGAGCTGAAGGCTGGATCCAGTGACTGAGTAACCTGTTCTTGTTTTATACAATCCTCTGAAAATATTAATCATACCTTATTTTAAAGTCTTATGTTCATTAATTTACTCTTTTTCCTCAGATTGTAGTACCGCTGACTTCTGTGTTTAATAGCTTCATTCGTAGTGTTGGTTTTGCTTAAATGCTCGGTGAATCTTGTAGTCTATCTGTTCATACTCATCACTGCTAATTTATGTTTTAGTCAGTATCCTGACTCATTTCATTGAGGGGAATTATAGTTGGGTGGGGTGTGTGGATAGACTGCCTTCTGTGTGTGGGGTCTCTCCCTGGCCCACTTGGAGGGTCTCTTGTGTCATGACTTCCCCTTCGGGAAATAATCACCGTGTGCCAGAATCAGCTGCATCTTTCCTTTTTCTTCTTCACCTCTACTGGGTTGAGGGGGCCCAGAGTTATCTCATCCTAGTTCTGCTCCCCTCACCATCGCAAACAAATACAGCTCTTCCCAGGCAGGTTAATCCCTTTGGTTAGCAAGCATTCTAGCATTTAACCCTAGGGGCACGTGCCACAACTGCCTGCCTTCGTCCTACCCGGCTGTTTGGATTCGTGAGCGTTGTCAGCGCTGCCCCTTTATGTTTTCATTTTGGTGGGGAGTTTCTCTGGAGCCATGTAGGGGGAAATGGCTCATACTCTTGATAACACTTTCTCCTGTGTATGTTTTAAATGGCAGTTTCATTTGCTTAGTTTCCTTTCCATGAGTAAAATCGCACCTCCTTTCTATCCTCAAGAACTCCTCAACATTCCTGAGCCTCTATTTTCAGGACTTGGGTTGGGAGAGAAAATAGGTACTTCATCTGCCATCTTAATCTAATCTCTTTCCTGACATTTTTTTCCTCCATTTTGAATAAAAGACTTTTTTAAAGAGCAGTTTTAGGTTCACAGCAAAATTGAGAGGAAGGTACAGAGATTTCCCATATGCCCCCTGCCTCCACGCATGCATAGCCTGTTATCAACATCACTAACCAGAGTGGTCTCTTTGTTACAATTGATGAATGTACATTGACACATCATCATCACTCAATGTCCATAGTTTACCTTAGGGTTCACTCTTGGTGTTGGACATTCTATGGGTTTGGACAAATGTTTGATGTGTATCCTTTATTACAGTGTCATCCAGAGTCTTTTCACTGCCCCAACAACAGTGTTCTGCCTATTCATCTCTCCTCCTCCCCCAACCCCTGGCAACCCCTGATCTTTATACTGCCTTCATAGTTTGCCTTTTCCAGAATGTCATATAGTTGGATCATACAATATGTAGCTTTTTCAAATTGGCTTCTTTCACTTAGTAACATGTATTTAAGTTTCCTCCATGTTTTCATGGCTTGATGGCTCATTTCTTTTTAGCACTGAATAATATTCTAGTGTCTGGATGTAACACAGTTTATTTATTTATTCACCTACTGAAGGACATCTTGGTGCTTCTAACTCTTGGCAATTATGAATAAAGCTGTTATAAACATCCGTGTGCAGGTTTTTGTGTGGACATGAGTTTTTAACTTCTTTGGGAAGAATGGGATTACTGGATCGTATTGTAAAACTATGTTTAGCTTTATAAGAAACTGCCAAACTATGTTCCAAAGTGCCTATACCATTTTGCCTTCCCACCATCAGTGAATGAGAGTTCCTATTGCTCCGTATCCTCACTAACGTTTGGTGTTCTCAGTGTTCCAGATTTTGGCCATTCTCATAGGTATACAGTGGTGTCTCATTGTTGTTTTAATTTGCGCTTCCCTGATGACATGTGATGTAGAGCATCTTTTCACATGCCTATTTATCACTATATAACTTCTTTGGCGAGCTGTCTGTGAAGATCTTTGGCCTATTTTTTAATTGTTTTGTTTGTTTTCTTATTGAGTTTTAAGAGTTCTTTGTATATTTTGGATAACAATCCTTTATGAGATGTGTCTTTTGCAAATACTTTTTCTCCCAGTCTGTGGCTTGTCTCCTCATTCTCTTGACACTACTTTTGCAGAGAAGTTTTCAATTTTAGTGATGTCCAAATTATGAATTATTTCTTTCGTAGATCATGCTTTTAGTATTGTATCTAAAAAATCATTACCATACCCAAGGCCATCTAGGTTTTCTCCTGTGTTGTCTTCTAGGAGTTTGACAGTTTTCCATTTTACCTTTAGGTCTATGATCTATTTTGAGTTAATTTTTGGAAAGGTGTAAGATCCGTGTTTAGATTCATGTTTTTGCATGTGGATGTCCAGTTGTTCCTGCACCATTGTGTAAGAGACTATCTTTGCTCCATTGTTTTGCCTTTGATCCTTTGTCAAAGATCAGTTGGCTATATTTATTTCTATAAATAAATCTATTTCTGGGTTCTCGATTCTATTCCATTGATTTGTCTGTTCTTTCACCAATACCACACTGTCTTGATTACTGTAGCTTTACAGCAAGTCTTGAAATCAAGTAGTGTCAGTCCTCTAACTTTGTTCTTCTCCTTCAATATTGGGTTGGCTGTTCTGGGTCTTTTACCTTTCCATATCAACTTTAGAATCATTTTTGTCAATATCTATATCATAACTTGCTGGAATTTTTAATGCAATTAGATTGAATTTATAGATCAAGTTTGGAAGAACTGATGTCTTAATATTGAGTCTTCCTATCTATGAACATGGAATATCTCTACATCTATTTGATTCTTTTATTTTATTCATGTGAGTTTTGTGGTTTTCCTCATATAGATCTTATCCATATTTTGTTAGATTTATGACTGCATATTTCATTTTTGAGAGGTGCTAATGTAAATACTATTGTGTTTTTAATTTCAAATTCCACTTTTTCACCACTGGCTTATAGGAAAGTGATTGCTTTTTGTATATTAACCTTGTATCCTGCAACCTTGCTATAATTCACTTACTAGTTCTAGGAGTTTTTTGTCGATTCTTTTGGATTTTCTGCATAGACGATCATGTCACCTGCAAACAAAGACAGTTTTATGTTTTCCTTCCCAGTCTGTACACCTTTTATTTCTTTTTCTTGTGTTACTGCAATAGCAGAAACTTCCAGTCCTTTGTTGAAAAGGAGTAGTAAGAGGGGACATCCTTGCCTTGTACCTGATCTTAGTGGCAAAGCTTCAAGTTTCTCACCATTAAGTATGATGTTAGCTGTATGGTTTTTGTAGATAGCTTTATCAAGATGAGAAAGTTCCCCTCTATTCCTAGTTTACTGAGTATATTTATCATAAATGGGTGTTGGATTTTGTCAAATATTTTTTTCTGCACCTATTGATGTGATCATATGATCACATGATTTTTCTTTTTTTAGGCTGATTTTTCTTTTCTTTGATGTGATGGATTACATTAATTGATTTTCTAATGCTGAACCAGTCTTGCATATGTGGGATAAATCCTGCTTGGTTGTGATGTATAATCCTTTTCATACATTGTTGGATTCAATTTACTAATATTTTGTTGAGGATTTTTGCATCTATGTTCATGAGAGGTATATGATTTTGGCATTAGGGTAATGTTGACCTCATAGAATGAGTTAGGGAGTATTCCTTCTGCCTCTACCTTCTGAAAGAGATTGTAGAGCATTGGTATCATTTCCTTCTTAAATTTTTGGTAGAATTCACTAGAGAACCCATCTGAGTCTGTGCTGTTTTGGAAGATTATGATTTATTGATTCAATTTCTTTAATAGGTATAGGCCTATTCAGGGTGTCTAATTCTTCTCTGTGAGTTTTGGCAGATTATGTCTTTCAAGGAATTGATCTATTTCATCTTGGTTATTGAATTTGTGGGCATAGTTATTCATAGTATTCCTTTATTATCTTTGTAATTTCCACAGAATCTGTAGTGATGTGCCCTCTTTTATTTCTGATATTGGTAATTTGTGTCCCCTCCTTTTTCCTTAGTTAGCCTGGCTAGAGGCTTATCAATTTTTTTTTAAGATTTTATTTTTTCTTTTTCCTCCCAAAGCCCCCTGTTACATAGTTGTATATTTTAGTTGTAGGTCCTTCTGGTTGTGGCATGTGGGACGCCGCCTCAACGTGGCCTGATGAGCGGTGCCATGTCTGCACCCAGGATCCGAACCTGTGGGCCACTGCAGCGGAGCGTGAGAACTTAACCACTTGGCCCTGGGGCCACCCTGAGGCTTATCAATTTTATTGATCTTTTTTAAAAACCAGCTTTTGTTTTGTTGATTTTCTCTATTGATTTCTTATTTGTGATTTCATTGATTTCTGTTCAAATTCTGATTATTTTCTTTCTTCTGCTTACTTTGGATTTAATTTGCTTGTCTTTTTCTAGTTTCCTAAGGTGGAAACTTAGATTACTGATTTTGAATCTTTCTCCTTTTCTACTATATGCATGCAATGTTATATTTTCCCTGTAAGTACTGCTTTTCTTGCATCCCACAAATTTTGATAAGTTGTGTTTTCATCTTCATTTAGTTCAAAAATATTTTAAAATTTTCTCTTGAGATTTCTTTTATCCACATGTTATTTAGAAGTATGTTGTTTAATCTCCATGTATTTGGGGATTTTCCAGTTTTTTTTCTGTTGTTGATTTCTAGTCTAATTTCATTGTGGTTCAAGTGCAGAAACTGTATGATTTACATTCCTTTAAATCTGTTAAGGTGTGTTTTATAGCCCAAAATGTGGTCTTTTTTGGTGAATGTTCCACTTGAGCTTGAGAAGAATGTGTGTTCTGCTGTTGTTTGATGAAGTAGTCTATAGATGTCCATTATATCCACTTGATTGAGTTCAATTTTTGTCCTTACTGATTTTCCACCTGTTGGCTTTGTCCATTTCTGAGAGAGGGATGCTCTACTCATGGTGGGTCACCAGAACACAAGAATCACTCACACTTACTTAAAAGCAGCAAGAGAAAAACAAGTTGTTACTTACAAGGAAACTCCCATAAGAATATCAGCAGATTTTTCAGCAGAAATTTTGAAGACCAGAGGGGAGTGGCATGATATATTCAAAGTGCTGAAAGAAAAGAACTTCCAACCAAGCATACTCTACCCAGCAAAGTTATCATTCAGAATTGAAGGCGAGATACAGGGTTTTCCAGACAA